CGCAGAATGATTTCTCGATGTTTATCGATCACCTCGCCAGCTCCAGATCCAGGGATAATTGCTGCAACTTCATCTGCAGTAGGTAGATTATACCTACGTAGATCTGTAGTTGCTTGCAACACAATGCGAGCACGCACATCAACCTGTTGCTCTGGGGGCTTCTCTTGAAGTATCGTATATGCACGTTTATATAATAGCACCAAAGGATTGCACAGGTCCAGCATTCCCCCAATGTCCCGTAGCACTGAATGATTTAATCTGCTCTGATTATTTTGATGGCGAACCGTAGCAGCATCAAAATCAGGATCAAAAATGTACAGTTGAGCATAGCGCTGGGGATTGTTTTCAGAGGGAAGCAGTGAGCCCATTTTATGATGAAGCTCTCCACTCATTCGGAAGGAATAAGGACCTGGAGTTTCTAACACTGCAGTATCAAGATTTACTGAGACAGATGTGAATGCAAATGCAGCGTTATATGAGCGAATGTTTCGAAGGAATTCACCTGAGCGTGGATCAGAACCGTTCATTAGACTTTTGAGTGGTTCGGGGGGAAGTACAGGTAAAGGGAGTATAATCTGCCCATTGAGACAGCAAGTGCTGAATCGAGGATCACGTAGTGATGACTTAGTCAAACGTTCATCTATAAAGTGCAGTGCCATGCATTTTGAGCACACAATATTCATTTGGCCTAATGAGTGGCGAGCAAGTGGCTCAACATATGTACGACGGCCAGGAGGTAATGTGCGTTGCTGCTGATTTATAGTCTGCTGTACAGCATTTCGTTGTGCATTACGCTCCCGTCGGCTACGAACAGAAAGATTATTATATACACGATTTGTACCATCCTGGCGAGCATTTTGCCTCTGGATCTCTCTATGCTCATGTTCATAAGCCGATTGCTGCCGTTGTATATCTTGGCGATTATTTAATTGCTCTTGTGCATCCGCCTCACGTTGCCGTTGAGTCAGGAGTTGATGCTGACTATACTGCCACTCATTCATATCAAGTTGCCTTTGAGACACTTGTTGAAACTCTCTTTGTCGCTGCTGATTTGATTCCTGCCTCCGTCGAGACTGTCGTTCAAATTGTCTGTTTGCACGCTCTTCAGCCTCTTGTTGCCGCCGTGCAGCAACAGCTTCAGCAACTGTAGATCCACGGTTTCTTCCACGATTGGCACGACGATTTTGTTGTCGTTGCACAAAATTAGCCTCAAGTCCACCTACATAGTTCCCCTGCTGTGCATTTGGATTAGGATTCCAATCTAAACTGCCAGGGAACCGAGAGCCAGAAGGCTGGTTCATTTGTGGCCTATTGTGTTCCCCACCAAACATGTTCAATGGCTGAATATTACTTCCACCAAGATATTGTTCACCAAATTGTCCATATGCACCGTATGGCCCTGCAAGCCCCCCATTGCCAGCATCAAAAGTGGGACCAAGATTAGATCCCTCAGGAATATCCAAATTTTGGTTAGGCTGCCCAAAATTAGGCTGCCGAGGAATCTGATAAGATTCCTGTCTCCGTTCTCGCCGCACTGATGGGGAAGTCATTTGACGACCCTCTCTTTCCCTCTCTCTCTCCTCCTCTCGATCACGTTCAGGTGTTGTCCTAAGGCAGAGGTTAATTTGACAGTCAAACAATCAATTATGCGGGCACTTACGGATTGTTTGTGTAGGAAGGATCCATTGTCTTTTGTAAGGATGTATTGTGGGTAATGGAGTTGGGACTATTATCATTCAATTAGCAGTGCACTTCAGCCTCATCACTACTGAGCACACACTTATACCGTAGTATAATGAGGGAGGGTGTGCACAGGGTTGAATAGTAGGCTGGTAGAGCTCAACACCTCTGGAGGGTGTGGGGGAGCTTGAAAGTGGCAATATTAGGCCTTATTAGATGGTTTTATGGCTCTATCAACTCACTTTGATGGGGTGTAGAGCGTGTTGTTATGTGGCTGTGCTATGAGGCGCTAATGCAGAGCTGAAAGCTACCATTAGAGTGTCATTCACACCATTATCAGAGCTTGTAAACTCACTTTGATGGGGTGTAAAGCGCGTCGTTATGTGGCTGTGCTATGAAGCGCTAAAGCCGGCAATAGTATGAGCTGAAAGCCACCATTAGAGTGCCATTCACACCACTATCCAACCTTTGAAACTCACTTTGATGGAGTGTAGAGCGGATTGTTGTGTGGCTGTGCTATGAGGCGCTAAGGCGCGATAGTATGAGCTGAAAGGAACTGTAGATAAGCCATCAATGCGGGATAGAAGCAAAAGGTAACTTACTTGAGAGCGAGATAAGCAGAGGGGAGATAAGCACTTGATATGTGGAGTAGGTGGTGTGCTTAGTGGAGGCTGTAAGGACCCTGTGAGCATGCTTATCAGGGATTTGAAATGGGGGATAAGCTCACCTGATAGATGCTTGCCCCTCCACATAGTAGGTGAGACAGGACGGGAGGCGCCTATCGGACCCTGGATGCGTGAGGCGTGAAAAGTACTGTCCACAATATCGCGTTCGGATAGGCGCCCATCGCGCAAAATCATTTGTTTTAGGAGCATGAACCATGCAAGAAGTACACGATTTTGAAGACATGTGCTAATTGTACTTATACAGCTTGCTGCCAAAACTCTAAGGAAACGGGCAAGAGGGCGGGGCAGGGCGAGACATCCACGGAATAGGCGCTGGCGCGCGGACTGGGGACGTTTGGACTTGGAACGGGGCAGCCCCTCGCAGGCCCGGCCAGATGCGGGACCGGCCTCGCAGGCTCGGCCAGATGCGGGCGGCCTCGCAGGCTCGGCCGAAACAGGGGGCAGGCCTCGCAAGCTCGGCCTACCGGCGCACATGGCAGCCACATGGCAAAAGCTCGGTTAGCTTCGCTTATTTCGCCAACTTCGCTAACTTCGCGTATCGCTGCAAGCGACGTACGCGGCTTACTAACACCACCGCTCCCTTCTTTATAGATTTATAGATCGAAGTCGTTCGTGCTGCCGTCAAGTACAAACTGCCGAGGGTCGTTCGCGAGATGCGGCCGTTCTGGAACGGCCACATTGTCAAGAGCCCACTTGACCTCTACTTCAGCGCCATAAAGTGGGGTTTGCTAAGCGAAGCAGAAGCCTGTGCTTACGAGCTCGTCAAGGCCCATGGCAAGGTTGCTTCCGTCGCTCAACTGTACGTCGCTCAAATGGAAGAGGCGACCACCGAGGAGTATCACAATCTCCTTATCTATGCAGCTCGATGTTTCGAAGCCGCGAGTGAGGTGAACGCTGTCAAAAGGCTCCCTCGCGTATCGCTGTTAAACTACTCCTCAGTTGACGACACTTTATGGCCCGAGTCGGTCGACCTGCAAAACCCTCCGTCGTGGCTAAAGAAAGAAGTGGTTTCCTCCCTTCGAGATATGGCTGTCCGCAACAAGCGCACCCTTGACTCGGTCGCTTCCCAAACTCCTGGCGGACTCTTGTTCCTGGGCACCGCGATCACTGCCACCACCAGCTCCAGCCTCTCGAGGAAGTCCTACGAGCCTCCACCAGTAGAAAACAGGATCGGTTGGAGTTTGGCGTTCCTAGATCAGTACGTACGTGCCGTTGACAATGCGATGAAAAAGGTCTGTCCTTTCTTGTAGCTGAGTGCTCATACGGCTACTAACATATGGCATGTTAGGTTGAGTTAACGATGCCTCGATTTGTTCGCGAACCCGCTTTTTAGTGTGTTCGTTCAGCTTCGGCGCGGCGCGGCGCGAAGGGGTGCTTGCTCCCCTGTTCGAAGGTGGTAACGGCCCAGTCCTTGAGCCATTGCATTATGTACGTACACATACATGTACGCGCTAGCGGTCATTGCGGTGGACGACAGACCGGAACCCGAAGCGTGAGTAGTACTCCCGGCTCGACCCCGGTTTGACTTGGTGGGGCTCGTGGTGCGAGGGCGGATGAGAACTGAGCTGTAAGGAAGACGGGGAGCTTGTGGTCGAAACCTAGTGCTATATTCCGGGGCCGCTCGAGACACGGTCGGGAATCACATCACGACATATGAACCATGTAACTCTTGAATAGGGTGGGGCTACACCTCACGATCCTGCAGTGCGACTATCTTACAAACATATCTCGTACCTGCGACAGCGCCTCACACCTTCGCCCCCCGCGCATGTGCTCGAAAAACCCCATCCGGTCCCAGTCCCCCGGAGCCTGCCCTCGCGCACCCACCCGATCCGGTCCTGCGTGAGCCCCGCGACGCGGACGAAGAGCGAGCCGTCGAGCACGTCCCCCGCGCCCGCGAGCGCCGTCCCGGCGAAATCGGCGGGGACGCGCCCGCCGTACGCCATCGCTCCGTGCAGGAGCGCGCGCGTGATCTTGCAGAGGTGCTCCGCGGGGTGGACGAGCGTGCTCTGCACGAGCGGCAGCCACGGGTTCGGCGCGGCGTCATCGGGGGTAAGCGTGATCGCGTGCGGAGCGGGGGGAGGGAGGGGTGGCGCAGGGGTCGTGGTGGTTGCGGCGTAAAAGCCGGGGAGGTCGAGCGCGCCGCGGCCCTGGCCGATGTACCAGCAGAGGCCCATGGAGAAGTAGGACTGCAGGAGGAGGACGGAGGCGCGCGGGGAGAGGGTGTGGATGAAGTGGGGAGGAAGATGGAGGAGGTGACGAGGTGCATGCTGCGGTAAAGTGTGGTTAGCGAGACGTGCGAGGACGGGAGAGGATGAGGACGCACAGGAAGAAGTCGGCGTTGAACTTTTTGAACGGCGAGTTCTCGCGCGCGACCCAGCCGCCGACCCCGTAGAGGATCGCGTTCGTCCAGATGAGCTGCTCGACCTTGGCGGACAGCGCCTCGGGCGTCGCGCTGGCGCCACCCTGGAGATCCGCGACCCACTCCGCGGCGAGCGCGCTGACGGCGTCACCGACCTTGGTGGTGACATGCACGAAGAGTTGGCCGATGATCTCCTTGAGCGGCACGCCGACGTTCGAGGGGGCGAACTGGTCGTCGGCAAGAACGCGGGAGAGGATGTCGAAGGCGTGGACTGCCTTCTTAGGCCCGCTGCTGTTGAGCGACAGGCTGGGAACGAGGCGACTCAGCCCATACGCCTCGTCGAAGAGAGAGGGCGGGACTAGGTGGTCGCCTCCATCGTCGTGGTGGATGAAGGTCTGGGCGATGCCTGTGGACGGTGTTGTGAGCTCGGATGACCGGGACGGTCGCGAGAGCTTACCTTCAGCGGTCAAGCCGAGGATGTTGAACTCGAGTCCGTAACCGACGTAGATGATGGGGTGCACGACCGCCGCGAGGAAGCGGTTCAGCATCCGCGGGTGTCCTTCGATGCCGGGCCCGCCGATGTTGGCTTTGGCGGAGAAAATGTACTCCTCCAGGACCTCGGCCGGGCTCTTCTTGAGCAGGACGGCGCGGAAGTACTCGAGGTAGGAGTTGTAGAAGCTATCGAACGAGTAAGATCTTAGTAAATAAGAAGACTAGCATGCGGCCGGGCTCACTCGTAGTTGCCGATTGCTTCCAGAGGTTCTCATCCGTGATGGGCTCTGGGGACGTGAACGCAGGGCGCAAGTACGAGACATGGGTCGCGTACGCCACCTCGATGAGCGGGCCCGACGCACCGAGCGCATATATGGCGATGAGGTGGTGGGAAGCGTGGCTAGATATCGAGTGACGTCGTTCAGTGGGACTGTGTGAGCGGGAGACCCAGTGAGAACACACTTGTGGAAGCCGCGGTCATTGAAAAACGCGTGCCACTTGACGTGGTCGTCCTTGAGGGTCTTCACGAGGGTCTCGCTCGACGCGCGGGTGATCCCAGGGAGACGGTTGGGGCTGTCCGAGAATGGCCTGCTGGTTGGGGAGGGGGAAGAAGGTTTCAAGCTCGGTGTTCCTGGCGGACATGTGGTGGTGCTGGGGGTGGAAAGTGGGTATGGATGCGGCTTGACAGTCCAGCGGCCGAATTGAATCGTTTATATGCCTCTGCGTCGTGTGCATGAGTATGAGCTTCAGCCTGAGAGCCGCGGCAGAAACGCAAGCGCCATCGTGCGTGACATGAGACGTGGCTCTCAGTCAGCATTCTCACCGCTGTCTTCTGCGTGGGATGGCCGTGCATGCGCGGCGGCGCGGCACCTGCGTCTGTGAAAGGTGGCTACGGGCACCAGAGACCTTGAGTTAAATGAACCTGATTAGCACATGACCTGGAGAAAGTTGAAACGTCTGGGATCGCCTGACACACGGGCGCAGCATAATGACTCACCATGGCCGCCATGGCAAGTCCTTCGGCCGACGAAAGAGGGACAAAGCGGCATTTTTGACAGAAGTTCGAAGCACCAGTGCACGTGTGACAGTCCAGAGGAGCATGCCTATCACAACAACGGTTGGCCTGACCGGTCAAGTGCAGCAAGATAATCACAGACGCACCTTGCATTGTAAGCATATACACTGCGTCGTCGACCTGATTCCTCTAACGCGACCACAACCTTCAGATGCTCGATGTCGATGCTATTCAGGTCGTCCGTGCCAGGCTCCGCCGTCATCGTGGACTCCGTACAGTGCCTACCGGGCATGTATTTGTGACAGTTCGACGGAGAGTATGGCCAACGAACCTGGCTGCACGGTCACGGGTCACAGTCATGGTCCAGACGAAAGTAGCGACTACTGGCTTCGGTCGACTTCAGCCGTTGTGGCGCAGCAGACAAGGGCAGACAGGCGCTTGCGGAGCCGCAGGCGAAATACACTCGCTCCTTTTCCCCTCACTGCGACTTCCTCCCCCGCTTTCGCTACCATGACCATGAACGGTTGTATACAATCTCAGAGATACGTCGGCAACTTTCGCTCGTTACCAGCCCTACCCCGGTAATCCAAGAGTTGTAGGCTAGGGACGGAGGATGTGGAAAGATGACGGAAATGGCAGAGAAAACATGGCTTGAACAGCGAGGATACTGTAAGTGTTGGTCCCGTTGTTGTCGAAAGGCCGAAAGCAAGGTCACTTCATAGTACGCGTTGTGCTACCCTTTCAACACCTGACTGCTCTTCTCACAGTACTCTAGAACGTGGGAGATGGTTCGCAACAAGCTCTGAAGCGCGTGCGGTCGTCGCTGCGATACAAGGCATACAAGGCGTGTATAAGGGCTGCTGCGGTAGAAGTCACCGAAGGAGCTTGTGGGAGGAGTCTTCTGAGTGCTCGGCGTGAGTACGGCTTCTCGCGTCTCTCTCTCAACCCCCGTCGCCCTCACCCGGCTCAGTCAGCTGCGGCCTCCTCTGTGACCAAACGGACGATCCTGACGAGTAACAGACGAATGTCTCCGTCAAACGCGGATGCCGATCCCCCTTCTCAAGATGCGGGTCTGGCCCCACACAAGACTGAAGCCCCCTTCGATCGCGAGGACGCCGACTTTGTCATCTGCACGAGCGACAAAGTCGACTTCCACGTCCACCGCGCTATCCTCGCCATTTCCTCCAGCGTATTCGAATCCATGCTCTCCCTCCCTCAGCCGCCGAGCACCAACCCTGCAGTGTGGCCGCGCGTGGACATCGATGAGGACGGCGCCACTCTGGACGCGTTTCTCCGCATCCTATACCCCGTACCCAACCCCGTGTTTGACACCCTCGCGCAGATCCGCAACGTCCTCGAGGTCGGGCGGAAATACGACACCCCCAGATTGTACATGAATGCGCAGCATACTGGCCCACAGTCGCTTCGTTGAGTCCGACCCCATCCGCGTATTCGCTATCGCTTGTCTGTTTGACATGGAGGAAATTGCGCGGGATGCGGCGGTCGAGGCAGTCGTTACCGACAGGGTGGCCGACTGCAACTGCGAGGACTTGGACGACATACCGGCGGCTGCGTATCATCGCCTCCTGCAGCTCGACAACCAACACTACTCAAAGGTGGCTCGGGCTGGGGATGGGGTTGACGAACGGCAAACATTGAGGCGGACGGTACTGGCGTCATAAGTGGCTCCTTTTGCAGCCGAACGCCAACCGTCTCCTTGTCTTGCACCCCTCGAGAAGATTCACTCACCGTGGAGGATGCGGCAAGCGCATTTTTCGCGGTCCCCATGTCCCGTTCAGCGGACATCGTACTCAAGACGAGCGACGGATACTTATTCCCCGTGCACGAGGTCATCATCCACCTTGCCTCACCATCTCTTCTCTCCGACCTCGTGCCGAGCGTGCCTGTCGGACAAGAGCCGTCGGACGACGATGTCGACCAGCCAAAGCTTCCCGTTTACCTCTTTCCGGAATCCGTCCATGTCACGAGCTTCCTTCTCAGGTGGTACTACCCGTCCTCTCAAGCCATTCCCTCCATACCCACCGAGCACTACCTGGACGCCCTCCGCGCGGCCCACAACCACGGCCTGCACAAGCTCGAGTCGCACCTGCGCTCAACCTGGGCCCACCACATGCCGTCCGCGCCCCTCCGCTTCTTCTTCTTCGCGGCCGAACGCGACTGGCATCCCGAGGCGCACTCGTCCGCCCGCACCCTGATCGCGAGCGCGAACAACATCCGGGCGCTGTACGTGCCCGAGATGGAGACGGCTCGGGCGGGGGTGTACATGAGCCTACTGTCGTTCGTCAAGGGCTGCGAGCAGGCGGTGGAGGGCCTGGCGGTGGCGCCGCCGCTGGTGCTCCCGCGTCCGCCGCGCGCGGTGTGCGACACGCTCGCCGGGGTGTGGGAGGGCGAGCGCGAGGGGTGCGCGTTCCCGCTGCGGATCGGGCACGAGCACCCGCTCGCGCCGTTGCGGGCGGCGCTGGACCGGCGGCCGTCGGCGTCCGTGTTCGAGGCCGACGTGGAGGGCAGCGTGGCGGGCGGCGGGGGGCTCAGCCCTGCTGCGGTGCGGTTCCTAGAGAAGCTATGGGACGTGGTGAGCGCGCAGGAGCCGCAGGGGCCAAGGGAGGGCGTGGTGGAGTACGGGCTGGTGATCCTGAAGGCGTACCGAGAGAAGGTGGAGGAGGCGCTGGGCGAGGTAAGTACTTGCGCGCGCGTTCTTCTGATACGTGTACACATGTTCTGACATCTGGGCGACGCTCCCAGGTGTCGCTCAAGCTGCCTTCCGCGCGGCGCGGCGCGACGCGGCTTGACCAGTCTGGTTATCAAGAGGTGCGGTGACTGGTTGGCACGCCGCGCGTGAGAACGTGGTTGGTTCGGTTCGACTTGGGCGGCTGAAGCCTGAGTTCGCGTAGTGCGCGGTATTTCGAGCCGGAGAGGTCTATTGTTGGGTGATGTGTTTGTGTCCTATGTGTGCAAATGGAGCAGGTGCGGGGATGATGTACTGTATTTCTGTATCGGCTGCCACTCGGGCGTTGCGCTAAATTGGGATACGCGATCGCGCACAGGAGCCCAAAGATATGAAGGACTGTTTCCCATTTATCACCCGCGAGCGCGGAGCCGTATGCAAGACGGTACATATTGTAATCTACGAGACGGGCATACAAGCGGTTTACCGGAAGAGCAAAACGTGAGAGAAGTGCGAAATGGTGATCGTGCCCGTCCCTCCTGTACAATACTTGGAAAAATCAGAGTACCCTTTCAAGATAAATCGAAGGAAACGTGCCAAATATCAGAGGGAGGGGACGAGAAATGTCAAGGAACGGAGAAAGTGTGCATTTCTGCCCGCCTCAAAATTTACCAGTGTGGACGTGCGTCACTATCCAGTGCCGGCCTTCGCCTTTGCCGGCGTGATGTTTTGTGATAATGGCCTTTGCACAACTCTGCCCCCCTCGCTCCCCTGTTCGTTCTGTTTGCTCTGAAAAAATAAAGAACATATCTTACATGATTTCAAAACTGTGTACCAAATCCGAGAGCGATCGACAGCGGGATGGACAAGATACAGCTTCTGTAAAATCCGTTGGGCACATCCAGTGAAACGCTATATATAGTACGGCCGCACGGCCGATCGTTTCCACCTTTATTCCGGATACACGCTCTTCGCCGCAGCAATTCGAATACCACCGCCCGCTCAGCGCTCAGCGCTCAGCAGTCACTGCATCATACTTACCACGTGGGGCGGGCGTCACTCTCCTCTCTCGCTTTATATAAAGCCCTCCATGCCTCCGGACACACAGCGGCCCACTCGAAGGTAACTTTCTCGACTGATTGCGATGCGGGGCTGGTTGTTCGCAGGCTTTTTTGCAGGCGCCCTCGCGGCGATCTCTCGAATGGATACCCCGAGCAGCTTCCCACACGACTACCCTGGCAAGCCTTCTGGCGACTTCAGTCCAGCATGGCAGACGTGTGCGTCCAATACGTGTCTCATGATGTTGAAGCTCATCTGTCTGGCAATTTTAGACTTTGAGGTCACTGAACCTCTGCCTGGAGTGAACTTTGCGCTCCCGCGCAGCTTCGCAGGCAACGTCGACGTGGACCGCGCAGGGCACCCTAATAACACGCTCTTCTTTTGGGCGTTCGAGCGCGAAAACGGCTCGTTGACGGCCTCTGCGGGCGATCGCGGAGACGAACCTTGGGGGATCTGGCTCAACGGCGGGTGAGCATTTGGGCGCCAGCGGGCAGTGGTGTTTGACGTGATTGCTGATTGCGCTGGGGCGATGTGCAGACCAGGGTCATCGAGCATGTTTGGGCTGCGTACGAAGTTAGCAGCTACCCTTCCGTCTGTCAGATTAAAATTGGAGTGACGCCGTGTTTCGCGACAGAACGGACCGATTCACTTGGACCAGAACCAACAGCCGTTCAAGAACGACTTCAGCTGGGACCAGCTCGCGGACTACGTCTGGGTCGATCAGCCTGTGTGAGTCTGGTCGCACCTGCTACTTACCAGGCAGGATTCGTACTGAACTACCTCCGGCGCAGCGGAGTCGGCTGGTCGACAACTGACTCAGACGGATACGGTGCGTACAAGCTTCCTTCAGTGGGCATCTGAGGCCATGCTGATGCATCTGGCTTGATAGTTGCCGACGAAGACCAGGTTGGGACTGACTTCGTGAGTTTCTTATCAGTCAATACCATGGTGTGCTGACGTTGTGCTTGTCACAGATGGGTTTCCTTTCCAACCTCGTGAAGGTGTTCCCGAGCTTGGCGACACGCCCCCTGTACTTGACAGGCGAGAGCTACGCCGGAAGGTACATCGTGCGTTTTGCACAGTGGTTCGCACGTTCAGGCATAGATGCTGATATGTACCGGTGTTCGGAACTAGCCATACATTATGAAGGCGTACTTCCAGATGCCGAACCCTCCTGTCAAGATCGCCAAGTTTGTCATCGGCGATGGGTCGATCGGCTCCGGCACCCTCCACACCGAGGCCGCCACAGTACGCACCGCTCGCACTTGCCAGTTCGCACTCGCTCATTCCGCGCCATAGCTGCAAATCATCCAGACCTATCCACAGCTGATCAACTACGACCCGGGCGCGTACGAGTTCTTCGCCGAGCAGTTCCACCTCTGCGGGTTCGACGTCAACCTCACCTACCCCCAGACCGGCGGATACTTCCCGTCGTTCATCAACCAAACTCCGGACGCCCCAGCCACAGGCATATCAAAGTACACCTCACGCGCGAACGTAAAGGCAAGGGCGAAGCGCGCTGACCCGTCGCGGAGCGGGCCGCAGGGTGCGATAGACCCGTGGTATGGGTGTTACGTATGGGACGAGATGGTCGACTACGCGCTCAACTTCTCGATGCCGTGGGGTGAGCGCCGCGCTGCGTGCCGGCTATGCGTGCGCGCGCTGACGTGTCGGTTGTGTTTGCAGATGCAGACACCATTTCGATGTGCGTAGCCTGGCCGCTGGTCGCCGGTGACGGAGTGCGCGCTGACACGCGGCGGGCGTACAGATCTACCAGATCGACGACGCGCTCAGACCCAGTTCCCTCTCACGGCTCGGCGTTCTTCAATGGTGCGCTGCCTCAGCGGAGACTGGATGAGCCTGCTGACAGAAGGCGGACGTGCAGACCCTCAAGCGCGCGCTGCCGTACATGCGCCCACGAGCAAGAACTGGCGGTCCTCAATCTTCTACCCCTTCCTCGGCGATCCCGAACGCGGCAGGGACCACAGTGAGTGCTCTTCTCATGTCGGCATACTTGCATGAAGCCGACTTTGTTTTCTTACCCAGGTCCTGAGTGAGTACCGCCAGACAAGCGGAGGGCGCCGAGCTGACTTGACCGCGCAGACCGATGGTGTTCCTGACGGACCTCGCGACGAACGCGAGCGCGCAGGGCATCCAGGTCGTGCTGTACTCGGGCAACGACGACTCGCTGGTCGCGCACCGCGGGACTGAAGGTGCGTATTCTGTCCCACGCTCGCGCGAGAAAGCGGAGGGCCTGACGTCACGCGTTTTCTAGTCGTCATTCAGGTATGTGCTCGGGCTCTGAGCTTATGCGGTGCCGTGATTCTCCTGGGATCGGATCGTCGATGCCCAAGATGGGTACCGGGCGGGTCTCGAGAGGCGTTGGTCTTCCTGGGCGCGCGTGGCGACCGAGAAGGCTGCGGGAGCAGTGGACGAGCTGGCAGCAGCGAGATGGGCCGCGGTCATGACACGACGGCCGAGCGACGGCGCCGTCGAAGGTTGCGGCAAGGCCTTTGCTTTCCTTCTCCGCACGCCTCGGGAATTGTGCGCGCGCGACGGCATCTCCATCCCGCCTAGCTCTCTAGCACCCAACGTCCGCCCAGACGCCACAGTCGCCCCTCGCGCTCGCTACGAAGTCCGAGTGCTGACTCGAATCACGCCCGTCGCATGCAGAACACGACCTTCGGCGGCACCCAAGGCTTCACGCAGCGGCCGTCGACGCCCTGGTACGACGACAGCGGCGCGCTCGCGGGCGTCGTCCACCAGGAGCGCAACTGGACGTACGTCCTCATCCTCCACGCGGGCCACTTCGTCCCCCAAGGCGCGCCCGCCGCCGCGTACGTCTTCCTCCGCGAGTTCGTGCTCGGCGCGAACACGACCGGGCTCGTCGCGTCCGCGGACGGCGCCGCGCTGGGCGGGGGGGACGCGGCTCTCAGCGCGTACGCGATCCGGGGCGCCGACGGGATCGAGGTCGGGAGCGTGACGCCGACGGGCACGGTCACGTTCGCGAGCGCGACGGTCGCGGCGTGGGACGCGTTCATCGGGACGGTGACGGGGCCGGCGGGGGCGGGAACGGGGGCGGGAACGGCGACTGGGCCCGCGACTACGCACAAGGCGACGGGGGGCGCGATGGGAGGAGGAGGAGGAGCGGTGGGTGCTGCGGTGCTGGCGTGTGCCGCGGCGGTGCTGTCTGGGTTCGCGTTCATGTGAACGCGGTGGACGTTGGGTGGAGATGAAGGGTCGTAGAGGCGTATGGATCGTATCTTTACGTGCGCACCCAAGGAGACTGGAGCAAGAATGCTATCGAGAGCGCGGATCGAACGGATCGGGATAGGTGGGATGAGGGGCGGGACCGGGCGCCGCGGCCAGGGCTGTGGTACTGAGGCAATCGAGAAAGCTTGCATGACAAAGCCCGGGCACAATGTCGCGGACTGGGAGGGGATGAGATGAGATCTCACATGTGAGCAGCTATACCAGGTGTAGAACATTGCTCCTCAGACACGCTGAGCATTGCAGAGCATTGCTAGTACACACTCTGTCTTCCCAGAGCCTTGGTTTCTTCAGAGAAATGCACCCATTGCTGGCCGCGAGCAGAGGGTGTCAAGGACGAACTTGAAGCATGCAAGCATCGGGATAGAAGACAGGATTGTATTGAGCGAGTAAAGAGAGTAAGTGGCTTTGTATTGTACACTAGGGTTAGGGTTAGGCGGCTGCAAGAGCAAAAAAGGCGGCCTGCCCAGCCCGAGGGCCGAAGCAGGACAGGGAAATATTGAGACGGTGCATGAGCCGAAGCCCATACAAACCGCCAGGGCCCCCTGGGGACAGGGTCGCCGTGCTATGAGAGGCCCCCACGGCCCACGAGCCCAGGTACATGAAGGGGCCCGTGCCATCAAGGTAAGTATGAGTTGCTTCGGTCCGCGGCGGTCGCATAAGTAGCGGCGGGGCGGGACGCACGGACCACGTCTGCTTCAGGGCGGGCCGCCGCGCGTGGGCGGAGATACCGCGCGCACGCACCATCATCGGACGTGATGGACGGGGCACGAGGCGGCCAGATTGGGCATCCATCGTGGTTGTCTTCTTTCCATCATCTCCTCTTCCAACATGCGCCGACAGCTGTGGCCGGCCTGCCTACTTCCGACAGCTCGCGGATGCTGCGATACGCCTGGCGCGGCTCGCACGGCCTGCGCGCCCAGCAGATAAGCTATAGGCTCCAGCCTGAGGTGTGTCCCTGCATACGTGCTCGCATATACAAGCCCGCGCGTGCTGAGAACCCAGATGCGTGCAGGCTGTTTTCAGCTCCGCCTGGCCGTGGCTCAGAACACAGCGAGGCCGCCGGATGCCGTCACATGTGCACGCCAGCTGTTGCGACCGGCCTTCCAAGTTTCCAGCCGCCTTCCGCCGCCCGCAGCGAGGCGCAGAGGCGCTGTGGCCTGCTGTGGCCCATCTGGGCGATCGTCGACATGCGCCCGTGAGAGGGCTAGTCCGGTGCGTGGCTGCGCCATCCGTCATCGATCCTGATTTTCTCTCGCTTCTGAACCTTCTTCTTCGCGCTTACCCCGATCTTTTTCGTCCTCAGGACAACGCAATGGCGGGGAGCGCGCAGTATATCACCCCGCCTCCCTGCGCGCCCTACTTCCCGCCCTCGCGCACCTCGCTCCCTCGCTTGCCATCCCGCAACCCCACGCGAACAACCCGCCAGGTCTTCAACTTCAACACTACGCACTCGCACCATGACCCAACACCCCAGCATGCTCGCGTCGCCGCGCCCACCGCCCGCTCGCACGCATCCCGCGTCCGCTCCCGTCCCGCCCCCGCGCCGACTCAGATCCTCGTCCCCTCGCGTCATCCCCGAAACCAATGCGCTGGCCATTCCGAGCCGCAAGTCGCGAATGCCGCATCCCAAGCGTGCGATGCACGTCACGCGCGAAGTCTCCGAGGTCCTCCCACGACTCTACCTCTCTGGCATCACGACCGCCATGGACGGGAGCAGCTCATCGCCCTCGGGGTGACCCACGTCGTGTCGCTTATCGAGGAGCGACCGCGGTACCCGCGCGGGAAGCTGCGGACACTACACATCGCTGTCGAGGACGTTGAGGACGCCGACATCCTCCAGCACCTCGACGCCACGAGCTCGTTCATCAAGCATGCGCTTGAGGACCCGAAACACGTCGTTCTCGTAAGTTTCTATCTTTGTTCTGCGCCCGCCCTGCGCGTCCACCTCGAAGTTTGAAGTTTTCGACTTACGTCTCCTGCTGGCAGGTCACTGCCAAATGGGCATCTCGCGCTCCGCGACCGCGGTCTGCGCGTACCTCATCTCCGCGCTCTCAATGTCGCCTCAGGCCGCGCTCGACTTTCTCGTTTCGAAGCGCGAGATTGTGAGCCCAAACCCAGGCTTCCGCCGCCAGCTCGCCATCTACGCTTCTCGCCTCCGTGCGGGCCGCAAGCTGCGCAAGGCCGTCCCCCCGCCGCTACTCTCGCCACAGCCGAGCACGAGCAGCAGCCACACGGACCGCTCGCGCCCCCCGAGCCCCGTTATGCGCGTGTACACGCCGCAACCGGTGAACTACGGATACGGTTACGGACAGCCCAGCGGGTACTTCGGGCACACGCGCGGGCGGAGCCACGAGTTCGCGCACGTTATTCGCATCGACGCGTCGCCGTCGCCACCGCCCTCAGCTCGCCGTCGTGCACCTCCGCCGGTCGCGGTCTCCGTGCGGGTGCGGAGGGGTTCGTTCAGCTGAACGTCCTCTTCCCCTCTCATCTTCCCCTCCCTCTCCCCGTTCTGTTCTCCGACCGCCCCGACGCCAGAGGATCTAGGGGTCGAAACACCTTCTACCTGCCAACGCGTCGCGCCATCACCGGAAGCAGACCGCAGGCGCACAAAACAAATTCCCGCGTCTCGACTTCCGAGTCAACGTCGAGGAAGGCCGCTGCCAGCACGCCGAAAACTTCCGGACGCCCGCGTCGGGGCGCTGCGTCGGGCGAACCGTCGTCCGTGGCGGGCGTGTACGTGTCCCCTGGCTTCCCCCGAGCCGGAGAGGCGGCAGGGCTTCGCGGTTTACGCTCGCGTTACGTAGCGGCGCGCGGCGCGCCCGCATGGGCGGGCGCGTGCGTGGGTTTCGCCGGCGCGGAGAGATGAGGGTGGGAGCGCTGCTGCAAAAGGACGGTGCTCGTCCGCTGCTTGTGATTCATCTTGTCTGGGTTTGAGTTCTGTTAATGGGCGGCTGGGCGTGGTCGTTCGGGATCTCGTGTTCTTTGTCGGGCTACTCTTATTCCGTATGGTAATGCATGTGCGCGTTCAAATGACCTCGGGCACTGTGTGTGCACATAATCGATCTCTTCGACCACGGGTCACTGGGTGCGAGATGCGTGCGGAGATGAACGAAGGTGAGCATGCGCCGTCCGAGATGTTTACGGGTGCTGGGTCGCGTGGGCTTGTCTCGTGCACTGTGTGCATCATGCCAGGGCTCAGAGGATTGTTGATTCAAGTGCGGACTTGTAGACTATCGTCGTGATGAGAGCACGTATCACCAAGATACTATGGCCGCCTGGCGTAATGGCAACGCGTCTGACTACGAAGTGTAATCAGGAGATTGCAGGTTCGACCCCTGCGGTGGTCACTGAGATCAATTTTTTCCACTTTTTTGTCTCATCTGTCTGAAACATAAAACTAGCGATCTTCAAAAACACACAGGACGGCTGGCAACCACGCAGGGGTCGAACCCGCACCCTCCTGACCAGGTTTGCCACCCTCTCCTTTTCTGGCCGCGCCCATGACTGGGAGTCGGGACGGCCCGTCGATCCTCCCAATCAGGCGTTCAGGGCTTTTCTCCCCGCGCCGCCAAGAACGTCGAGATCGCGCATCGTCGAGATCGCGTTGTGTGGGCATGTATGCATGCATGTATCGGCGGCGGGATCCAAAGGCTAATTTTTGATGGCCGTGCAGGAGAGATCGACGCTACGGGGTGTGCCTCGGGGAAGCCAAGGGGGGGGAAAGCGGTGGAGGTTCGGGGATCCTCGACCGTCCGCACTCAGCACTCAGCACTCGGCGGCGCGGCGCGCGGGAGAGGATCTGCGCTCGCGCGCGCGGACGGGTGGGCGTTGGCGAGTGTACGTTTATGGTGGTGTGGGGCGCGCGCGCGCGCGCGTCGTGCGGCGATCTGGCAGACCGGCGCCGAGCGCTGGCCAAACGAACGCAGCTCCATCTCGGCCCACGCCCTGCTGTGGACGCGTTCGCGAGCTACAACACGTAGATGCGACGCACATACGCTGGTGGGCTCCAGGACGGAAGGCAGTGCGCGAACCATCGCCGTCGACGGCACAATGCGCCACAAGTTACGCTGCTCTGTCGACACGTTCGTCGAGCTCCGCCAAGCGTATTCAAATAGATTGCGCACTGCGACATTGCTGTAACTTCGCGGTCTTTGCTGCACACCGTGGGTATCGACGACAGAAAGGAGTATATTATGCAGACGTAGAGTTGAGATGCTGTAAGTGTAAGGTCGCCAAAGGGGGCAGTGAGCCACAGTCCGTCGACCAGACGTGCGCACGAGACTCGGGTCCAAGGCCGAGTTCGCCGTGGACGAACGAGGGAGTGATGGTAGGGGGGTAGGAGTGGGGCCAGTCTGCACAGTCGAAAGAGAATATGGAAAGTCCTTGCACACCATGAGAGATCGTGAATCGAGGCCGTGGCCGTGACATCAGCATCTGACGGAAGGTAGGTAAGGGTCTACGCGAACATCGCTACCGCAGACAGGACGCCGATCACAGTCGCGAAGAGCGACATGGACAAGGCATCGGTCACGGCAACTGCGCCGAGTTGTTGGCGGAGCTCGTGCCGTTCGTCGACGAGGTCGGCTTCGCGGTGCCTGTAGACTTGCTCCCCGTCGCAGTGCCGGTGCTGGTGCCGGAAACACCAGAGCTGCCACCCGAGCTTGCAGAGACGGCGTCAGTGAAGAGCGCGGCGGAGGTGAACGTCTGGCAGTTGCTCGACGCGGCACTGGTGGCGGTGTAAGGGATGGAGGTGATCGCGCCGAGCGATTCGGGGGCTGCGAGTAGGACTGGGTGGCGCCCGCGGAGTCGGTGTAGACACCGGGAATGGGGAAGGATCCGGAGTCGCAGACTTCGAAGAGGCCGTCCGGAGTTCCACCGCCCATGGTGTACTTGCTGGGGCAGTTGAAGGAAAGACCGATGCGGTCAAGAGTGTGCTGGCACTTGCCATCCGGGTTGGTGCCGTTGTCGGCGCACCACTTGAAGCAGAATTGGTTGCTGCCGATGAATCTGGGAAAGTTAGTCTCTGGCCAAAACGTGATGCGCAAAGGAAACTGACTCGGTCCAGTGACGGGTCTGGTAAGCTGACCATCAGGGGAGAAGGTGGTGGAGTACAAGAGACCGCCATGGGGTTACCACGCTACAGAAAGACGTGGTTGTTTAACAACCAGTTGACGTGAAATCAAAGCAACGACGTACGCCATCCTGTCCTCCGGAGTCGAGCTCGCCACCGAAGTCACCGTCGACCATGTTGAGCTTGGTCTGGTCGATGTTGCCGGTCATCATGTAGGCGTCGCCATCGAAGAGGATCTGCATGCCCTTGATGGCCCGTCAGGGATGATACGAGTGCCGTGGCCTTTCTTGGTGCACCAGGCGACGACGTCACCCTCGGCATCGGCAATCTGGGAGACCTTGGCAGGGCCCAGAGACAAAAGTCTGGAGTAGTTGAAGTGAGAGTGGGATTCGGGGGGAAGAAGAAGGGGAACGAACCCATGATGGAGTTCTGGACGATGGTCTGGCAGAGGGAGTCCTGGTTCTCGGTGGTAGAGTTACAGATGTTGTAGCCGGACTGGTAACCGCGGTGTAGATGTCATGGCCGTTGAAGTCGAAAACTTGGTAGGGGGCGTCGGAGGGGCGAGGGTAGACGAGGTCTACGAGGGGCGTGGGCGCGAAGCCGACGGTGGAGGACTGCGCGGCGGCGGCGCCGGCAAGGAGGGCAACAGAAAGAGCGACGGTGGCCATGGCCAGGAGAGCGTGGGCGAAGGAGACGGGGCGGGGCGAGGGAATTGGTCGGGGCTGACGCGGATGGAGCAGGCTATATACCACCCCGAAATTAGACAAGCGACGGCTCGGCTCTCTCCGGCGCCGCGACGAAGCGAGATACGTCAAGAATAGACCCCCCCGGCGCCTCCCCCGCGGCTCCCGCTCGTGGTCGCCTCCCCGCTCGGACGTCCTCCAGCTTGGACGCCTTCCGGGCTGCTCAGAGCCCCCGCGCGCACTCGACGGCTGCTTCGCCGCTGGGGACGACGGCCGGACATGAGGGCGACGAGGGTGGACCCCCGTTCCTAGGCGCAGGCACCGCCGCTACCCGTCGTGCATTAAAAGCTCGCGTCGACAGCCGTAAAAATACCCGTTCCGCGCCCACCCGCCGCGTCCCTCGCGAGTGCATGCGCACCTGCGTCTCGACGTCGACGTTCCCCGGGGCAGCCTCCATGTTCACCGAGCTTTCTGTTTCCCTCCTCCCAGAGCCGCCCGTCGCCATGCACGCGGGATATTGTTCTCCACCGGACGTCGCGATCGGTGCATGTACGTACGTGTCGTCGGCTCGCCTGCTCGCGCCGCCTCGCCACTCGATGCCAGAACTTGGAACATTCTTGCGGCGAGCCTGCGACGTTTGCTCCTTCAATCCTTCACCAACACATCACGCAGAGCCTGCCATGTTGATATGTACGGTGGGGTATCATAACCCGTTGCGCGCGCCCTGCAGGCAACGTTAGCCGATCACCGATCCCACTGCCGTCGCTCCACAACACTGGGCGACGGTAACCAAATTCACGCTGTGGCTTCACCTCGTTGAATCCTGGGCAGTATCCTGTTTGTGACCTCCACTGTGCCTTTTGGCTCCCGCACACGTTCGCATATGCCAACACCTCCCAATTTAGCACAACGCCCGCAGAATACTGACGGGCGCGTGACCTTGTGGTACAAAACTGGAGTACATCAACATGGCCACAGCTGCTCCATTTGCACAGGACACATCACCCCACAACAGACCTCTTCAAATACCGCACACCACGCGAAATCGGTACTCAGGCCTCAGGCCCAGCGCCCCGCCTGAGTCGAACCGGACCGACCACGTCCTCGCGCAGCGTGACCGCACTTCCTGATAACTGGCAGTCCTCACTCTGGTCATGCCACGCCGCGCCGCGCGGAAGGCAGCTCCAGCGACACCTGGGAGCGTCGCCCAGATGTCAGAACATGTATACACGTATCAGAAGAACGCGCGCGCCCAGCCTTCTCCACCTCCGCCCCAGCGCCTTCTCCACCCTCTCCCGGTACACCTTCAGGATCACCAGCCCGTACTCCATCACGCCCTCCTTCGGCCCCTGCGCGCTCGCTACGTCGCACAGCCTCTCGAGGAACCGCGCTGCCGCGGCGCTGAGCCCGCGCGGGCCCGCCGCGCTGCCGTCCTCGCCGCGTCCTTGTCCCCGCCGCCACCGTCGCCATCGAACGCGGACGCGGACGGTCGCCGGTCCAGCGCCGCCCGCAACGACCCGTCCACCAGCGGGAACGCACCTCGCGCTCGCCTCCACACCCCGGCGAGCGTGTCGCACACCGCGCGCGGCGGACGCGGAGCACCAGCGGCGGCGCCACGCCAGGCCCTCCACCGCCTGCTCGCAGCCCTTGACGAACGACAGCAGGCTCATGTACACCCCCGCCGAGCCGTCTCCATCTCGGGCACGTACAGCGCCCGGATGTTGTTCGCGCTCGCGATCAGGGTGCGGGCGGACGACTGCGCCTCGCGGTGCCAGTCGCGTTCGGCCGCGAAGAAGAAGAAGCGGAGGGGCGCCGACGGCATATGGTGGGCCCAGGTTGAGCGCGGGTGCGACTCGAGCTTGTGCAGGCCGTGGTTGTGGGCCGCGCGGAGGTAGTGCTCGGTCGGTATAGAGGATTGGTTGGAGAGGACGGGTAGTACCACCTGAGAAGGAAGCTCGTGACATGGACGGATTCCGGAAAGATGTGGACGGGAAGCTTTGGCCGGTCGACATCGTCGTCCGACGACTCTTGTCCGACAGGCGCGCTCGGCGAGCCATCTCCCATGTTGTAGAGTACTGTGAGAAGAGCAGTCAGGTGTTGAAAGGGCAAGCATTGACAGCACAACGCGTGCTGTGAAGTGATCTTGCTTTCGGCCGTTCGACAGCAACGGGACCAACACCTACAGTATCATCGCTGTTCAAGCCATGTTCTTTCATCTCTGCCATTTCCGTCGTCATCTTCTACATCCTCCAACTCTAACCTGCAACTCCCATAGATCTTGGATTACCGGGACAGGGATGTGAATGAGTGAAAGTCGCCGATGTATTGTCGACATTGTACACAACCGTTCATGGTCATGGTAGCGGAAGCGGGGGAGGAAGTCGCAGTGAGGGGAAAAGGAGCGAGTTTAATTCGCCTGGGCTCCGCAAGCGCCTGTCTGCCCTTGTAGCTGCCGCGCCACAACGGTTCAACAGTCTAGTAGTCGCTACTTTCATCTGGACCATGACGCGACTCGTGACCGTGCAGCTAGGTTCGTTCGCCATAATATCCATCGAACCGTCGCAAATACAGGCTCGGCAGGCACTGGGCGGGGTCCACGTTCGAACCAGACAGTGCCAGTGTGGTCGTCGGCTTCGACTGGCCTATGCACCGTCCCAATACTTCCCTGTCCTCCTCAGTCGGCCCTCAGGTTGGGCAGGCCATCTTTTTTTGCTCTGGCAGTCGACTATCTCTAAACCAGTGTAAAATACAAAGCCACTCACTCTCTTTGCTTGCTCAATACAATCTTGTCTTCCATGCCGATGCTTGTGCTTCAAGTTCAACCTCAACACCATATGCTCACTGCCTGCAATTTTCTGTAGAAACCCGGGCTCTGAGAAGACAGAGGACTTGTGTGCTAGCAATGCTCAGCGTGTCTGAGCAGGGTCCTACACCTGGTATGACCACTCACTTTGAGATCTCATCTCATCTCTTCCCAGTCCTCGACATTGTGCCCGGGCTTGGTCACGCAAGCTTTCTCGATTGCCTCAGTACCACAGCCCTGGCCGCGGCGCCCGGTCCCGCCCCTCATCCCACATATCCCGATCCGTTCGATCCGCGCTCTCGATAGCATTCTTGCTCCAGTCTCCTTGGGTGCGCACGTAAAGATACGACCCATACGCCTCTACGACCCTTCATCTCCACCCAACGCCCACCACGTTCACATGAACGCGAACCCGGATAGCACCGCCGCGGCCCACGCCAGCACCGCAGCACCCACCGCTCCTCCTCCACCTCCTCCCACCGCGCCCCCCGTCGCCTTGTGCGTAGTCGCGGGCCCAGCCGCCGTCCCCGTCCCCACCGTCGCAGTGCCGATGAACGCATCCCACGCCGCAACCGTCGCGCTCGCGAATGTCACCGTGCCCGTCGGCGTCACGCTCCCGACCTCGATCCCAGCCTGGCCGCGAACCGCGTACGCGCCGAGCGCTGCGTCCTCCCCGCCCACCGCGGCGCCGTCCGCGGACGTGACGAGCCCGGTCGTGTTCGCGCCGAGCACGAACTCGCGGAGGAAGACGCGCGCGGCGGCGGGCGCGCCCTGGGGGACGAGGTGGCCCGCGTGGAGGAAGAGGACGTACGTCCAGTTGCGCTCCTGGTGGACGACGCCGGCGAGCGCGCCGCCGTCGTCGTATCACGGCGTCGATGGCCGCCGCGTGAAACCCTGGGTGCCGCCGAACGTCGTGTTCTGCAGACGGGTCAGCACGTGGACTCCGCAGCGAGCGCGAGGGGCGACTGTGGCATCTGCGCGGACGTAGGGTGCCAGAGAGGCGTCATGGAGATGCTGTCGTGCGCGCACAATTCCCGAGGTGTGCGGAGAAGGGAAGCAAAGAGCCTTGCCGCAACCTTCGACGGCGCCGTCGCCCGACCGTCGCGTCATGACCGCGGCCCATCTCGCTGGGAAGCCCAACGCCTCTCGAGACCCGCCCAGTACCCATCTTGGGCATCGACGATCCGATCCCAGTAGAATCACGGCACCGCATAAACTCAGAGCCCGAGCACATACCTGAATGACGACTGGAAAATGCGTGACGTCAGGCCCTCCGTTTCTCGCGCGAGCGTGGGATGGAACACGCACCTTCAGTCCCGCGGTGCGCGACGAGCGAGTCGTCGTTGCCCGAGTACAGCACGACTTGGATGCCCTGCGCGCTCGCGTTCGTCGCGAGGTCCGTCAGGAACACCATCGGTCTGCGCGGTCAAGTCAGCACGCCGCCCTTCGCTCGTCTGGGCGGTACTCACTCAGGACCTGGGTAAGAAAACACAGTCGGCTTCATACATATGCCGACGTGAGAAGAGCACTCACTGGGGTCTTCGCCGCGTTCGGGGTCGCCGAGGAAGGGGTAGAAGATCGAGGACCGCCAGTTCTTGCTCGTCGGCGCATGTACGGCAGCGCGCGCTTGAGGGTCTGCACGTCCACCTTCTGTCAGCAGGCACATCCAGTCTCCACTGAGGCAGCGCACCATTGAAGAACGCCGAGCCGTCGAGGGGGAACTCGGGGTTGAGCCCGTCCTCAATCCGGTAGACCTGCACGTCCGCCACGCATCAGCGCACACCCCATCAATGACCTCGAGCACGTACGTCAAACCCTTGTTCTGCATCTGCAAAGCCAACCAGCAAGTCAGCACCCGCACACGTATAAAACACAGATCGAATCGCGCACCCCACGGCATCGAGAAGTTGAGCGCGTAGTCGACCATTTCGTCCCACACATCGCACCCGTACCACGGGTCGATCACACCCTGCGGCCCCTCCGCGACGGGTCCGCGCGCTTCGCCCTCGCTTTCACGTTCGCCCAAGCGTCCTTCGCCAGGGTCTCCACCGCGGATTTGGAGAACTTGCGCTGCAAGCCTTGGAGCCCCGACGCGCCCGACGGTACTTGGACCTGCGCGCGGCTGGGGCGTCCGGAGTTTGGTTGATGAGCGTCGGGAAGTGTCCGCCGGTCTGGGGGTAGGTGAGGTTGAGGTCTAGCCCGCAGAGGTGGAACTGCTCAGCGAAGAACTCGTACGCGCCAGGGTCGTAGTTGATCAGCTGTGGATAGGTCTGGATGATTTGCAGCTGGCGCGGAATGAGCGAGTGCGAACTGGCAAGTGCGAGCGGTACGCACTGTGGGGACCTCATTGAAGACGATGCCGGAGCCGACCGTCCCGTCGCCGATAACAAACTTGGCGATCTTGACAGGAGGGTTCGGCGTCTGGAAGTACGCCTTCATGATGTATGGCTATATCCGAACACCGGTACATATCAGCGGCTCTAGCGTGCGAACCACTGCAAAACGCACGATGTACGTTCCGGCGTAGCTCTCGCCTGTCAAGTGCAGGGGGCGTGTCGCCAAGCTCGGGAACACCTTCACGAGGTTGGAAAGGAAGCCCATCTGTGACCACCATAACGTCAGGATGTCATGGTTTTGACTGATAACAAGCTCACGAAGTCAGTCCCCATCTGGTCTTCGTCGGCAACTGTCAAGCCGGGTGCATCAGCATGGCCTCGTATGCCAACTGAAAGAAGCTTGTACGCACCGTATCCATCAGAGTCAGTTGTCGACCAGCCGACTCCGCTGCGCCGGAGGAAGTTCAACACGAATCCGAGCCTGGTAAGTGGCAGCGTGCGAACAGACTCACACAGGCTGATCGACCCAGACGTAGTCCGCGAGCTGGTCCCAGCTGAAGTTGTTCTTGGATGGCTTTTGGTTCTGGTCCAAGTGAATCGGGCCGTTCTGTCGCAATGTTAGTCCAGTCTTGGTCTGATAGTCAGAAGGGTAGCTGCTAACCTCGTACGCAAGCCCAAGCATACTCGATGACCCCGGCCTGGTCATCGCCCCGGCACAATCAGCAATCATATCAAACACCGCAGCTCGCGTGTGAGCAGACCGTACGTCCGCTGCCGCCCAAATGCTCACCCGCCGTTGAGCCAGATCCCCCAAGGTTCGTTTGCGCGATCGCCCGCAGAGGCCGTCAACGAGCCGTTTTCGCGCTCGAACGCCCAAAAGAAGAGCGTGTTGTTCAGGTGCCCCGCACGATCCACGCCGACGTTGCCCGCGAAGCTGCGCGGGAGCGCAAAGTTCACCCCAGGCAGAGGTTCAGTGACCTCAAAGTCTAAAAATTGCCAGACAGGTGAGCTTCAACACGGTGAGACACGTATTGGACTGGACGTACACGTCTGCCATGCCGGACTGAAGTCGCCCGAAGGCTTGCCGGGGTAGTCGTGTGGGAAGCTGCTCGGGGTATCCATTGGAGAGATTACCGCGAGGGCGCCTGCAAAAAGGCTTGCGAACAGCAGGCCCCGCATCGCAGTCAGTCGTACGAGCAAGTTACCTTCGAGTGGGCCGCTGCATATCGGAAGAGATAGTGGGCTTTATATAAAGCGAGAGTGACGCCCGCACCACGTGGTACCGTATGATGTGACTGCTGAGCGCTGAGCGGGAGGTGGCATTCGAATTGCTGCGGCGAAGAGCGTGCATACAGGATGAAGCTTGAAGGTGGGAGTGATCGGCCGTGTCGGGGTAGGAAGTCTGCAGCGGCCCGAGATCGTGGTGCACAATCCGGTACAAAGACCCGGGTATGTGTACTGCGGTGCCGCCGAGGTGCTTACAACGTGTGGAGAAGACCTCTTGCAGCGCCTCGCAGAGCTTGTCACTATGGTGTAATCCTGTAAAGTCTAGTCGGCCTAGTGACGCCACGAGTATTGCCTCGAAGCACCCACATAAAAGAGCATATACCAGGAACGAAGAATTGTGCTGTTGGTCCTAATAAGCGTACTGCCATCCCGCGAACAAGACTCACCTACATCGAGTGTAGTGTGCTTGATGTACATGCGAACATAAGGCCTGAGAAACCTGAAGAAGCACGTCGGGTTGCCGTACGCCCCTGCTTCTCCGCGCACGCACGCACGCGCGTCGCCCCTTGATCTGGCGAGAGTACGTGGACGAACGGCGGCACGAGACTGCACAACAGGTCCAGAAAAATCTGAAAAGCACATTCGAAGCAAGTACGACAAGGTGGAATACAGACAGATACAATACAACTCCAGAGCTAGAGAAGCAGCGCACTTATTTCCGGACGGCGAGGACGGTCCTGCCGTAATACGCGCCCGCTACGGCGGACGTAACGGTGAGCATGGCGGGTACGGGGCCCTTCATCGCGCGCGGGGCGGAAGAGAGGAAGAGGAGAGCAGATGCACCTGGGAACGCGTAGGGCGGGAAGTGGGGGCACGGTTGGCGAAAGGCACGCGGAACAGGGCGGGACGAGACTTACCGAGAGCGGTCTCGAGACCGTTGGCTGTGCCCTTGCGAATGCAGTCCGCGCTGTAGAGGTAGAGCGCGCCGACACTGGGGGCCCAGAGGTCAGAAAAACGGACCATGAAGACCAGAGCATGCTACTCACCCCACGCCTGCGACGAGAGAGGGGATGCTACGCGTGCGAGCAAAGCCTGTGAGGCCCCCCACAATGCAGAGGGTGCCCATGACGTATGCGGGGTAAGCAGACTGGCCGGGCAATCAGCTCTGGTACACAGAACACAACGAAGCGCACAGCACAAGCTCACCATGGCGAGTGCTGGCGACGTGGGCAGGAGGGATCGAAGGTGGTGGTGAGAGAGAGGGCACGCGTGCTGGTGAGCAACGCAGCCTTCCCCCACACAGACGCCGGTGATCGCGCTGCGTCCGAAACGGCGCGATTTTTCACACAGCGTCGCTCATCGACCGCCGCAAGATCTTACCCCTCAATATCGCATGTCCGACCGCGTCCTGCCGCAGAAGAACGAAGAATACGGAAGCAAGGAATATTGGTGAGAGCGCCAGTGTTCGCACTTCTAAGCACTCGAGCAGACGAGAGTTCCAGGGACCAGCGGTACAACTTGTGAGGACCGCTCTTCTTCAGCTTATTCACCATGTCCGCGACGCTCACTGCCTTCCCGCCTTCCCCGCCAGAGAGTCAGAAGAGCAGTCGTTCGACTGGTTCAAATCATACGCCGATGTCGCAGATCTCTTGCGTGAGATCGTCCCGGTCAAGTCCTCGAGGATATTGATGCTCGGATGCGGCAACTCGACCCTTTCGCAAGACGTCAGTGATCAACTGAGATCGTATATTTGCAGCGATTTCTCAACGGAGTTGGCACATAGATGTATGAGGATGGCTTCAAGAACATCGTGAACACAGACGTACGTTGCTGGTATTATATATCTACATTTTCAAGCTCAAGTGTCCTCCCAGTACTCAAGAGTGCTGATTGAAAAGATGCGCCATAAGCATGCTTACGCACCTGAGATGGAGTGTACGACATCGTAAAACTCCTCCTTCGTCAAGATACTCATCAGACGTCGCAGGGCATGAGATGGACATCCGGGACCTCAAATTCGAGACAGATACTTTCGATGTCGCAATAGACAAGGGTACATAAGTCCCTGACCCTGTCTGACAGATTCACTGATAAGGCCACCGTCTAGGTACTATGGATGCCATGATGACCGCGAAAGCAGACGTTTGGGTATGAATGCGTCTTCCTCACCAGTGCCTCTGTCCGAACAACAGCTTCATCTAGGACCCCCCAGAAGAAGTGGTGCAGAATTGTAATCGCGAAGTGGACGAAGTCCTACGGTACGACACGATCCGCCCTCCTTCCCGACTTCACCTGTGACGATTCAATCCTTCAGAGTCCTCAAGAAAGGTGGTGTCTTCATCTACCTCACCTTCGGCCAGCCCCACTTCCGCAAGCGCTACCTTGAGCGCCCCGAAACGACGCTTGAGATCCGCAAGATAGGCGAAGCCTTTCATTACTACCTGTACATAGTGCGAACATGACCGTGAAAGGACGAAAGCATGTCTACTACTGTCGTTCCGAGAGAGCACCTGCATGTGGTGACTCCCCGGTCAAGAGCCAGACGATGTCTGTCTTGGTCACCATCCCCACGAGCTTTCCTTCTTGAGAGAATAAGATGTGGCGCAGGTTCTATCGAAATAATAAATACGGGTTCGAGGAAGAGGAAGAGGATGTAGAAACCCACCATCTTCTGGAACATATCGACGACAAGTTCGAGGGGCACATCCTTCCTCAGCTGCAGGACTGCCTCCTCGAGCAGCCACGACAGGTTCACCATCGCGCCGTCTTCGCTCTCGCCGGACCCCGGCGGAACAAATGTGCACAGACGCTCCACGTTCGGGTCCTCCGCAATCAGATCTCTGAAAGACCACCATAAGCCTCAGTCCACCCAACACGCATCAAACCAACTCACCGACGCACGCCCGGACCTTCTCCCTCGTGACGAGCCCCAGCAGTATCTCCCCCTGCCCGACGACAGGGAACGCCCTGAACCGCCCCCTCGCCACAACCTCCGCGAGCTCGCGTACCGCGCACCGATCGCGGACGCACGCGAGGTCGCGCGCGGGCTTCATCACGCGCGCCGCGGTTTCGCCCGCGTCGCGGAACGCGCGTGACGCGGACAGCCACGGGTACTGTCGGAGCGCGATCCACGCGGCGTAGATGCCGTCGCGCCCGAGGGCGTCCCCGACCCACTTTGCGAGCATGACGGAGATCATGATCGGCAGGACGTGCGAGAGCGCGCCGGTGAGCTCGAAGAGGATCACGACGAGCGAGACTGTTGTTATGAGGGGATGCAGGGTTAGGGTTGGAAAACATTGCGGGCGAAAAGAGGCGTACTTGTCATGCGAGTGACACCGCCGAGCGCGGCGGACGCGCCGATGACGGCGTAAAAACCGGGGGAGATGCAGCGGACGGTGGGATCGGGTGGCAGGAGGAGAATATCCAGGCTTCAGGGTAGGCACGATACAGGCCTTGTGTGATGAGACCCACGGCACGCCCAAGGCATGCTCCAATGGTAATTGTGGGGAGGAATATACCGGCAGGGATCTATATGAGAACGTCAGGGCAGTGATCTGGATGAGACAACAGGGGTGACATACCATCATCCCGAATGTCCACGCAGTAAAGCCGACCTTGACGATAGCGGTCAGCACCAACAGGAAAACATTCGCTCCAAGCGCTGTGGGGCTGTAGCGACGAGGTTATTGAACACAAATCCCGTATCAGCAAAGCAGAGACTGACTTGCACAAGCCGTGATAGTCGGTCTTGGTGGTATCACATTCTTGGAAAAGATTGGCGACAAGCTCCGATGACTGGACGCGGAGGAAGACCACAGGGTAGCTGACCGCCGCAGTTATCGCGGTGAAGCCACTACTTCGATGATAGGATGGTCGTTGAGGATGCTGTTGCGCCTATAGACTGCAGCAGCAGTATTCAACTTGATGAGAAGCGATCCGATTAGACCCTGTGGGAAGAGAGTGATAGCTGAGTCCAAAGGAGAAACAGACAGAACTTCCAACACACCCCGACAACAGAGAGGAAAACCCAGGGAATCTAGTCGTGGTCGTCAGCAGCATCACGTGGAGTACAAGAAGCATATAAGTACCAGCTCGAAACCGCGCCAAGTGCTCCCGGTCTCCGACACCTGGAACAGCACCAACTTGGAAGTCCCAAAGGGGTCCACGTATTGCAGCGACACGGCTGCAATGACGGAAGTCACGAATCCGCGCCACATTGCATCGCTGTCGTTCGCGAAGGTATCGAGTTCTTCCAGACCGAAGAGCACTCCGCCAAGGGGGCTTCCGAAAGCGACAGACACTCCAGATGCTGCCGCTGCGGCGAGCAGTTTCCGTTTCCGTGCTGTGAGGATGTCAATACAATTATTCGAGAGGAGGCGATAAAAACGGACCTTCGGTTTGTCGGCCTTGACGGAGAATGCGGGACATGAGGAACGACCAGCAGCATGCGACGTGGACGAGGGGTCCTTCTTTGCCCAGAGATAGTCCCGACGCTACCGCAAGCGCGAGGCCAAGTGCCTTAATGAGGAGGACCCATGGGCCCAAGAAGGCGTCGAAGACGTAGCCGCTGAGGATCTTTTGAAGGTCAGGAGGGAATCATGTCAGCGATATGGACCGACAGAACTCACGGCTTTGATTTCGGGAACTGTACGCGTCGTTCAAGGCTATCAACCATGCCAACGAAGAACAGGGACCTGCACGTACGTACTTCCTGTGTGAAACGCGCTGCACAGGCGAGGTAAGCAAGGGCACATGCTTTGAATAACGACAGTACCCACTATGGAGCATAGCTCAACACAAGGAACGCGGAGGCTCCGGCAAACGCGATCTATAGGAAGGAGGGCGTGAACGCAAGCCAAGGATTTCCGTGAAAGCTAGACGCACCGAAAGAGCGATATATACCACAGCATGAAGGAGTGACTGCCCAAAGATCGAGCTAACATGGAGGTACTCGCTCCACGTCTGCCATTCCCGACAGATCTCTCCAGCTAGGTGTATTGGCATGAGCATGCACACATGGACGACCGAATGGGCACTCACGATCCAGTCCACTACAACACGCGACTTGGTTGTAGAAAAACCCGTACGAACACCTTCCTTCTCGCAGGTCCCCCAACCTAGGTGTCCAATTCCGACACGTCTGGCTCGTCCCTCGACCTCAAAGAAAATGAAGCACTCACCATCGCACCAGGACGTCCAGCCACGCACCCATGATCCCAATCCCCACGCCCGTGAGCACCACAACGAGCCACATCCCCGCCGAGTCGAGCACCATCCCGGTGAGGCCCAGCAGCCCGCGCCGGGAGCGGATGACGAGCTTCCGCTCGCGCTCCGCCGCCTCCTCGCGGAACCAGTCGATCGTGCTGCCCTCGTCGTACGCGACCTGCTTCTCGAGCGCGCGCGCGGAGAGGTGGTGGGGCCACGCTCCGTCGGGGCGTACTCGTACGCCTCGGCAGCACGGAGGTCGTCCGCATGCGGCTCGGGCTTGAACCACGGCAGCTGGCTTGAGGAGCCGTTGCTGTGCGGCGAGTGTTGGTCAACGTCTAGGAGGGTAGAGGCGACGTACATCTCCATGGGGTGGTTTGGCGGCTGATGTTTGTGCAGAAGCAGCGCCGCTTAGGTTGTGGAAGACGGAGAAGTAAGGTGGAAGTGGTTCGCGAGGAAGAGCTCGCGGACGTGTCTGGAGCAAGTGCGGGAATCCGAGATTCCCGGACTACCTCCCATAGGCGTCAGTTACAGTAGGCGGCACATCCAGGCTTCATGAGTACATCAAGATTACTTGTGGAATAATAAAAGACCTCGCTACCAGTGACTAGTGATACATCGAGAAGACGTCAAGTTCTACAGGGCAGACACTGCCAGACAGGGATGTAAGCGCGTAAAGTACAGTGCGGTAACCAACAGTATCATGAACCTCGTTCAACGAAGTAGCAGAACAGCAAGACGTAACCTGCACGTGTGATCGTGAGAGTCCAAATGGAAACACATGGGCCCATGTCATAAGCACAACAGAACGAGAAGCAGGCACTGACCCTCAGGCCTCAGGTCTCAGACCCAAGCGACAAGGGCGGCCGCAGCCGCACTTAGGATGACCATACCGAAGGACGCCGTCACCAGCCCCGCAGGCTCTTATGCGTCACCTGTCGCGACCCTGCGAGCAGCGTCGCGGTCGCGGTCGCGATGTACCGGTCCCACGCCTCGATCGTCGCGCTCGGGTACACGAACGTCGACGTCGTCGAGATGCTGCCCAAGTAGATCCCGTCTTGGCCCCGCAGCGCGTCGACCGCCAGCGCCGCGACTTCCCCGCCCTCAACTGAGAACCCGTCGGGGCCGGTGGAGGAGAGGAGCAACCCGGTGGTGTTGGATCCGAAGATGTACTCCCGCGCGAGGGTGAGGGCGCGCGAGGGGTTGGTGTAGGGGATGAGGTGGCCCGCGTCCTCGACGAGGATGTATGTCCAATTGCGCTCTTGGTGGACTACGCCGGCGGATAGCCCCGCTTCGTCGTACCAGGGCGTCGCGGGCCGGCGAGTGAAGCCTTGTACGCCGCCGAAGGTAGTGTTTTGTATCACGACTGGAAAACATTGTCAGCGTATACAACTGGCATCGAGGAGGACGATCCCCACTTTCGTAACCACGGTGGGCGATGAGAGCGTCATCGTTCCCCATGTAAAGGACGACTGAAATGTCGTTTTCGGACATGTTGGTCGCGAGCTCAGAGAGGAAGGCCATTGGCTCGACACCTGAGAATGACATTAATGACATGCAAATCACGAAGTGTAAGAGACACATACTAGGGTCCCAGCCGTTGACAGGATCACCAAGAAAGGGTAAGAGATTGATCCTGCCCAGTTCTTGCTTGTGGCGCATGGATAGCTGCGCGAACTGCGTCATCTAAACGTAGTGGGATCAGCACAGTGTGATGGATGCCCCATGACGAGCATGCTTGCCATTGAAGAATTCAGAGCCGTCTATAGGGAACTCAGGCCAAAGACCGTCGGTAATCTGGTACCACTGTACAGACATGATGTCAGTGCGGTTCAGACAGCGAGAGTTGCTGTGTACTCACGTCCCAGCCCTGCTCGTTCGCCGCGTTCCCCACGTTCACTACAACACGGATTATCAGTATGGAACGAGATGCAACTAGTCATCCACTTACTCCACGGTGCAGAGAAGTTCATTGCGTAGTCAACCAGCTCCTCCAGCAAGTAGCATCCATACCATGGATCGAGAGTTCCGTTCGCCCTGTCGCTCAAATCGCGCTTCTCCGCGATCCACTCGCTGGTGCGCCTCTTGAGCCCCTTCGCGTCCGCGACAGTGGCCAGTGTAGCGGCATCCAGTGCGAGGTTTGCCAGCTTTCTGCGACTCGCGCGGCGCGTTTGCGCGAAGTTGGCCCGGTTAAGGTCGGTAGGATCGGTGTACACAAAGGAGGGAAAGAGGCCTCCGGACTGTGGGTAGGTGAGGTTGATGTCATAACCGCATAGGTGTTCTCTAAGAAACGAAGTCAAGCGGATCAGATAAAGACACGAAGCGCGGAAGTATCGGCTTCGTACTGTTCACGGAAGTATTCAAAGACCTCGGTATTGTATGCGATTAGTTGGGGGTACGTTTCAATGATCGTGAGCTGGATAGAATACAAGTCAGCTGGGGGGATTCGTTCCTTCACTGGCGGCTCTTACGACAGGGATCTCTTCAAAAACAACACCAGATCCAATCGTACCGTCCCCGATTGCGAACTTGGAGATCTTCACGGGAGGATTCTCCAGCTGGAAATACGCCTTCATGATATAGGGCTGGAGTAAACGGGGTTAACACGCCACCGCACTAGCATAGGTTTCTGATGCTCACGATGTAAGTCCCTGCGTAGCTTTCCCCCGTCAGATGAAGCGGCCGAGTTGCAAGACTCGGGAAGACTTTGACAAGGTTGGTGAGGAAACCCATCTAAAGACTTTGAATCAGTATATGCATGAATGGAAACTTCATCGGAATACTCACAAAATCGGTTCCAACCTCATCTTCGTCGTGGACTGTGTCAGATTATGTTAGTGACCAACACTCCGTACATATAGTCACAGTCTTACCGTAACCATCAGGCTCTGAGGTCGCCCAACCGACACCTCTGCATATAGCTTGATTAGTAATTTCGTCTTGCTGCGTTCAAACGCAACGACATACACAGGCTGGTCAATCCAGAAGTAGTCCGCGACTTTGTCCCAACTGTAGGTGTTTTCCCAAGGTTTTGAGTCGGCGTCAACGTGAATGGGTCCGTTCTACAAAGCAAACATCAGTTTGGGTGCAATGAAGGGTGAACCCGTGGAATAAACCTCGTAGACCAGGCCAAGCATACTAGACGACCCGGGGCTGCGAGAGTAGGATCATGTCAATGTCGTTCCCTGTGTACGTGAGCTCACAGAAAGACCACGCACCCGCCGTTCAACCAGATGCCCCAGGGCTCGGAGGACCGCTCATCTGCTGCGGCAGTGAGTGATCCGTTCTCACTCTCGAACCCCCAGAAGAAGAGGGTGTTGTTAGGGTGCGCGGCGCGATTGACGCCAATGTTGCCCGCAAAGCTGCGCGGGAGAGTCCAGTTGACGCCCGGAAGAGCGTCTGTGACCGCAAAGTCTGAAGAGGAAAAGTATTACGACGTCAGCGGGATGTTATATGCGCGTCATCTGGGCGAGAGAAGACGCACAGGACTGCCATGCAGGACTGTAGTCGCCTGACGGCTTGCCGGAGTAGTCGTGCGGCCACGAGCTAGGTGTGGCACTAGCAGGAATTGCCGCGTACGCCGCGAGTGGAGCGGAAGCCACAAGGGCTGCAAGGAGGCGGGCGCGCATGGCGAGTGCGGATGCGCGAGAGCCGGGTGGAGAGGGGGCGGCGGCGGTGAGGATGGGGGACGAGTGCGAGGGGTTTTTATACCGACACGGACCGTCGGCGGCTGGACTCGACGAGGGACACGGGTGAATCTGGATCGCTGGCGAAGGTCAGCCCGCGTGCCGGCGGGTTGAGAAGATGGCTAGGTTTGATCTGCCCGAAGGCGAACGGCACGAGGTGACTCGAGGTCCGTTGCAGGAAACGTCGTCGGCTAAGCACCGTCAGCCCAGAGTAGCCACAATAGCTGCTTGTTGCTGTGGCGACAACGGCACCGAGAACGGCCTCCCCGTGCGAGCGGAGGAACTTGGGCACAATTGTGGTCATTGAATGCTGCCAGGACCTGACATTTCCGGCACCTTCTGACAGTAGCATAAGCATACCGCATGCTAAGGCCCAACATCATAGACTGCTCACCGCGAAGTGATTCCCGACGCAGCTTCTGTGGATGGTTGCAGCTCATCGGGTTGCTTAAGCTTGTGGCTTCAACCTTCAGGAAAGAAAAATGGCCAGTCATACAAGGCACGAGGACGGCAGGGCGACGTAAGCGACGAGCTCAGAATATTCGATGTTCTGAACACGCGTTTTCCAAGGACTGACACGCTCGAATGGGCTGGGCAAATTACCTCTTCCCACAGCTATTGTCATGCACCTGAAGGCCTCATGGCCATTCTTCACCGCGACAGACCGACCATTATATCACCGAAGGCGGATAGAATGGCGAAGGATGGGGAATGAGTTTGCGCAGTCATGGCTCCATTGAGAGAAGGCCGGAGGGGGTGGTCATGCTAAACAAAGACACGACCCCGAGATGCAGCAGGACCTCGTATGCGCTCAGCGAAAGGCGAGAACGGCGAGCCGGAGAACTTTGCATCGGGGTGGAAGGAAGAGAGTCGCGTGAGCGCTGACTTCGAAGACGCGTCGGACCTCGGTGGCGTTGAGCGCGTCGCACGAGCCCGGCCGCGGACGTCCACCATCGCCTCTTACCGCGATCATCTCTGCGCCCCTGCGCCCCGCCGCTGTCCAGCATTTCGACGACGCTTTAACAGGGTTGCATACAATGGCGTTCCAAGCCTTCGCCGGCCCGTCAACGTCGCAATTCAGCCACCCCTCCCTTTCGCAGCCCTACTCCACACAGTCCTCGACTTTGCAGCCAACACAGCAGGGCTACCCAATCTTCTATGGACCAGATGTCCCCATACAATCCGCGCCTACTGCCTCGATGTCTGAATTCCTCCTAAACCCACTCGCGCGCCTCCAAACGCTCTCGACCACAGTCTTCCAGTCGCTCGGCCCCCCGCAGTCCCGCCCACCACCCGCGCCCAGTGTATCGGAGCTCCTCGCGGCGGACACGGCGCTCGCTGACGCGATGCAGCGTGCGCGGGCGCACCAAGTGCGGCAACGCCGTATAGAGCGGCTGAAGGACGAGGTCCTCGCGCTCGACCGGAAATGGCGTGAGGCCGTGAACATCCTAGACGAAGGACGGAGAGAGCTCGACGCGATCGTACGAGAGGGTGAAGAGCGAATAAAGGCGATCGAAGAAGCAAAGACGGGTGAGTGGTGCTCTACGTTTGCTCGTGTATTCGCCAGAGCCGGGCGGAGCGGGCACGCAGCTCGACCTTCTTCACGCCGGCGAGCTGCGTGCCCGCACATCCATTCCTCGCCGCGCTGCGGCTGCATGGAAGCTCTGTCGCGAGGTGGCCGCCGCCGCAAGACGAGACAAAAGAGTTGCCTCTGTGCCCGTCCTCCGGTGACAGAACACACCGCAGCTTTACCTACCCCCAAGTGCACTCCGACGTCCGCGGCCATAGAGCGCGCCCTGGCCGTACGTGTACGGACCGTACGCGCGCCGTCCCTCGTTCCTGCCCGGCGCTCGCGCTATTGTCCCGCACAGAAGAGAAGGCCATGCACCCACCTCGCAGGTTCCTGCGCATATGGCTCTCAATCAACCTTTCAGCCTTCCTCTTCCGCGTACCTCGCCCGGCCCGTTGTACGCGCGCTAACACACCGTCCTCGCCAGCCGCGATCCCGTATCCGGAGCTGCTCGCGTATGCGCAGAGCCTCTCCGCGTTCACCTCCGCGCCGCCGAACATGCCCGACCTCGCGCCTGGCCAGCCCCCGCCGCCGCTCTTCTTCCCGCCGTTCCCGAACGAAGAGAAGATGCGCCGCGGGCACATGAACGACGAGGCCCGCTCGGCATCCTCGGCGAGACGCATTCAGTCAAACGTACGTCCTCGCGCCTGAGCAGCGTGACGCTGACGCTGACGCCCTCTTCCTCGCCGCGTCCACTCTGGAACCCTGTTGTGCGTTGCTTGGTTACAATTCCCAGCGCGTCCCGTGTCGCCGCCGCCGCTCGAGCTCGGGACGTACCCCGGCGCGAACCCGTACCGCCCCGACCTGCGGCCCCCGCAGCAGCCGTTCTTTGACCTCGACCTCGACCTCAACCCCGACCTCTGAGCGCAGTCCGATGCCATGACTCCGCGCCATACCACCTCACGGACGCTTAGTGCGTCCGAGATGTCTGTCCCGGCCGCCATCCATGTCGACGCCCATTCGCGGGTTGCTAGTCTTCCAAACCCTCGAATTCCCTCTCGGCGGGCTTCCCGTCAAGACGTCCCCTATCACCGGCACATTATGCGCTCTCACTCCACTCCACACGATGACACCATATTCCAACTCCAGTCCTCACCTCATCGTTTTGGCGGGAGACAGCTAGATAAACCCCGTCCCCTGCGCCCAACGGCTGTCGTTGTTATGCGCCGTCGATTCGTCAGGCCAGATGCGGTCAATGGGGAGGAGCAGTCTGCGGGGTCAGGGTACTATAGCAAGTATACGCGCCAGAGGTCGCCGACCCCTGATGGTATAAATATGTACACAGCTGAATCTATCTCCTCAAGGCGGGTGCGCGTACATGTACGGGAACTGCAGAAACCGAGGTCCACACCCCCGCGCTCGCAGGTGCGGCGGAGGGCAACCGCGACGACAATACCGCCTTCGAACTGAGCTATGTACTGTTGTTCACGACCAGTGCGAGCGCGTTCCGCCAGCAGTCGGGATTAGTGCGAGCGCGCTAGCGACCGCGGTAGTAAGTGCTCGCTTCTGTGCGTCTCGCAATCTCAACCTGAGGCTGCAGTTCCTGCGCAGACGAAGGTCGACCTAAAATCGTGCTGAATTCTGCGCGGACGTACTCGCGTTGGCTCGTGAGCCGCGGAGCGCTCGCGCCGACGCGCGACGCGCACGAGCCCAGTCAATAGCCTACAAGTCGGAGGCGGGAAATAGATGGGTACTATAGAAGGATACAACAAAGTGGGCGTGCTAGATCATATATATGGGATCGATGAGGAAAAGGACAACAACATGAGCAGCGGCAATAATACAGATTCGAGACGAGTGCGTATGAGTGCAGTTACATTGAACTACAGTGATTGAAAGTCTGGGGTGCTCTACGGCTTGTACACAGGGAATGGGATGAGCGGTGGGCTACGTGAAGGGTCTTCTTCGTTCATGAATCGTCTGCGCGTCGAGACGTCAGCGAGAGTTCAAACTTAGGGACAGATAACGTACCGGAATATCTGCATGTTCACGTCCGCCTTAAAACGACGAAGAGGTGGGTATTGTCGTGGGTGTCGACCTCGGCGCACGAGTCGCATAGATCCTTCGGGCAGTACGCGCAGTGGAACCACTCGCCGCGGATGTGCGACATACACCGGTCGCATACGGCGAAAGCGTGTGTGAGCGAGCGGAGGTAGTCTGGGAGGTATAAGCAGGCGGCGAAGTGAAGACGACGCAGAGGTCACCTTTGGGGTCGTTCACATTGATGGCACCGTTTGGAGGACCAGCCGGCTTCTTGTACCTGTGCGAACATAGACTGAGCACACAGAGAGCAGTAAAACTGGAAGACGAGACAAACAATCGCGGCAGAGGGGGCTGCAGGACCAGCGCCCGGTCCACGACGCGTGGCAGCTTGAAGAAAACGTGCCAGGTGTCGTGTAGCGCATACGAGCGCGCTTCGCACCGCTCGCACAAGCTAACTGGCTTTGGGTAAGACGGACAATTCGCGCACTGGTAGCGCACGCCCACGATGGGTTGCGAGCACCCATCGCACGTTACGCCGTGGTCCGGCTCGGGCATATCCTTCCCATCCGGGCGCTGCCCAGTGCCCAGTACCGTGTTCGAGTAAGAGGACCCCTCGGGTTCGAACGAGTTCCGCCGGGGACGTCCGTAAGCCGTCGAGTTGTCGCCATCTTGGGCGCATGCTGCATCGCGATCACGACCCGTCCATAGCCTGATCGCCATCTGACTTGTGTTCTGCAGTTCTGCCGTAGACATCGGGTGTGGGATCTGCGCGAGGGATGTGAGGGGAGGATCGAAAACGGGGGAAACAATCCCACCTTGATCATGATGTGCGATGACACGTGGCCACCGTCTGCGGAGTCAATATTGCCGGGAAGTCCAGCAGCATCGCAATTAGAGCAGATGTCGACATTCTCGCATATCGCGCAGTGGAACCGCGCGCCGACAATTTCTTGCATACAACTGCGAACTTCATCAGACACAGAATCCAAGGATTCAGGGACGAAAACTCACTGAGCACAGTGTACGCCGATGTGAGTCATCGCTAGTCGACATTAGTTAGTTAAAGATGCGATAGTTATGCGATGGCGGCTAACAGGACTTACAAGGCTCTTCCAGGGATGTCGATTGTCGATGTGAAAATTCGGCGACGACTGTGCTTGACGAGTTCGAACTCGACTGCTTGTTCGGTACGGCGAGGAAAGCGTGCGCGGGATGCACCTCGTACACTTGCCTAAGTGGTTTTATACGCGGTATCAGCGTTCCAATGGCTGCGACGTCCGAAGCACACTTACCTGTAGCATGCGCGGCAGAGGTTGAAGTTATCACAAGACGCGCATTTGTATCGATGACTCTTGATAACGGTGTTGCAGGTCGAACAATGACAATTGCCTTGCCCTCCGTGTTCTGCATACCCCGACATCAGCAACAAAATCGCATGCGCAGGCAATTCGGCTGTTGATGAGAACGCCACAGCTGCGCAAGAGACGCACCAATATCTTCCCAGCCATCATGCGTCCAAGTCTTCTCGATGTACGCGTGCCGTAGGAGGCCCTTCTGACTGGGGGCGGTCCGTCTCCATCGGGAAAGAGCGCGTTCAGCGTCCTCGGGTGAAGTACCTGGGCCGGGAGAAGCACCTGGAGCAGCACTGAATTCGAGCGAGTGCTGCACTCCGAACTCCTGGACGCAGGTGGAGCAAGCTCGTACCCCATCCGAGGCGGTTCATACCCAGGAACGGCCAGGGTGTTGATGCTGTTGAGCGTCGTAGGCCGACTCGGCGGTGCAGAATGCGACGGGGAGGGTGGAAGGGGAAGGGGCTTGCGCGGCTTGGTAAGGGGAGGACGGAGGAGGGCATGTTCGGAGATATCGGGATGGTGGTCGGACGAGCCAGAAGAGTGGGAACCAGAGGACTTGCCTGAGTAACCCGAATGTTGGCTGCCGTAGAGAGTGACCGACGACACGGATGCGGCTGCTGACACACGCCACGACGGATGTGGGTGCTGGCCATTGCCGGTCCCGCCGACCTCCATAGCCCGCTCCTTGCCCTTCTCGTCGTCTCCGTTCCAATATGTGTCCATCGGGGATTTGATCTCTCCGCAGGTCGAACAGACGTACTTGATGATATCCAAGGTTACATTGCAGTTGGAACATTTGGTCGGGTCTTCGGGTGGCGCCAGTGGGGGTGTGGGACGCACGAAGGAGAGGACTTCTGGGGGAATGGATGGGTGAATAAAGCCGGGATCCTCTCCGAAGGGATTCTGCTGGGATTGGCGCGACTGACGAGAGGATTGAGTGGATGAACGGTTGAGATATGTGAACTGGGTGGCCTGCATGGAAACCGGACGACTGTCGACCATCTTCTCCAGCGAGTCTGCTACGCTCTCCGCGCCGTTGAACCCAGCGCTGGAGGCTCCCTCGTCGAACCCGAAGTCACGCATGCTTTGGGACGCCGCTGAACCACTGCTTCCTGTGAGAGTATACCGGTAGTTTCCGTGCTGGTTCTGCTCGAGTTCCAGAGACATGTTGTCCTCCAACGAGAAATCGCTGACAGACTGCATATCCCCGCTGAGTACGGATATATGTGCGCTCTGGTCGCGTAACCAGTTCGCCCCGCGCTCGGTCTGAAAAGTCGAGGCCCCGGCCAAGTTCCCTGGTGTGAGACCCGATCGTTCCTCCTCCATCTTGAGCCGCGCGAACACGGAGATTGGGTCATCGGACTGCCGTGCGAGCGAGTCGTCGGACATCATCGACTGCCTCTCTGGAGGATGCTTAGAGCTTGTGGTGCGGGGATGGCTGGAGATAGTGGCCGTTTCCCAGGCTTCTGCAGGGTCGATAAGTGGTTCGCGACTGCGGCCTGCGAGGATGGTCTTCGAGCCTTTCGCCCCATTGTTGCGGAAGACGTCGTACTTGGAGCCAAAGTCTTTGGAGCTCACCGTGATCATATCGTCATCGAGCTCCTTCTTTGCTGAAGACGCAAGTGACAGGGACAACCCACTCCCATTGCGGTTCTTGTACTCTTCCAAGCTGACGAGAGAGCCGGTGTCCGAGAGGCTTATACCATCGTAGTCGACAACTATGTTGACGCGAAGAGTGATCTTGGAGGAACGGAAGCTCCGACCAGAGAGAATGGAGGCAGCCGAGGACAGAGGGGGGTCCTCTGAAGGCGTGGGTTTGAAGTAGTTGATTGCTTCGGTGAGGTCGGTCTCGTTCGTAATGGATATCGTCTCGGAGTCGTCGTCGACGTAGGCAATGAAGAAAGGAGTGGCGTTGAGGCCAAAACACCTCTCCACCTGGACACCGGTTCGCAGCAGATCGAGTCATGGGTAGAACACACACACCTGCTTGCGGAGATTGTCGTATGTGCATAGTCTCGCGGTCGGGTACGTGATCTTCTTGCTGCCGCGCTCCTCGTGGGTGCACTTCACAATGAGCGGCTTCTCTGGGCGCGGTTCGGATCTTCCATAGCTGGATCCGCCGTAGTCTGAACCGGCCACAGACATCCAGATGAGCCTTGGGAGGAGGAGAACAGCGGGTGGCTGCGCGAACTGCGCACTTTCCGATCCGCATATGCTTATGTCAGCCTCCGTCATCCGGATAGCCCGGCCCGCTCACTGACTGAGCGCGCGCCATCATCCATTCTCTACACTGCGCTCTTGCCTCCGAAGTCGTCTCACAACTTACCTCGTCTCAGTGAATGGCCCGAGGTTGAAGCGTCCAATCCAGCGCTTGCTCTTCGCTGAAGGCCTGAACGTTTGAACTTGCTAGCCATCGACGAATCATAATCACAAGCCTGTGATATGCGTGGTGAGCTATGACCTTCATATAGCGAATACGGTTCCAATGTTCTCGTGGGGCGGCCGCCAGCGTGCGAAGAAACAGGCACGGTACGTGATCAGGTGCCATGGATTGCTCATAAAACCTGGAAAAAGGACTACCATCCTGCGTCTTCTGTCCCCCTCACCCTATATCATCATGCCTGGGGAACCAGTAAAACTCGTCACGGTCAATACAGCACCGGATCGGGCGAAACGCCTCATAGGAAGGGTCGTCGAAGATGTCAGAGACTCCTACACTATCGTGTACGCTGCCAACGCCGAAAGTGAGTTATATGGGCAAAGGCCCATTCCGCCGCGGGCTAATTATCGATCAGGAATTGAGGACGTGAAACCAATGCTGTTGAAGGAAAGGCCAGACGTCGTAGTGAGTTGCGAGCCACACAGGCCGCGATCGAAATCCAATACCCCGAGCTTCACAGTTCACAGCGTCCATGTGGACCCTAGAGGAGTCGCAGGTGGGTTACGATGGCATATAATCAATGCCTTCACGAGATATAGTGGTTGAACTCATCTCTACAGAAAATTGTACAGCTTGCCAAAGAAACAGTCCCGGGGATTAAGACGTTCTGTCTCCCATATGGACTACAGGCTGAGAAAGGACCGGATGCAGTAGTCGAGTATATCGAGGAGAATCTCCCTGGTCTTCTTGGATGATTACAACACAACGCAGCGGGGCGTTTTCGTGGTTGACGGAAGAGAGTGCGTAAAATTCCCCGCGTGAGTCTTCTCCGGTCCCAGAGTCAGGACAGGGCGCTCACCGGAGCTCATAGACTCGTCAGATTAACCGGTTCTTTACTCGGTGGACGTATCACACCAATTGTATGTATCATTCGACATTGCATCGTCCTCTTTTCAAGCGTGGGCCCGCTTCCAATAACCCTTGGGGCCCACGGGAAACCCTACCATCGCGGCACTCGGCGCACTATCGCCGCTCCACAGACCGCGTACTCCCTTCAATGCCGACGTCCCTCAGCTACATCCGTCCTTCTGTTGTCTTTCGGGGGATGCGGTCACCCACGAAAGTGGGAATGTGACAAGCTCCCATCATGATTATGCCAAAAGCTCCACCATAATCGCCGCAGATAAGCAGATCCGCTTGATGTGACATGATACTGCGCCACTTGAACCTTGGCTACAAGCTTGTGTTTCTATGTATGGGGAGGGGGCCGTAATGTCTCAAAATACTCACCACTCGCTTGGGGCTGTACAGGATTAGTCCCAACCAGCTGACATGAACAGAAGGGGTCCCGGCGCAAGATGGAGTATAAGACCACCGTCGAGCGAGCACGCTGACCAGTAACTTCGTCATTTCTCTACATCGATGTCAAACTCGAGCGATTCGGACGTTCAGGACGATGTTCAGGACCAGTGAGGTCGGATTGCCGGACCTCCAAGACATACGCTGATGTGTTACTGAGTAGGCTTCTCACCAACATGTGCAGTATTGCAGTAGCAGGTACGCATACTACATTTTACACTTCCCCCAGTTGTGCTGACGGAATACAGCGTTTTTCATCTACGAGAGCGTGATTGTCTTCGGCCGTGAAGTGGAGCTGTTCTGGAAGGCAAGACCATCCGGGGCCACCGTCATCTTCTTAACCAACAAGTACTTCCGCCTTTTATACTACATCTTGGGGATCAGCGCCTTCATGTATACGTTTACATTCCAGGTATGCGTCTCCGACAGCCTTATGCACGCACAGCTGACGATACCCTGTGACAGAGGTATTCATTGCTCTGGACCGTCAACTATCGAAACAGAACGTTGACATGCTTTCCAGCTGCACAGCGCTGCAATTCACCATTTGGACCCTAGAAATCCTCGGGTACTTCCCCGTCGCTTGTGAGGGCATTGCCTCCTTGACTCCGACGGTTTCGTGACTTAGAGACGCAGTCTTTTCGGCGCTTCGATGCCTTGCTCTCAGTAGAAGCAAAGTGTTGGCTCTTCTTGTGCTCCTCTTGGCTCTCGCGCCTGCAGGAGTCAACACGGCACGTCTTTCGAGTACCCCTTTCCCACGTTGTCGTATTCATAACACACCTACAGGCCGTCTACGGTATGGGTCTCACCGGAATAGTAGACCCAGATAACGGCTCATGCGGCTCGGTGAACAGTGTCTCGCTGGACACCGCGTTCAAGTGAGTAACATGGGATCTTTCTACGTTTTAACCGGACCAACTCATTGTACTTCAACAGATGTATGTGCGACGAGTATCCTTCAAGCATGCTAACTAATCGAACAGCGGCTTAGTTGTCATTGTCTCTCGCACGGGCCTCATCACCGCGGACCTCATCCTCATCGCCGTAACGTGGATGCAGCTTTTCAGACCGAAAAGTGGTCAGAATGGCCTTGGCAGAGGATGGCGCATGTCGTTCGTCAACGTGGTGCTCCGTGATGGTACGTCGAACATATAATGTGTCTCGAAAAATTAACACGTCATATGCGCAGGAACCATATACTTCTTGTATGTCTCGCGCTCTGACTTGACTATATACGGAGATGAACTGATGTGCGCGCATCGATCAGTGTGATGCTGGTGTTCAACGTGCTGCAACTCACGTTCTCACTGCTTTCGGTGAAGCCTTCTATGCTCGCGGCGATCTTCAAGCCTCTGACGCCTCGGATGACCTTCGCAGATCTTCGGCACGGGCGACCCGTCTGCCGGAAGCAACATCCCAATCTTCACCGATCCGTAAGCTTCCTCATCGCGGTTTTCCCTGACACCTCTGACCTCCCATAGCATCACCACCATGCTTGTCTCGCGCTTCCTACTCAATCTTCAAGAGGCCAACCAGCGCGCAGTCGCTGGAGTAGTGGTCTCCTACTCAGACTCAGCAGACCTCGGCGGACGCTACCCCTCGGCGGCAGTGTTCAGCAGCGCGGGCAACATTGAGTCAATCAACTTCGCGAGGGCGATGGGTTCGATTGGGACCTCCGTCGTTGCGAGCATCGACGAAACCGATGCACGAGGTCCGCTGACCCAAGGTGGATCTGGTTCGGAAACGCCGTCAACCGAGGATTTCGAGCGCCACGGAGGGATGATGTTGCGAAGTTTTAGACAAGATGTGCCTCGGTTATAAGGGCAAGGAGGGTAAGTACACTGTACTAGTAGACTGTTATGAGCCATGGAGTCCAAGACAGACCGCTTTCCGAGTATCATCATCAAGTTATCGAGAAGTCCACCCGAGGGCATGAACCTCTTCATCATGTTCGCAATAGCTGTAGGTCGCTCCGTCGTTCCCCCGAGCCCCTCCGCATAGGAGTCAAGCTGCCGGCGAAAGCCTGGGTTCGGCTCGACCACCTCGCGCTTCGAAACGCAAAGCCGTATCGCGTCCCACGGGCTCATACCATGCTCAGCAACGAGGTACGCGCACACGACCGTCGCAGAGCGCGAGATGCCCATCGCGCAGTGGACCTGTCAGTCTCGTTGTCAGCTCAGCCGACATACACACGTACGGAAACAAGGCAGTGCAAGAACGCACCAGCACGACGTTCCCCTCCCCTTCCAAGGCGCTCGCGATGAACGCAGTCGTCGCGCCGAAGTGCTCCAGGACAGTGTCCGCGTCCTCGTCGTCCGGGAGCGCGACGTGCATCGTCGTCAGGCTCTCGGCGAGCGCGGGAGGGTACGGGGGCACCTGCTGGAGCACGGAGCGACGTGCGTCGCGCCCATCTCGTGCATCTGCCCCTCGTCGATGACGGTGATGTAGCCGGAGAGGTAGAGTCGCGGAGGATCTGTGAGTGCGTGGCGATGCATCCGCTGGGGCGCGCGGGAATACGTGGGTCATGGCTAGATTGTGCTGGGGACGCGGAAGTAGAGGGGGACATATGGGAGAGGTGGACGATTTACTTCGTTGCTCTTGTGGATGTCCGGCGGTGGCGATGTCGTCGGGCGGGCAATATGTCCTGTAGCTCGGTGCGACATATAGAAAGCAGGAATGACAGGTCAGCACCGCCAACACAAACATATATGGGATAACAGCGAATCGAAGCCGGCAGACTCTACTAGCACATCTACTCATCGTAATGTGTGCCGCCTCTGTTTGAGTTGAATAAGCCGGACGGTATAACATTAGTGTATTGCAAAACATAGCTATGAACGAACAGCATGACACAACAAATCGACGGACCCTACGTAGCCTTGGCAGACAACTCGACGGCGTGTTTGAAAGCGCCCAGGAGAGCGTTAGCTGGAGTTTCTCATTCCTCCAGTTGAAAGTCGATGTCTGAGGTTGGAGTAAGTAATTGAAATGGGCAAGATGCGCAAAGAACCTACTCTGTAGTTGCTAAGAATCCAGTAGTATATGCGTACGTGTGGTTTGAATTCGATGGTCTCAATGTATTCGTATGCGCCATTTATTAGATCTGGAAGCGCTAGTCCTCGGTCCGTCTTGATAGCGTGATCACTGTGCGAGAATGGGCTACTGCGGATACGAATTAGAAGAGCGAACATACTATTATACGAAGTGGTGAACTCGTCTTGAAGCATAGAGTTGACTATGGCCTCGATATCTACAGGTGCGGGTTCCCGGTACAATTGTAGATCTCCTCTTCGCCTGTAAGATCGTACGCTGCATGGCAAGCCTGCAAAACGTTCAAAGCGCGTCGCATGTCTCCCTTAGAAAGCTTAAGCAGAGCCTGCTTGCCCTCGGGCGTAAGTTTGACACTACAGCAGGTGAGCGCACAATCGGAGCCTAGACAGCGATGCTACGTACCCTTCGCTCAATGACGCTGTCCACCCTTTTTTGCACTTCGGATATCGGTAATGGAGAGAATCGGAAGCGCGTACAGCGACTTTGTACTGCGGGATGATCTTGTTCACGTAGTTGCAGATGATGCAAAATCTGACATTGCGCGTGTACTGCTCAATGACACGGCGTAGCGCAGACTGCGCGGCCGTGGTCATCATGTCTGCCTCGTCCAGAATGATGAGTTTGTGCCTTTCTGGTCGAGCGAACGCGTTTCCGCGAAGTTCTTGATCTGCACACGAACGGCATCGATACCACGATCGTCTGACGCGTTCAACTGGCGAAAATATTGGACACATCGCCGGTCAAGACAGACGAGCAGAACGCACCTCGAGAATCTGCCTCCTGAACGAGGGGCCGTATATCCGCCGTGCCACCGCCAGAATGGTCGACGTCTTTCCAGTTCCTGGTGGTCCGTAGAACAGCATGTGTGGTACCCGGTCCTTCTCGATGAACTTCTCGACTGTTCGAGGGTTGTAAGCGGCCCGAACCACTAACATTCCGACCGAATGTACTCACTTGTGCTCGTAATGTCTTGGTGAGACACGACATCGTCGAGAGTCACCGGGCGGTACTTCTCCACCCTAACTTCACATAAGCGCATGACAAGTCAGGGCCTGCTCAGCAGACGCACCACGGTAAGTTGTCGAGATCCTGAGGCTCATCGTTCGAGATGGCTTTCGCTTTGCCTTTTCCTTTTTCACCTGACGGCCACCGGATGGGCTCGTCCACGTGCATCTCGTCGTCGCTGCTCATACTGTCGGAGTATCCCAGAGTAGGAGGTGTGAAAACGCGCCAGGAAAGAATGTGAGGACAACTGTGTACGGTGGATGTGGCGGACGCGTCGTGCAGGCGCCTACGCGTGTAACGCGACGCGTCTCGCTAAGCGCTGATTCAGCGGAGCCTCGGCCGGAGTCACCGGACGCTGAACCTTAATGCACGGACCATCAACAGAGGGTGGCTGCTGACAAAGCGGTCGGCTATATAACTTTAACTCGCGCGCGAGTACATCTCACTCTCCATCGGTTTTCGCTTTTGTCGACGACTCCACCGGCTGCGTGTTGGACAGACAGAGGCGGCCACAAAGTGAGTATTTCTATTTCGCGTTCTCTTCCTGCACATGTTGTCGATTGCCACAGCGCTGATGGACGTCGTGTGTGATCAGAATGCAGATCTTCGTCAAGACCCTCACGGGCAAGACTATCACCCTCGAGGTTGAATCCTCGGACACCATCGACAATGTCAAGGCCAAAATCCAGGACAAGGAGGGGTGAGTAATATCACAGTCGTTGCTTCTCACTACGTCCTAATGTCGTCGCAGTATTCCCCCCGACCAGCAGCGCCTGATCTTTGCCGGCAAGCAGCTAGAAGATGGCCGCACCCTCAGCGACTACAACATCCAGAAGGAGTCTACCCTTCACCTTGTGCTCCGCCTTCGTGGTGGTGCGAAGAAGCGCAAGAAGAAGACCTACAACGTGAGTCCTTCGCGATGTTCCTGAACGCGCGCAGATGCTAATTCCACGTCCCCCGTCCAGACTCCCAAGAAGATCAAGCACAAGCGCAAGAAGGTCAAGATGTCCATCCTCAAGTACTACAAGGTGGAGTCGGACGGCAAGATCAAGCGTCTTCGCCGCGAGTGCCCTTCGGCGGAGTGCGGTGCTGGTATCTTCGTGAGTACTTGCTTCCTCATTGCGATGATCATGCCACCGACATCCTACTCCTAGATGGCGTTCCACAAGGACCGTCAGTACTGCGGCAAGTGCGGGTTGACCTACCAGTTCCAGCCCGGCACGAAGCCTCCCGTCGTCTAAGCGTTCGCGCTAGATAGTCTATGCCCTGTTGTGCTGTCTGGCCATGTATCACGCTGTATGCATATGACGATTGTATCATTTGGCTGTTCGTCTGTGCATATGTTGCTTCACGAATGTGTGTTCTCGAAGCTTCTCCATTCGTGTGCGCGATTTTTTGCTGTGAAGAATCTCCTGCGTATGCAAGTGTCCCGCGCGTGTGTGTCGATATTTTACAACGTAGGCCACTGTGCGCACTCGAGGCATGTGTTCAGCAACGTATGTATTACGGTATTGACCAACTACTCTACGGGGTGATGTCAACCGACAGCAAGCATGCAGCGAGGCAGAGCTCGTGCACCGTGCAGGGTGCAGGATCCGCGCCGGGCCAATCGGAGCAGTCCGATCCGAGAAAAAACAGGCCGACGCGAGTGCGGATCAACGCCCTCGTCCTGTCCCGCCGGAGGACCATCGCGGTCAAATGCACCAAGCCACCATGCCCTCGCCACCCTTCCCTCTCCCCCATCCCCCCTGCCGTCCGCCGCCCGCCCCTCCACTCTGTCCACCGCCCGCTGTCTCCCTTCGCCGTCTACACCTTCGCCCATTATGTATCTGGCCCTCCTCATAGATGAGATCCTACAGCTCGTGTTCGACTTCTGCGGCGACATTCCCTCCCCGGAGCCCGGTTGGACATATTCACAACTCGCCCGCACCTGCAAGGCATGGAAGGAGCCGGCACTGGACAGGCTGTGGGCGAGATTGGGAAGTATTGAGCCCCTCCTGGCTCTCCAAAAGGACGACACGGTGAGTACATGTCCCGTTTCTCTTTGCGCCACCGACTTGGGAGTGGTCGAAGTGTATCACTGTAACGGTTCGCGGTCACCGGAAAGCGATCATGTCTTATGTTGAAAGGCCGTTACCCGGGACGGCCTTGAACGTCTTCGTCAGCGCTGTCCCGATGCTTGACGGGGTCGAGTATGGCGCCCCGCTCGTTCGCCACTCGGGACCTCCGGGCCTCTTATATGCGTGTCGTTTGCATCTCGCAGGCTCGGGACCCGGCCAATGGAGATGTTCTTCACGAGGTCCAGCTGCCTAAAAAGTGCCCTGTTACAAAAACTGACTTGCCCACAGATGAACTCGCTTGTCCTCCACGCATATACCTCTCGCGTCAAGAGCATCACCCTTCGACATGCGATACCCAAAACCATTAAAACACCTTACCCTCTTTTTGAGCTCCCCAGACTCGAGAGTGTCACGCTACTTTCCGACGGATGCATGGCTCCGCAGGCGTGGGCCGTTTCATCTCGTCTCAAGCACGTCCACATCAACACTGGCTACTCCAGAAGCCAGCAAGAGCTCCTCGACAGGAGCAATGCCGCTGCCAAACTCCTCTTATGCGCTGGAAACGAGGCCCCGTGCCTTGAGTCCCTTTACATCCGCGGTCGGATGACAGACACCCTCAACAGCGTGGTCACCGGCCTCACGCAACTGCGCAGCCTCAACATCAAGGGCAACTGTTTCATCGAGCCTGATACGCTCGCGGCCATCGCAACGTTCCCCGCATTGGAGTCGCTCTCCGTGTACGCAAACCGTGTCAATGCCAGCGCCTTCGAGGACGCCGTCCCCGCTGGCGTGGAGTGCTTCCCGTCGCTCAAGCGTCTCGCCATCCGCGCCAGTGGACCCTCCTCGCCGCTCTTCTCGCTCGCCTCCCCAATGGCAGGCTTACCGTCTTGACGTTGATGTGGTGGGAACCAAGAAGGGCCTTCTCACATGCAGCCCGTCTTCGAGCTGCTCGCAGAGAAGCCGCGACGAGCCTTCGCGAACTCGTCATCGATGACCTGACGGACATCAGCGAGCTGGACGCTACCCACGCTAGCCCGCGCTGGTATACGGTCGACCTCCTTGCTCCACTCGCTCGCCTGAAGGCTCTCGAGCGCATCTCCTTCCTCAGCCGGACCTCAGCGACTCCGACCTCGGCGTACTCGGCAAGTGGTGGCCCACGCTCGCACACCTCGACCTCGGAGCGCTATTTGACGATGCGGATGACGAAGTGCCAGAGTGGAAACGCAGCTCACTCCCGCTGCGTACGCCGTCGTAGCCAAGTCCTTCCCCTGCTTGCAGAGCCTCGCTCTTCCCGCGCACCCGCCCTCCACGTCGACCACCCGGGCGTCCTCACCCACACCCGACGTGAGGACCACAAGCAAGGGCCGCCCCCCGCGACGATACAGCAGCGGGTCCTCCACGCGCTCACGATCGGGGACGTCCCGGAGCTGAGACGGACGCGGCGGGGATGATTGATGCGCTTGTCGCGATCTTTCCGTCCCTAATCACTTTCGACTGTACCACGGCCGACCTCCGCAAGCGCTTTGAGGTCGTCGTTGCGTGGCTTTTCCTAGATTCACTGTACGGCCAGACTTTTTAGACGAACTGCTGCAGACATCGCTACATAGATAGAGGCTCGTGATACAGTAGACACAGCACACTAGTGATACCCTATTCGTGTTAGACGTTAGACATGGACGGTCGCTCACAAGCGGAGCGATCCCTGGATGTTTCCGATCGTATTTACATAGGAGTTAGATCACTATTACTGTTGAGACTAATACCATAATGATCTCGGTCTGGATTGTCAAAGGATACGGCCCACATGCGATAAAGTTCGACATTCATCATCTTGTTGACCCACTATGAATCCAGTGAGGTCCACCATATCAGTAAGCCTCCGGTATTCCCGCCTTGCTAGGACGAGTAAATACGGCGCGCTGCCACGCAAGTGGGAGGTCTGAGGTAAACAGCAGACGCGCAGGCTCAGTGGGCGTCGTCAAGCATCTTGCCCAGAGCCACCACCGCCGCGCTCGTTTGTCCTTCCTTCGTGCTGCCTCCTACTTTCGTTCCCGCCTACGCCACTCCTTTCATCCTCATGCCCGCTCTCGATGCCGACGCCTCGCGCTTCCTCGCGCCTCGCAAGTCGCCCTCCAGACAAACCCTCGGCCGCAAGACATCTGCCTCCTTCCGTTCCCCATCCTCGCTCGGTGATGCTCTCAGCGCGGACGACGCGAATGGCCGCCACTCCCTAGCCCACGAGCTCGCTGCAGCACTACTTCCCGAGCCGAGTGCGGGCTCGAAACTGCTCGCGGAGGAGTTTGGGATCGAGTACGACGAGGGTGCCGAGGGCATCGACGGCCTCCCCGCCGACTCCGCGGACGGCACCCGGACACCCACCTTCCACGAGGACACGCAGTTCGATGGCCTCCCAGACACCAGCGGGGCCGAGTCCCTCGCTTCGCAGCTCAACGGAGCCTCCCGTCTCAGCCCCGCCCGCTCTCACCACGACTCCCCACTCTCACCCGCCGTCTCCGTCCCCGATATCGACCCGGACTTCCGCAGCCCGCAGGTCTCGCCGACGGCCGCGGTCCGCCCGCACACTCCCTCCCGACGATCCCAGCCCGAGCAGCAAGACCCGATGGCCATCCTCGCCGCCGACCTGGAATACACGGAGCGGTTCCTCGCCCAGCTCCGGAGGCTCGACTCGGGGGAGCCCTCAGGTGCGCCGTCCGCCCCCGCGTCCGCGTCCCCTCCCGCGCCTTCCTCCGCCGCGCTCGAGAAGCTCGCGTCGGACGTCATCCGGCGGATCAACGACGCGGCCCGCGACCGCGAGGGCCAGTTGCGCGAGCTGCTCGAGTGCGAGCGCGAGTTCCGCAAGATCGCGGGCGAGGTCGGCGGCAACGACGCGCTCGCCGTCCTGCCCGAGCTCGAGGACCTCGTGCGGGACGAAGTCCACCCCGCCGGGCCCTCCTCCGCGCGCGCCCCCGCGGCGGCGGCCGCTTCCGAGGCCCACGAGCCGTCCGCAGCCGCAGAGGACCCGAACGACTGGGAGGTCGACCCGGACCGTGCGCTGCTCGGTGACGCCGAGGACGAGCATGGGGATCCTCTCGACGACCCGTACGGCGAGCCGCAGTACTCGCCCACGCCAGCGAAGTCCGAGTTTCCGCCGATCCCTCCCGTACACGGGCCTGCCACCCCCGCGGCGGCCCTTCCCCTGCTCGTCAACCTCCGCACGTTCACCGCTTCCACCGCGTCGTCGCTCGCGACAATATCCGAGCACACGCAGGTGAACGCCGCCGCGACGACGGAAGCCGGGCGCAAGATCCGCGCGCTCAAGAACAAGCTCGGCGGATGGCGGACGGAGTGGGACAGCGCGGAGCGGAGCCGCGTTCGGATAGAGCGCTGGGAGGCCGGGATCGTCGACGGGGACACGCCGCCCACGGGCTCGACGTCGCCCCCAAGGTTGCAGCGGAGGGTCGACGGTCGGAAGATCGTGCAGGAGCACCTGGAGGCATTCGAGAAGGCACTCACGGAGGCGCATACGAAGACACAGGCGATCATCGCCGCCGTTTCGTGAGTTCGCCACCGTCCGTGCGTCGTCGCCGTGTTTCTGCTGCTCCCTCGTTCTGGGCTGTGCCCTTGTCCTATCGTTATGCTGTTGTCGCTTGCTTGGTTTTCGGGGTTAAGGGTGGTGGTATGGAGGCAGGGGCGAGGCGAACGGATTAGGAAGAATCAGGAGAGGTGCCTTCACGACCCACCCACGCACGAATCTAGTATATCTCTCGCTCACCGCATCGTCAAATTGCTACCACTACAGTATATCATCAACACAGCGCCCTGTAGTCCCACATGGAATTGTTCTACATAGATCTGGGCCCCGACCATCTTACATACCTCACGCACTTCTCGTCCGCGGTGAATTATCCTGTGAACTGGAACCTATATCGACTGCATTAGACCTCGCTTGCTGTGCTCATGGCTCGGTCAAGCTCACCAGTTTGTCCTGGCGGAGGGAAGAATGTCAGCGATTGGACCAGACAGGAGTGAAATGGTGCTCACCTCGCCTCCACCGCTTCTGCTCTCACAGCGCGCTTTGGGTCGTCCAACGCCTTGGCAAGCTCCCGGAGCACCGTCGCCTTCTGCGGGTGCAAGACGTCGTACCGCACGACGTTCGGCAGCGTCGCCAGGTATCGCAGAGCGGCCAAACGCACTTTCTGCTCGCACGAAGTCCAGTCAGGCTTGGGAGAACCACGGGAACAAGAGACGGACTCACCGCGGAAGGCATCTGTGAGGCCAGACTGTTCTTGAGCATCGTTGTCACCAGATTTGAGGCGTGCCCGGTCAGCACTGTGTTGTCCTTCCCGCCGGAAGTTGCTGCGGCGAGCAGCGTGTCGATCACGTTCGCGCGGATCTCGTTGTCGGGTAGGTCGAGCCCGCGCAGGAGGAGCGGCATGAGCTGTAAAGGTGTTCCCTTCAGCCAAGGCACGAGTGGGACCCAAAAGCCAAGATGACGCTCACGGCAGGCATCTCGCTCGAGTACGTCGACTTCGGCACCGACTTGATGAGGGCGGCAAGCGCGACGAGGTACGCAGTTTGCTGGGCCGACTCTGAAGGGGCGGACGTGAGCACCCTGCTGGACATCGCACGCGGAGGAAAGGGGCCTACGCGAGCTCTTCGCGCCTTCGATGATCCCGGGAGCACCGAGTTGCAGTACTTCTGTGCGTACAAGATCTGCGAGGTACAGTCACGTTAGGTACTCGTTCGCATGGCGGTTCCGGGACGCTCGCACCCTAAGGGTGGCATGATTACGCTTTGTGAGGACCTTGTCCGTGCCGGGTATCCGCCCAATCGCGCGCGCGGCATCCCAGCTCACATGGTCTTCACTGAAGAGCCCAAAGAGACGGTCGACGTTCGCCATGGCGCCAGGGTGTCCGCGGACCAAAAGTGCTTTGGTGAGCTGTGTATGTCGGGCACACAGTCAACGAATCATGGAAGCATCGACAAGAAACGGGAGACGAACCCAAGTGAAGGTAGTAATGGCATGCCGCCGTGCGTCTGCTGCGCGCGTCTCATCAGCGATCTGGGAGGTCCAAAACATCTCGATATTTGATGATAAGAACGAATCCAGCTCTGTGAGAGTCGTTAGCAAAACACGGCAGTTTTTTCGCCGAGGAACCACTGTACTGACTGTCTGCATGCCTGTTCAATGTAGCAGCAACCATGTGCATCACAGCCTCCCTCTGGAGGGCGGTCTCCGCTTGTGTGACGTTCCATTCTAGTAGATTGTCGAGTAAAGCCACTTCGTCCGGTACAGGGAGAGACACCTCTTTGTGCAACGTAATTACAGCGGCTGAGATATGACAAGGAGGTTCTTCTGCGCGTGGATGCTCCTGGCTAAACATCGAAATGAGTCTGGAATGAACTTCAGTTTACATCTGGACACGACGCTAACCTTCAAAGGGCTGAAGTGTTTTTCTACTGGAATTTCGGCGTGTCTTGCGTGAGTTGAGCTACATCGCCGTCGAGGAAAGCCGCGAACATCGCCTTGATGAAGTCTCTTGACGTCTGGAAATCAGGAGTAAGTGACATATCGGTCAACAATCCCACAACGTGCACGTACGCAGCAGTGAGGGTTTGCGTGACGAGTGTTACGATCTGCCCGGCGATCGCAATCAACCGTGGGTCCGTCGCCGGCATCGCCATGCCATCTTCTGTCGCGAGCGCCGAGTACACGAACATGCCACACAAACGTGGCACGAGTCTGTCGACGTACTTGACGACGTCTGTGTGTCCCGCTTCCACCTTCGTTGAGAGCACATCCGCGAGTGTGCACAGGAGTGAATGCGCGTACGCTGAAGTCGGCTCGAGGGCTTCGGGGGACAACGGGGAGGACGGTAGACAGAGGAGATCGAGCTTCGTCGAGACGCGAACGACAAGTGTTTCGAAGAGGTTGGGCTGTGTGCATAGTTTTTTGAGGGATGCGAGGGTGTGCCAGTACTTGACACGCTCGGCCTCGGCGTCCCGTGCAGGCGAGCGATCGGGGAGGGAGGTGAAGAGGAGGGGGAGCGTGTTGTCTGCGACATGGGAGGGCGCGAAGGAAGAAATGGCACACAGGAGGTCCAGACACTCGTTGCTGTGAAAGGTAAAGAATTAGCACAGATGGAAGACGGCGCCACGCAGACATACCTGACGTCGCTGTCATCGGTGTCTTGCTGCAGTACTTCATTGACGTGATGTACAATGAAGCCGAGTTCTTCGTCGGTCAATAGATCACGAGTAAGCACCATGCTCTTCAGCGAGTCGACCGCGGGATAAGATGACGCTGGAGTCTTGAGACCGACGGTGAGGACACCGAGCACTTCGTCTTTGTATGGAGCCAAGGGTACTTGTTCGTCAGGGAGAACTTCAGGGTCCGGAGACGCGGTTGACTCTCGCGCAGCCTCGATGAGGTCGGCAAGTAGACGTAGTGTCGGCGCTCGGTTAGGGAGCTCGTCGGGATTGAGGAAGAGCTGAACGAAGTGTGGTATCGCCTTGCTGAGTGTGAAACGAGCCACACTCGCTGCAACACAGGTAGGTGAGGAGGACAGTCGAAACTCAACGCAAAAGAGACTGACGTGTTGTTGACATGAACGCGCAGAGAACCTTGATAGCATGCTTTGCCTGGCTTTTCTCAGGTTCACGTAAAATCTGGATACACTCATTGCAAGCGTCTTTGGCTAATCCCTCAATCTCAGCAGTATCTGCAGTGGTGTCCAATGGGGTGGGTGCATATATGGTCTTGATAAGCACTTGTGTGGTTTTCAAAGCCTTCTCCTCGATGACCGAATCTGTAGGTTGAAAGATCTGATATACCCACATTAATAGAGCAGACATGCAAAAATACAAATCGGATTCACCTCAAGCTTCAAGCAATTCCAAAGCTTCCGCGCAAACTCCCTCCGATTGCCGGACCGTACACAGAGAGACACGCGTCCATGGTATCTAGCGTATCTTTCTGTAAGAACGGGGTATGAGCTCGCTTCCCGAGTCACTGCATGACCGACTTACTTTGGTAGCTGGAGAGCCGGCTGTCAGCTTTTCCATGAAAAGCGGGAGGGCTAGCTTTCCGAAAGCAGGCGTAGCGTGCAAGCATGACCTACAGGCATTCATCAGTTTCGGTTTGAAGATGGATTCAAGTCCGACACACCGTAATGTGGTCTTCAGGTCCTCAGACGTGATGGCATAAGGATCATTAGGTGGCGGTCTGAATGTAATGGGGAAATAGCAGAAAGTGATGTTGAAGAAGTCCTGGAGCCGATGAGTGAGGGCGTGAAGCCTATGCATATCAAATATACCAGCTTACCTCAATGAACCTTTGCGTATCGAACTCAATGAGCAGCACTCGATCAATGGCAAATGCTAGGAGAAGATTGCGCGGATCCTTCTCTCCTTCGGCCAGATTGATGTAGCCTCGAACGAATTCTTCTCCAAGCCCCTTCATGGCTGGTATAGGAGTCAGAAGTATACACACGCTTTAGGCACGTGGTGCTCACCGTCTCTATATTTAGCTACGAGATTATCAATAGTCCTGAAAACCGTGAAGCGCTGCGCTTGGATGAGGACCTTCATCTTCACATGCTCGAATATCCTGTGCGTAAATGAATGTGCAGTAATGTGCCGGACCGCACGCATGTACGCACGCTTTCACAACCTCCACTGCGTCAATAGACGTTAGCATAGGGAGGGCAGTGAGGGTAACAAGCCCTTTGAGTGCGGGGATAATAGTTTCGGTGTCTTCGAGCTTGCCGCAATAGAAGGCCACGAGAGTGCGGACTTTGCATCCAGACGGCGATCAGACGAGGAGTATACCGGTGTAGCGCGCAATTTGCGCACCCGACTGTCGGTTCAGCTTCTCGGGTGGACATTTTCCAAGCACGAGTGAGAGAAATTCGACACCTGAGGCCGGAGATGAAGCAGGTGGGAGGGGGTACAGTGCGTGAACGTACCCTTGGTGCGCAAGTCGTCCTCTTCTGAGGTCAAGAACTCCCCCAGGGCCTGCACCACGTGCAAAAGAGTGGCATTTCCCCGAGTGATCTCTGTGGGCTCATTGAGCGCATGATGCCAAGCTGACTAGACACCTTCAGAACGCACCTGCGACAGTGTCCTCGACTTCTCGCTCCTGCTCGGAGGTGATCCACAATCTCACCAAACGTTCCACCTGCTCCATGGGTCAGGCTGTCCAGCGTCGATGCCAGCTATGAGAGCACAGCACGAGAAGAAGTCAAGGGTCGAAAAGTGCAGCCACCGGCTGCACGATTATGGGATGATGTCAAGATTCGCGCGAGGTGCAAATGTACACGCTTATCGTATCTGGGACCGGGCCGCTGAGTTGGAAGGGAATGTAAAAATGAGTCGACCCAGGCTCGAACTGAGGACCTTCTGTGTGTTAGACAGATGCGATAACCAACTACGCCATCGACCCATAGAAGTCGGCAATATAATGTAGTAGGTCATACCAATGAATTCACTTCGACGTCTAACGCTCACTCTTTGGTCTCAGTCTACGGGGTTTACGCCCTCTTTTGACAGCTCCGGCCCACTATCACAACCTCCTCCCTCGGCTTACATGCTACGCTGCGCAACACGAGCCGCGACGCATGCATGGATTTCGAACAGTCCCGCTCGCGCACATGCTGTCTCCCTCTTCTCTACTTCCGTTCCATTCCGTCAAGACAAGGACCCCAAGCGGCTGGAGAAGACACAGAAAGCAGAAGACAGGATAAACTACAATGACAAGGTTTCTTTCTCGGATAAGCCCGACCCGGAGCAGGCTTCGTACAAGCAGCTCACTGCGAATGACATGGAGCACTTGCGGGAGCCTCCACGACGCGTGAAGATGCTCGTGCGCGACTTCATTGAGGACGCACTCTACAACCCCCACTATGGCTACTTCTCTAAACAGGCGACTATCTACTCTGCATTGCAACCATCGACTTCTCCTCCGTTCGGAATATGGACCAATTTGATGCGGAGGTCGCGAAGCATTATGCGTCTTATGGGCCGGATGGAGAAGGTCCGGGGAAGCAGCTGTGGCATACGCCGACAGAGATGTTTAAGGTCAGTGGTGCTGAAGGGCTTCTCGAGCGTACACTAATCAGTCAGGTTGGAAGCCATACTATGGTCGAGCCATGGCGCAATGCATCGTGTCTGAGTATCTCCTCAAGTACTTTCCTTATGAAGACCTCGTCATCTACGAAATTGGAGCGGGAAATGGTACGCTTGCGTTGGACATTCTCGACTGTCTTCAGCAGGAATATCCGGACGTCTATGAGCGCACCCGCTACAACATTATCGAGATTAGTGCAAATCTTGCGTCTCTCCAGAAACGGAAGCTCTGTTCGGCCCATCCATGCGTGACGGTGAACCATGAGAGTATCTTCCGGTGGAATACACACGAGTCTGCGCCCTGCTACTTTTTGGCGATGGAGGTCGTTGTGAGTACTTCCTACGTCTTTGAATGCATTGTTTTCAAGGGTTTCGCAGGACAATTTCGCACACGACCTGATACGTTACGACATACGGACACTCGAACCTTTGCAGGGCGTGGTTACAATAGACAAAAATGGCGATTTCGGCTGCCATTACACCAAGGTCACCGACTCGCTAATCGCTTCGTATCTCACTCTCCGACGCTATCTCAAGCAACCCCCACCAATAGCTAGACCCCTCCAATACTTCCCCGCTCTGCGGTCTCTCTACGCCAACCTCCCCCTTGCTCCCAATCTCTCCAAGCCTGAATTCATTCCAACGAGGCTTCTCACTCTCCTCCGCACCCTCCGACGCCACTTCCCTCGACATCGTCTTCTGCTTTCAGACTTCTCCACCCTACCGGACACGATCCCAGGCATCAACGCTCCGGTGGTGCAAACACGGTTCCAGAACACGATGGTCACATGCGAGACACTCTTCGTACAGCAGGGCTACTTCGACATCTTCTTTCCGACGAACTTCGAAGCCCTGCGCGACGCATACGAATTCGTCCTCGCTCAACCCCGGGCCACTCCCGACGACCCTCTGGAGCCCGAGCCCGCGCGGGTCACTCCGCTCGCGACGACGGCGTCCTCCCTGCAGGACGGGATGGGCTTCTTCTCGTCTTACCATCCCAAGACGCGACGCGCTCCCGTCGAGGTGTGACGAGCAGCAGCGGGTTACCGGTTGGCGAGCGGAAGAGCCAGGTGTACACCCACGCGGAGTTCATGGGGACTTACGCGGATGTGGCGAGTACGAGGTTGCGGAGTGGAGAGAACCCGTTGTTGGACACGTACAAGAATGTGAAGTTCTTGTTTTGAGTTCGGATGGTTGGGGTCGTACATCGCGTATGTACTGCACATCGTTCATGTTCATGTTAGCTTGCATGAACAACGGACGAACGTCAGGAACGCAGGGCGTCAATGAACAAGGCACTTGCGAGGTGAACCGTGACCCGGCCAAGTGTCCGCGCTCGACGTTGATGGTTCACCCATTGTCGAGCCACCACATTGACCGCCGAGCTACGGGTTGTCCGTCATATCAGTGCAAAATGGCCGCGAAACTCGAGATTTTTTTTCTTCAAGTGGGACTTGAGATCACCCTTTGTAGCGACACGGATCAGGCACGCTCCAACTTCCCGCGCGTCCTCCGCGCGGCACTCGGGCCTCAGGCCAGCCGTGGGCGCGCGCGCATACTTATAAGGGCTCGGCGTGCTCGACAGCGTGCTTCACTCATCCTCCGCCTTCTTTCCACTGACCGGTTCAGCACCGCGCTCCAGCAGCGTCGCTTGTCCTCTCCTTCTTGTTGAGTTGCTGCTACCGTCCGCGACGGTCTTTGGAATCCCATCCCCTCCGCTCCTTCAAATCGCCTCCCCCGCTCCTTAATAGTCGTCAAGATGCAGTTCGCGTCCATCCTCTACACCATCGCGATGCTGCTTGTCTGCACCCTCGCCGCGCCGCTCCAGACTCGCCAGGAGAAGGTGTCGAATGTCAAGTGCACGGGCACCAAGTGAGTCCCATGGTCGTGCGCGCGCGCGCGCGCGTCGCCTTGCGCTGACCACACACCGTCCGCGTCCAGGGCGCTCGACTTCCACTCCTCCAACGTCGCGCAGCTGCAGATCTGCGGCAGCATCGCGGGCTCGATCCAAAAGTGCCAGGGCGCGCCGACCTCGACCGTCGGCCAGTCGGGCAACGTGCGCTTCACGATCAACCCCGTCGTGTCCGGCGATGTCATCAACATCTCCAAGGGCCGTTGGGAGCGTGCGTGTCATCCGGCTTTCTGTTTCTCCTGCGTTCCGCATCGTCCGAGCTTGTTCCGCTCACACATCTTCCTTCGCGCGTACAGAGGGCATCAAGGCTGCGTTCGCGGTGTGCGGCCAGAACATCCCCTTCACGGCGACGTTCGCCGGCGGTGCGCGCAAGGGAGACGTCAAGGTTACCTACGGCTCTGTGTAGGCGACGATGTGGAAGGTTTCTTTCTGAGGAAGCTCTGGGATCCGTATCGCATGTACAGTCGCAACTCCTCTTGCTTTGAATGTCATTCGAGTCTCTGGTGCTTTATCTCACGGGGGTACCCATGATTTGGGAGGACTGGGTGTGCTGTGCATCTTGCTGTGTTGAGCTAGCTGCTGCAAACTACTACATGAATGGTGGCGCGACCGCCCGTTGGGAGGACAAAAATTGAGTCGACCCAGGCTCGAACTGAGGACCTTCTGTGTGTTAGACAGATGCGATAACCAACTACGCCATCGACCCGTTGACATATCTCTCTAATAGTTATCATCAGCGACAATCACTTCGTCGAGCAAGAAGAGTTGAAGAAGGTGACGTAAGTGACTAACGAATCGGGCGCTAGAACTAGCGCACGGACCAGAGCAAAATCATGGCGCATCATATTTTGCCTCCTCTTCCCATCTTCATCTCGCACCTGCTGTACTTTGGCATCATCAACGCGCATGACTTGTAACACAAGCGATGGCGGATATTGAAGTGAGTGTTGCGAATAAATTCGACATGTTCTCTGCTGACAGTCAGCGTCAGGCGTTCGAAACCGCGCTCAAAGATGTTGTAAATTCGAAGAGACTCTCGCAGTCGAAAATGACCACGCTCACAGAGATGGCAATGAAGTCTGTGGAGGTACGTGTGTTCCGTCTATGAGTGCGCCCCCAGCTCCGCCCCACCCCTTTATTCTGAACGACGTTGTTTAGAATGACACGCAAGTTGTGTCTATATTATATCGGACACATAAAGCCCTACCGTCAGCATCCAAGGGTGCCAGTCTTTATGCGTTTGATGCCCTTGCGCGTGCTGCACGTCACCAGGCAAACAAGAAACGCCTTGTCTTCGACCCCCGCGCGGTCAAGGGCAACAGCGTGACCTTCCTACGCAAGCTAGAAGGCATCCTCGAAGGTTTCTTTCAGGATGTGGTGGACGTTGGGAGTGCGGACTTGCGGGTGAGTTCCATACCTCTTCAGCTGACACTCCCCTTCCCCAAGACGTGCCCGGTGTCTTTGACTTCTGTGCACCTGTATGTAGTCGGCACCACATGGTCGCACACGACGCAGACGTTCCGTCTCGATCGTGCTCGATCATGTACCGTCGGAGACGCAATGATCGCGCCTCTCGGAGGCGTCCGGGAAGGCCGACACGTCTACTGACCGTTGACGCACGGTGGGATGTGTTCCGATGCGAGATGCGATCCGGTTACAACACCGGGGTCGCGATTTTGCTTCGGAGGCTGGCAAATAACGGTAGCATCCTAACACTGACCCGCAGGAAAAGGCCAAGAAGATCCTAGACATCTGGTCGAAGTCGGAGACGTTCCCTCCCAATGTACTGACGCCGCTGTATGCCACGTTGCGGGCAGCGGAAATCGAGAAAGGTGCTTATATTTTGTCTAACTGTCCTGCCCAGTGCAGCCTTTCCCGCAATCCATTCATATTACCACTATTTTGCGTGGCGAATGTGAGATGCAAACTGAAATGTGGTTTTGTCCATGTCAGCAAACGACCCACCCGAGCGACCCACCAGTCCTCCGCGTAACGTACCTGCGCAGTCGCCAGACCCAGGGATCTCCCTCCCGGGCGGACTGAACTTGTCGCCCTCGCTCCTCGAGCTCCTCAGCAAAGCTGCGAGCGCCATTGGCGCTAATGGATCGGCACCGCCAGGGTGTGTGCATCCCGATCTCAATAGCGCGCTGGAACGTGCTGAGTTTCTTTCTTTTGCAGCCAATCAGCACCGTCCTACTTCCCCGCACCCGCGCCTCCGCTCCCGGTCTTACCACCCGCACCCGCACCCGCCTCCTCTCCCATCCTCGATGCGAGCCAGCTCGCGCTGCTCCAGCACCTCTCGCAGGCGGCCGCCGCGGTCCGTGCGCAGGGCGCAGCGCCAGGGCCTGCGGGACATTCTCAGCCAGTGCCTTACTCTGTACCAGCCTCGATAGTACCTCAACTGCCAGCGCATTTTCCTGCCTCCAATGCCGTGCAATTGCCCGTGCCCGCCCCGAGTGGGACGCCGCCAGTTGGCGCGCCGTCCTACCACGATAACCCATACGGCGCGCAGCCGCCCCCACACCATCTCGGGTACGAGTCCGAGCTGCAGCGGTACCCAAGCGCGTACCTGCCGCCGCCTCCGCAGTATCCGTCTGCGCCCTCGCACTACCCGCCTCAACAGCCCCCGCCGGTCCCACCACATAACCACAACGGGCCCCCCGCGCCGTACCTCCAGACCGGCCCCCAGACGCAGGCGATCCTGGCCACGTTTCTACCGTGATGACTTCTACCCGGCCCGCACCAGGGACCGCCAGGTCCCCAAGGCCCCCCGCCATACGGCTCCGGGCCGCCGCGAGGTGGCCCGCCAACGGGTCCGGGCGCAGGCCGTGGCGGGCGCAGACGGGGGCCAGGGGGTAAGTGGGACGACTCGCTCCCTGTAGGACCCGCGGGCTTCGCTCCTGGGCCGGGCCGGGAGGCCAGCGCGGACGCTCACGGGGCGGGCGGAACAGGGAGGACCGCAACGTGAACGGCTTCGACCCGCGCGCCGTGGACGGGAGGCGGGGCGGGAGCCGCTCGCAGAGCCCACGCCGGCGGAGCCCGCACACGGGGCGCCGGCGGCGGAACCGGAGGAGGGGGGAGGGGAATAGAGGGGAGAAGGAGAGGGAGGGCAGGGGCGCGGCGGCGTTTGGCCCTGGGTTCGACGAGTTCGGGCGCGAGCTCAGGCTGGGCTCTCCCGGGTCCGAGGTGGGCTCGGTGTCGACGCGGGTGAGGCGGAGCGGCGGCGGCGGGAGGAGGACGAGGAGTACCGCGCGCTCGTCCCGCAGAACGGCTCGCCGCGCCCGCCGACGTCCATCTCGGATGAGGGTCGGTCGCGCCAGAGCGCCACGCTCGCCTGCGGTGGTGCAGACCCGTCTGCACACAGGCCCTCCGTCCGCCGACTCGCACACGCACGACTTCCAGCACCAGCGGACGGAAGACCAGTACTCCCCCACGCCGCCCGTGACGGCGATTCGCACATTATCACCCCACCAAGTATCTCTCCTCGACATCTGGCCAGTCAACTGGCGGAGCAAACGGACTCGGCAACTTCGACGGAGCCGCTTTCGATCCGTCTTCGGCTGCCTCATGGGACGCGCTCGGCAAAGCCTGGGCTTCGACGCACGGTTCTGCGCCCTCACAGGAAGAGCTAATGAAGTTCGCGTTTGGGAACGTCATGGGCTCGCTCCAAGCCGCGGGCGCTGGATCACAAGCACAGCAGCAGCAACCTGGTACACAAGAGCAAGACGATGGGCAGTGGGGGGCAGGGAACCGAGGCGGCTGGAGAGGACGCGGGGCGGGATGGCTGGAGAGGCCGTGGCGGGCGAGGGGGTTTCGACGCGACCGTGGACGCGACAGTGGACGAGGTGGAGGTGGGGATCGGGGCTGGGGCGCGAGCGGAAGCCGGAGAGGGCGTGGGGGCGGGTTCGGCGGGCAAGACCGGGACTCGTACGGCTCCGGTGGCGGGTTCGGCGACTTCCAGGAGACGGATGCGGTTACTTTGGTGGGGGACGGGGACGGGAATTCGCAGTGGCAAGCGCAATCTTTGGACTTCCAAGGATCGCCGCCCCCGCAAGCACCGCGCGCCCACAATGGGCATGAAAACGGGACTGGGGGTGGAGGAGCGGGGAAAATGCAGAAGGTCGGGGACCGATGGGTGTTTGTGCGAAGTGCTTGATCTTTAAGGTATCGTTGGGACATATGGCTTGTTACAGTGTACAATCCAACAGCTTCTGCAGAGCTTACATACCCTTACATACGTATCGAATGCCGTGAAGTGCGTCTTGCGATCTATACTCTTCCATCTCCCTCCTCATTGCCCATGCCCGCCATCTCGTAACCGTACCTCGCAGGATACCTCGTAGGCGTGTCCTCTCGAGCACCATACACCATCTTAGCAAGGTGCGGCTCCTTCGAGAATGGGTTTGGCCAGTATATAAGGTAGCAAATGGTGGCCGATGCAATACCGATGAGGCTGCCAACAATGACATCTTCCTTGTGGTGACGCTGCGAATGTATATCGATAAGACTGCTTGAATACGATGTGAAAGTCGCTCACATAGTCTTCCACGCGCGAGATAGCCACCCAGGTCGCGAACACGAGAGGCAGCAAAGACGCCACCAGACGGGCGAGCTTGCTCTTGAGGAGGGCCCCTCCCGCGGAGGAGCGCGAAAAGCACCATGCTCCGGTGATGCTCGCTATCCAGAGCGAGAGGAACATCATCCCGGAGAATGCCGTAGATGAGTGGCCAGAAGGGAACGATCGTCGGCCGTCCAAGACTTTTTCAAGTTCCCTAGCACGGGGCGACGTTTAGACCGCGTGCTTAAGCATAATAATGAAGTGGCGATTTACCCCGTGCATGCTTTCAACTCTTTGTCCCACTTGCAGCGATGAAGGAAGTCCGGTCGGAGTCGACCTATTGTCCCAAGTCAACTGAGTAGACTTGGAGAGACATCTCATGACATACCGACTCGATTCTTCAAGAATTCAGTGATTAGCTGTGACAGCCCTCTGATGGTGAATAGAACTCAGACAACGCAGTGTGTGGTAGATACGTCACACGACCTTCCCGAATATAGCGCTAAGAGGCTATGGTGGATCTCATGAACCGAGCGGCGAAAGAGTCCTAAAGTGACTGTCGCTGTTATTGGGATAGCGAAGGCGAGAATCCAAGTCAAGTTTCCGCTGATCCTGTTGTAGCAACGATAATTCAGGGTCCCGTCAAAGAAGCGAAACGAGCCGACCACGTACTGGTTTGGTCTGTGTTTGTGGTCAATGAGGGGATCTTTACGATCAAATTCACGCTCAAAGGGAGGCATTCCTTTAAGTATCCAGGATGCAAACCACATCGCACTGCGATCATCCTGAGATGGCATTGGATGAGAGTTAAAAGGCTCAGGTGTGTATCTTACCAGTCTATAAAATACGCCGATCGAAAAAGTCAAACGCGCCGTTCCCAAATCGCCTCAAGCGCTATTCCGTATGTCGGCGCTGAATGTTCCAGACATATCCATGCTTCACCTCAGCGTGGAACTGTACTGTACTGTCGATGCCCAGACTTCGCATGGGTGCGTCTAGTTTGATGAGACGGCTAGATTAAGATCATAAGAGCACACCAGATAAACACTCACTTTTAGAGCTATTTCACCCCTTCGTGAATACATGCACACTAGCTGTTGGTGGTGGAGACCAAGCCCTTAGACGCTCGCATGATAGCGTCTGGCCTGCTTGGCGCCAAAGGGTACGCGAAGCGTCACGAAGAGTCACTTTTAATGACGCGTTATGCGACGTGAACGTGACTAGCAGTGAGTAAGGACGCGTCGCAGACGCCGCCACGCGCTTTCCCTTTCCACGTTCCACATCTTCCTCTCCCCTGCACGCTCTCTTCATGCCCCCCGCCTCCAAGCCGAAGTCCAAAGCTTCCAAACCTGCGAAAGACCAGAAGTCCATCACTTCGTTCTTCGGTCAACCAAAGAACGCCAAGAAGTCAAGAAGCCTGCGTCCGACGAAGAGGACGAGGACAGCGAGGATGACAAACCAGAAGATGATGAGTCTGTAGAAGACGACGCTGTGGGCGCGTCCGAATCCGAAGCGAAGGAATCTAGGGCCACCAAGGGAAGTACCATAGAGAACTCAGACCTTCCCCCCATCCACGAAATTCCTGTATCTTCTCCGACCTCGTCTCGCGCATTCCACAAATCAAGAATGTCGCGCAACATCTAAAAGGCCGCAAGATGCGCGTTGCGACGATGTGTTCTGGCACAGAATCTCCCCTCCTTGCCCTCAACTTGATTCAGCGGTCAATCAAAGAACACTATGACATGGAGCTTGAGTACGAGCACGTATTTTCCTGCGAAATCGAGCCTTTCAAGCAGGCATACATCGAGCGAAATTTCCAACCACCGCTTCTGTTTCGTGATGTTTGCGAACTCGGGGACGACGAAGCGTAAGTACTGCACACTATCTCGCGAGCGGAGAAGCTAAGATGTCGTAGAACTACCGCCTACGGCGCGTTGGCTCCCGTACCCGGAGATGTTGACCTTCTCGTCGCCGGCACGTCCTGCGTCGACTACTCGAACCTGAACAATGAAAAGCAGGACATCGATGCGAACGGCGAGTCTGGTCGTACCTTCCGCGGGATGATGTCTTGGGTGAAGAAACATCGACCTCCACTGGTCATCCTGGAGAACGTCTGCAGTGCTCCATGGGACAAGGTCGCTAAGTACTTCGCCCAACACGACTACAGCGCAAGCCACCTGCGCGTCGACACGAAGACGTTCTACATCCCGCACACGCGCACACGTGTTTACCTCCTGGCGGTGGACAAGAGGCGATCGGACCTTCCGGAAGCATGGATGGATTTGCTCAGCAAGCTCAAGCGCCCCGCGTCCTCTACCCTGGATGCCTTCCTTCTACCTACCGATGACCCCCGTATACACCAAGCCCGACAAAAGCTTGCGAACGAGGCAAACAACTCGTCTCGGTCGGCGAAGGGGCGTGTCATCGACTGGGGTCGTTGCGAGAGCCGGCACCAACGGGCGCGTCTTGAGGAGCAGCTGGGCACGAAGCGACCGCTGACGAGTTGGGAAGAGGGTACGTGCCACTTCTCCGGCTTGAAACAACCCACCTTTCCTGACTGGATTTTAGGCGGTTTCTGCAAGCTCCCCGACTTCGCGTGGAATGACTGGGGAACGGTGCAGGTTGAGCGTGTTTGGGATTTAATGGACATCAGTCTTCTGCGCTCCGCGAAGAAGGGCGTCGACTCGTCCTTCAAGACGTAAGTGTGTGAATTCACGAGTTTAACTCTGGCTGATGGGATGGAATGATATAGGCAAGTGTGGAATCTGTCGCAGAACGTGGATCGTTCGACCGGCTCAAGCAAGCCTGGCATCTGCCCATGTCTCACTCCCACTATGATTCCGTACATCACGAATCGCGGTGGCCCTATGGTCGGTCTTGAAGCGCTGTCCATGCAAGGTCTTCCCGTCAACGAGCTTCTACTCACGCGAGAGACGGAGGATCAGCTGGCGGACCTCGCGGGGAACGCAATGTCAACTACGGTCGTCGGTGCTTGCATTCTAGCCGCACTCGTGGTCGGAAGGAAGCTGCTCAAGGAAGGTTCCGACACCCGGACGTACGGGGAGCACCACGAGGATAAGATGGACGAGGATGTCCCCGAGGCGAAAGAAGAGGACGAGATCATGGTCATCGAGCCCCCGAAGACCCTGTCGACATGCGCATTTCCGGCGAGGAACAACTCAAAAAGAAGCCACTCAACTTGGCTGCTTCGTCCTCAAAGCTATCGCTCCAGGGCATCCTCGAACAGGCGAAGCGCAGTGTCCGTCTTTGCGGCTGTGAAGGCAGGAAAGGCATGACCGACCGGACCCTCAACCGGTGCGTTGACTGCGACTCCACGTCGTGTGTTAGGTGTGGTGGTCGTCCGGAACATAATTACGAGCCTATCGATCTCAAGGCCCACCCTCGTCTCTCGCCCGCGACGTTCGAGAAAGACTTGAAAGCCATCCTCCCCATGTCCCTCCGAATCTCCAACGTCTCGAATGGGCTACTCGACAAGCTCGCCGTGGATGCCGACCTCGACGTCGCTTCGTCGCGCTGGACTGGATGGCGCGACGCCGTTCTCCGTGCAGTAGAACCTGAGCTCCGCTTCGTCGAGCCGAAGCGTCAAGAACTGTGGTCCATTGTTTACCAGTCCTCTACCGCCAAGCTCGAGCTTTCGCTTCACCCGCAACAGCCTGAGTGGCGCCTTTTCACCTACCCACTCGCTAACGAGCCAGCAAACGCGGAGATCCGGAGAGTGCTGGAAGCTCCTGTCGGTCGCTTCACCTGCGTCAACGGCCTATTGAGCGGCACGTGGCAGTTCGCGCTCCCCGTGGTCTCCAAGTTCGACGTCACTGTCGAAGGCTCCGAAGAGCTCGTCCCTTCGTGGGAGCAGAAAATCGGTCTTCAGGGAGACGAGTTCAAGGCGCGGAGTGTTCATGCCCAGCTGAAGATCACTGTTACGCCGGAGACGTGAAGATGCTCGACCGTGACATCTCTGGCACGTACACCCTCATCGACAGGTGCGGCGCGGCGAATGGATCTCTCACAAGCGCACGACAACGAAGGCGGACGAACACATGCCTTCGATTTTCATGCTCATCGACCCGATGCGTTGTGGGGACGTCACTCAGGACTCCTTCGTATTCTCCATCAGCACGAGGAGGTATGAATTCGGCGAGCATCGCCCAACCATCGCATCGTTTGATCCCAAGTGGAGGCAGTCAGACACAGATGGCCCGGAAATTGTCAAGTGCACCGTCCCCTGCCGATGGGTGGAAGCGCAGAGTGTCAAGATGGTGGTAAGTAATACACCTTCCCGTATCGGATGCGCGAAATTAATGTACGTCGTGTAGCCGGCTGCGGACAAGGACGCCGTCTTCGCCACGCCGTCGAACAGCCTGTCCATTGGAATCCATCGCGACTCTTGCAGGAGCGCCACGCTCTTCTCGTGGCCCGTGTCTCGCTCGGTGATCGTGCAGGTCCCGAGTGGCCCCGTGGACCGTGGCTGGAGGTCGACAAGGTGCATGAACGTTCGACGTTCCGGTCGCTCGCTTGGCTCGTGGAGCGAATCCGCAACATCGAGGGTCAGTTCAACGAGTGGCAGTCCTGTGGCGAACACGACGGTCAAGTCAAGTGCCGTCGTTGCGCGCCCGTCCCTCCGTCTATCCGGTGGACGAAGGTCAAGAAGCGGATAGCCGCCTTCGAGGACAGCATTGAGGCCGGAGAGTTCGAACGTAGCCTCAAACGCCGCCCCGCGCCGTTCGTGACGCAGCTCAAGCTCGACGAGAAAGGTGACGGCGTTGTCCGGATCGGTGTCAACCTCTCATCGCTCATGCACCGCGCCCTCTCCCGCCTTCCTCCCGCCGTCCGCGCTGAATCCTCCACCCTCTCGTGGAAGCTGAACACCGACTTTACACCCGCAATCAGCATGCAATTCCCGACGTTCGAGCTGGCCAGCAACAAGCACGATGAGGAGCACACTCAGCCACCCAACTTCGTCACTCCTCTCCGCCCTGAACAGCTCCGCTCCTTGTCCTGGATGCTCGCGCAGGAGTCCAAGGAAGCGCCCCCCTTCATCGAAGAGGAGATTTCCGAAGCCATCCTCGAGCCCCTCGGATGGCGCGCGGAGGGACGCGCTCAACGTCCCCACCATATCCGCGGAGGCGTCCTCGCTGACCAAGTTGGGTATGGCAAAACCGCCATCTCGCTCGGGCTCATCGACTGTGCGACCGAGGACGTCAACAAAGAGTTCAAGCAGTTCAAGAAAATGAAAGGGCACATCGCGACGAAAGCGACACTCATCATCGTCCCTCCGCACCTGACGCGCCAGTGGGAATCAGAGACCCGCAAGTTCGCGAAGAAGCATTTTGTTGTCGTCGTGCTCCACACGGCGACGAACATCAACGCGCTCAAGATCGAGGACGTTCTGGAGGCGGACATCGTCATCGTCGCGTCGAACCTTTTCAGGAGCACGGTGTACCAGGACAACTTGGAGGTGTTCGCGGGTGCGGGAGAGCTGCCGGTACAGGACGGGCGCTTCTTCGACGCACGTCTCGACATCACGCTCAAGGGCCTCGAGGAGCAGGTTGAGCGTCTCAGGAACGACGGGGCGAAAGCCGTCTTTAAGCAGATCCTCGAGGGTCGCAAGATCGGTGAGTACGAGGAGTTTAATCGTCGGTGGATTGCATGCTCATACGTTCTGCAGACGAGGCCGCTCAACTCTTCGTTCCTACCAAGCGACTGAAGGGCAAGTCTTACCGTGACGCTGCGGACAACGCTTCCGAAGACGAGTCCCCTAAGCCGAAGGCGAAACCCAAGGCCAAGGCCAAGGACGAAAAGGTCAAGGCGGACCCGCCCAAGGTCAAGAAGGCCGCATCTGAGGCTGCCAAGCCGAAGAACACGAACATCAGCCCCCGCACCGGTCTTACTGCTGAAGTCGTAATCCCGTCCTTCAAGGGCCGTGGCGGTTCTCCCTCCGCATCGAGCGTTGCGACCGCGCCTCCCACGTCTGAGGCTGAGATGGAGGAAGAGTCGGATGCTCCTCGGGCCCGTCGTGCTGTGAAGCGCAAGGCCATCGTTATCTCCGACGACGACAGCGAGGACGAAGCCCCCAAGAAGAAGGGCAAAACCGCTGCGAAAGCGAAGAAGCGGCCAACGAAGCGTTCGAAGGCTTCGGATGACTCCGATTACGAGGGTGCTGCCTCTGAAGCCAGTGACGAGGAGGACTTCGTCGCGGAGGAGAGCGAGAGCGACGAAAACTTCGAAGAAGAGTCAGATGAGGATGAGAAGCCGAAGAAGGCCAAGGCCAAGGCCAAGCCCCCTCCGAAGAAGCGTGCGTCCGCGAAGAAGTCCTCGACGACTTCTGGGTCCGAGGATGCGATGGACGTCGACGACGATGACGACGACGACGACGACGACGAGAAGCCCAAGGGCAAGGGCAAGAAACCTGCGAAGAAGCCAAAGGCAGAGGCAAAACCCGCGAAACCCAAGAAGCGGCGCGAGGAGTCGGACCCGTGGAAGCTCAAGTCGTCCGCGGTGCAGAACGATTGGAAGAGGATGCAGGCGCCTCCTCTCGAGATGTTCCACTTCGCGCGCAAGATCGTAGACGAGTACACGTACCTCGACGGGAAGGTGCTCTCGATGGTTACGAGGGTGCAGGCGGAACGTCACTGGGTGCTCTCCGGTACACCGCCGACTCACGACTTCGGTGCTCTGAAGACAATCTCGGCGTTCCTCAACATTCATCTTGGTATCGACGACGACAATGAGGGCCAGTCGCTTCAAGTCAAGAAACGCAAGCGTGAACAGACTGGTGCGTGGATGCGTCGTGGCTGCGTCTGCATCCGATTTTGACTGTTCGTGCAGCTGTCGAGAAGTTCCACTCGTTCCGCGAAGTCCACAGTCTGGAGTGGCACGCTCATCGCGTGGAGCTCGGACAAAAGTTCCTAGGCCAGTTCGTGCGACAGGTACGTAACTGATCCCATATGGCTCATGCCAGAACTAAGTTTTCCCGTAGAACATCGCTGAAATCGACGAGATCTCTTGGAGCGAGACAATTGTGAAGGTATACCTCCCTGCAGCCGAACGTGCCATCTACCTCGAGCTCGAACACTACCTTCGTGCTATCGACATGACTGTGAAGCGAGGGAAGAGAGCGAGAGCGACCGCGAGAAGCGTTTGTCTCAAGCTTTGGGAGACAGCAGGTACGTTCTTGGCTAAGCGTCCAGGGCAGCGAGCTAACGGAACGACGCAGCACTGCCGAGGAAGCTCTTCTCAAGCGTTGTTCACACTTTGACCTCGATATCTCGGACCGCGAAAATGCCATGAAAGCTTGCGAAGTCATCGTCGAGGAGCGGACGAAGCAACTCGAGGACTGCAAGAAGGACCTTCTCAAAAAGCTCAACACCGCCGTCCAGATGGACAAGAAGATCGGTCGGGTGCCTGACGAGTCTCTCTTCCGCGAGTTCATCCGCGTCACCCGCACCGAGGGCGTAGGTGACCAGGAGGCGACCGAGGCAGTCTGCGAGCTCCTTGACGAGGCCAACGTCCCCGCCCCGCTCAAGTCCGCCACGAACAAGGCCGGGGACAGCAACAAGCGCGGCGGCAAGAGCGACATCGACCTCTCCAACGCCGTCAAGGCGCTCATCTGGGACCACCGCGAGCAGACGCACGAGATCCGCCGCGTGACGAAGGAGCTCGTCGGCCGCTTCCGCTCCCTGCGGTACTTCACCGTCGTCCGCGACCTCCAGCGGCAGGCCGACAAGCCGCAGACGATCTCGTGCCCGGGCTGCGAGCGCGAGGACGTCCGGCGGAGGACGTCGCGGTGCTCTCGTCGTGTGGCCACGTCGGTTGCTACGCTTGCGTCCTGTCGTGCGCGGAGAAGGAGGAGTGCGTGTATGCGGCGTCGGGTGCGTGCCGGGCCGCCGCGCGGGTGCTGAACGTCGTCAAGGGAGACACGCTCGGCGTCGACGACGAGGCGCGCGACGGCCGCGGACGCCACTTCGGCCGCAAGCTGGAGATGATCGTGGATCTTATCAAGTACGTTACCCTTTTCTCTGCTACTTCACGGCTTCTGACACGCTCCGCAGGAACAAGATCCCGAAGGAAGACCGCGTGCTCATCTTCGTGCAGTTCCCGGACCTGACGCTGAAAGTCGCCCAGGCGCTCGAGGCGCACAAGATCGCGTTCCTCGAGATCAAGGGCTCCGCGTCGGTGAAGAGCAAGAACCTCGAGAAGTTCCAGAACGAGAGCAAGGAGCGCGTCCTCCTCCTGAACGTCATGGACGAGTCCGCGAGCGGCGCGAACCTCACCTCCGCCAACCACGCCATCTTCGTCTCCCCGCTCCTCGCGCCCACCCAGGAGATCTACGACGCGTGCGAGACGCAGGCGATCGGCCGTCTGCGGCGGTACGGGCAGCTGAAGCACGTCAACATCTGGCGCTTCATTAGCATGAACACGATCGACGTTGAGATCTTCGAGCAGCGCACGGGACGGAAGATTGAGTAGATAATAGTGGATCTATAGGTGCAGGTGTTGTTGATGTTGTTGAAATGGACCTGCCTGTCTTGCTTTGTTGTCGCTACTTGCTTTGCTGTTTTTTTAGATCTAGTGGACGTCATGTAATGTGCACATATTCATCATATAACAGTGTTACTGCAGCTCTACAACTTATTGTGCGCGATTCAGCAACCACTCCGACATGATATGACGGTAATCCGGTGGTAGGCTAGCATGATACAAGTGATATGTCGATGATATAGCAAGGAATTAGTCCGTCCCAGATTCGGTCGCGCGGCACGTCTACGTCCCTCGGGTTGCCATGTCTACACCGAAACAGCGCTCTTGGTCATCTCGTAGTCCGACTCCCGGTTCTTCTTCAAAAGATGGCCAGGGTGGAAGACGTTGAGGGTGAACATGCCGAGGGTGATCATCACACCGTCAAAGACGACTAGGCAGGTCAGTCAGCGCCGGCTCCCTCGACTCTGCTCAGCGTACATGACTCACTGAAAAGCCACTGGGTATGGGCGATCGTCCCGGCGAAGCCACTGGCAAACTCGATGATACGGTAGATGGATCTAATGGGTTGTGCGTTCGTCAACATATTCGGACGGCGGGGCAGACGATGCGTGCGCGTACGTACCGCACGTAGATGAAAAACGAGCCGAGGGTGATGCCGCCCAGCAGGTGCTTGACGTTGCGGTCTATAGGGTGGCCTTGGGTGGCCTCCTTGTGGTACGGCCGCTCGTTCGATCGGCGCCAGACGAACTCGGCCATGAGGCAGCAGAAGACCGAGAGCGAGACTATAGAGCCAGTCAGATCGGAGAGGACTGAGGAATGGCGCGTATGAGCTCACAGAGCTGGACTCCGAGACCCACGATGATGATGTCGCTGCCTTTCCGAACGGCGTTCGGGTCCGTGGTCGCGGTCGCGGCGATGCCTCCACCAGCACCCTGGATGGCGAGCGAAGCAATGTCCGCCGTGAGGAAGATGCGAGAGTCTGAGCGAACCGGATTAAGTCGTGCACGGATGTTTCGAAGCCGCGACAGATGGGCTTACACCATTGGGGAGTGAGTCTACTGTACTGAGGGCCAACGTGGGATACTATACGGCCCAGCCCAATAAAGAGCGCGGCGACGAATGGAGTGGGCGCAAGAACGAGCACAGTAGTTCTGTTAGATAAAACTTGAGCCGTTTGATGGGAGATGGGAAGGTTAGGACACTGACTGGATGATGTAGGGATTGAACTCCAACGGGTTGGCGCCAGACAATATCCGCGCCGTCCATCCGACAACCTCGGCAACACCGGCGATGATTGCCGTTGGGAATAGCCACCACGCTTTTGACTTTATGGCCTGGAAGACGTGAAGCACTGGGAACCGGAGGTTTATGATGCGCCGACATGAGATCGCTAGAAAGGCGCACGTGTGGTGATGCCGAAGAGGACGACAAATGCGTAGCCGGCTTCTTTCGAGGGAGTGTAGCCGTAGAGGTTGGAATCGTTTCCGGCTGTGATTGCGGTCAGTTAGGGATCAATGGAAAGATGCTGAAAGGCGGACATACACATCAGGACGCCGGAAGGGTGGGGGCTGTATGTGGCGTGCAGAGGCTGAGAGAGAGAGGCTTATAGACTGTCTACGCCAAAATGTAGCTCCGGGAAGAAGATGAAGGTAGAAGTATTCTTGACACGCAAAGCTCGGACCCGCCACCGCGAAAGGGATCACGGACCGAGAGAGTGAAGGCAGTCCCGAGGCAGTGAGTATGATAGCTTCTGCATTGTCCTACACACTGCCAGAATCCACCCATACAAACTCGAGATGGATAGAAAGCGGGTTTCGCGTCGAGCGCAGGGAATTTTGCTTCTTCGAGTGCACTTGGCTGTGGATGCCTTGAAAAGAAGTCGGAGGAAGAGACGAAGACGCGGTGCAGTGGCGTCATCACAGTGACCAGCGGAACTCTGCACGCGGCCCGCGGTCCGGCTGTGCTTACGCTCATCTGATTTGCCTGGCTTCACCCCGAGCTCGATGACGACGACGCGGGCGGAGACGCGCCCAGCGCCCTCCCATGCGTGTCTCTGTCCCTTCCCTCCCCGACGCCCTCCTGCGCCCCGCTGCTGACGCGGTAGCCAATACCAGCATCACCGCCGCGGAGGCAACGACGCGCATCGCGGACTTCCTCACCCGCGGCAAGGGCAGCACCGCAGTCATCACCGGGGCGGGCGTGAGCGTCGACTCGGGCATCCGCGCATACAGGGGAAAGGGCGGCCGGTATCTAAACCCGAACTACAAGTGCGTGGCCATCGTTCTGCGTTGGGTCGCGCGCGCTGACGTCAGGCAGGCCGATATTTGTACGCTTGGTCCTTTCGCGCTGGGATGGAGGAGCTGACTGGGTCGTAGTATCATGAGTTAATGGAAGACACGGCCAGAGGGGTAGCGTTCAGGTGCGCATGGTATGCTTTGCTGGTGGCACGGTGCGCTCACGGTTTGCAGGCAGCGATACTGGCAAGGATGCGTTACCTTTCTTCACTTCCACGTCCTCACCGTGCGCGCGCAGGCTCCGGTCGTTCTTGGGATACCCGCCAGTACGAGATGCCCAGCCGAACCCCACGCATTATGCACTCGCCGCGCTGCAGCATGGACACGTCACCTCCGACCTCATCACACAGAACGTAGACGGCCTGCACGCGAAAGCTGTAGAACGATTTTGGCCGAAGTCTCGCATTGAGGAGCAGATCCTAGAGCTTCACGGCACTCTGCATGTACGCGTCTCATTTTTGCTCCATTGAACCCCGACTCACCTCGAAACGCTGAAAGAGCGTACGATGTTCCCATGGACATGTAATCTCTCGGGAGGCGTTCCAGGAAAAATTAGGGATGGCGAACCCGGGTTGGAAAGAGTACCTGAAGAACTTGGAGCAGACTGGGGACCAGCCCCGAACGAATCCAGACGGAGATGTGCGTTTCTCTCTTTTGAGCTTTACTTCCTACCTACCCACTCGCCCTCGCAAAGGTGGTGCTTCCCGAAGGCACGCGGTACGACGAGTTCGTTGTTCCCGAATGCCCTAAATGCCTCCGGGACAAACAGCACAACACCATGCTCAAGCCTGAGGTCGTCTTCTTTGGAGAGTCTATCTCGCAGGGCGTCAAGGAGCGATCGTACGTCGCGCCGTTTCGCCGGCGTAGTCTCCGGCTCTGAGATTCGTTTTTGCAGGTTTGAGGTCATCAGTGACAGCAAGCAGCTCCTCGTCGTCGGTACCACTCTCGCCACATTTTCCGCATTCAGGTGCGTGCCCTGGTTGTGTGAACGCCTCCGTGATGAAACTCACTGCCTTCCCAGGTTGGTCAAGCAAGCCGTCGAGCAGCGCAAACCGGTGCTGCTTCTGAACGAGGGAGCTTCGCGCGCGGACAACCTTCTAGGAATTGAGCACGTTCGCATCTTAACCAGCGCAGTCATGCGTGATGTCGTGCGCAAGGTACTGTATGTGGCTGCATGTGGTCGTTGTGTTGGAAGTACGCGCTGACACGCGCCATTCATGCAGAGGAGTGACCGCGGAGTCAGACATCTTCCCGGAGCTGCTCAACAGCGGCATCGTCAAACTACCACCAGAGGATCCCGACGATGGGTTGCCGACCCCACCTCGATTATGATCCACTGCTGCTAGGGGCGATCGTGATCGCAAAGGAGTTAAGTTATGGTACACACGCCAGGCTCTTATCTACTCATGCGCTCAGATCAATAAACCATACCTCCCGTCTCCTCGGTTACGACCAGTATTTTGTTCGAAGGTCCGCGAAGTTAAGTATTACAGTATTAGTGCCGAACTCGGTCATGAACGGATGCAAGTTATCCAACGAAGTCGACGAGCGCGCGATCAGCCCGACGCTGCGCTTCCCCCCGCTGCGCCCCCACCCCCAGAATGTCGTCGCTCGTCTGTGGAGAGGCCCATCGTTCGCAGCACCTCCAAGACGCCCGCGCCAGGCGGCGGCGCAGCGCGGACGCGCGCGGCGTGGAACTGCTCGAGCTGCTGGCGGAAGCCGAAGTTGGGGTCGATGATGTCGCGCTTGGAGAGGCAGAAGTCGAGCGCGTCGCGCGGGGTCATGCCTTCGGTCGCGATGAGATACGCGCAGACGACGGCCGGGGAGCGCGAGATGCCCATTGCGCAGTGCACCTGCAGCGGCACACGACATGATCAGCGTCAGACAATCACAGCATGTAGAGCGCCGTAGCTAGTGGGCCGGTGGAGGAGCACGTACTAGCACGACGTTGTTCTCGGCCTGCAACGCGGACGCGATGAACGCGGTCGTGGCGCCTAGATGGGAAAGGATGTCCGCGTCGTCGTCGTCGGCCAGGCAGACGTGCATCGTGTGGAGATCGTCGACGAGCGCGGGCGGGAAGGGCGGAGCGAGCTCGAGGATGGAGAGAATGTGCGTCGCGCGCATGTCGCGCAGCTGCTGCTCGTTGATCGCTGCGAGGTACCCTGAAAGGTAGAGACGAGGGAGAATCTGGGAGTAGCCTTGGTGTATCGCGAACACATTCTTTTTGGGCGACGGCTCGCAATCCGAGGAGTCGCGGGAGCCTGGATCTACAAGAGGAGTTGGTGGAGGTCTCGCCAAGGGCATTATGGCGTCGTTCCGGTGGCTCTGGTGACGGATTGAACACAATGGGCGGTCTGGCTTAGACGCGGCCGCATATATATAGGCTTGTGGGAGCAGGATGGATCCCGATCTGTGCGAACGTAAATGTCTTTGCGGTCCCCACAATATTATGCAACCGCATTGCTGTCATGGGTCGATGGCGTAGTTGGTTATCGCATCTGTCTAACACACAGAAGGTCCTCAGTTCGAGCCTGGGTCGACTCATGCGTAGGCGGACAAATCTTTTTGGATATCTCGGTGAATTCCACGGTTTTGACAGGATGTGCCAGGCTTAGCTCGCTCCCATGAACCACGGACATCCTGGCAAGGCAGTATCCACACCCATAACCCAAAGCCGACCCACCCAAGTTCACGTCACTCCCAATTTGACGCGTCGAATCTGCGAAGCTGGCTCTGGTAACACGCCTCTATGCATGTAAGGCCTAAGGGGTCAGTACGGCACGCTCGGACGAACGCTTCGTATTTTTTGAAGGCTGCCTCCGCTGACGCTCCCGCTTTCTTCAGTGTTCACCGCAAGCAAGGAGCACGACGAAGGATGGATGAATTTCTGCATTGACCTCAACATGCTGTCCACTACCACCCACCATCTCCTGTCTCCTAAAGAAGCCCTCGCAGCTGCAGCCGCACGCCTCGCTGAAAGATCCTCTTGCCCTTAATGACATGCTCGGCCAGCAAGAGATCCTAGAAGCCTTCGCCCCCGCCTGGTCCGCTGCCCCCGCCTACGCACTGACCATCGCGACTGCGGACGACCTCGACGCGCTCACGCCGCCCTTGATCGCCTTTCTGGCCGAGTCCTGGGACTGGCATGACCCGCGCCGCGGCGCGTGTGGATCTGCCGCGACGGCGCGGAGAGCGGCGCGCCCCCCGCTGCGTTCGCCGTCCTCGGCCGGTTCACGCGCCGGATGGCCGCGGTGCGGTGCGCGTTCGTCGCGCCCCGCGCGCGGAGGAAGGACGTGACGGAGGCGATGGTCCGCGATACTACACCGAGGCGGACGCGGGGCCGGCGGAGGGGGTCAAGCTTCAAGCGTGCCCTCGGGCTGAATGTGGGGAACCCGATCGCGAAGCGGTTGTATGGGAAGACGGGGTATCTGACGCCAGACCGGGCCCGACGGAGAGAAGATGGCTGGGAATCGATCCGGAGACGGGGAGGAGGGCGTGGTTCGTGATGGTGTCGCGGAAAGTCGTCAACACGCTGGAGCAGGAGTGGTGAAGAAACGAGACTGTACTCGAATGAGGGGCGGTCCACCTAAGTGCAACTCGAGGCCCCGGCATTGCCTGTATTGATGTCAATATGTAGACGAAATGTTGTTCGGTGCCTCACATATGTAGTTTAGGCGCGTACTGACAGACGCGGCGTTTCGGAGAGGCCTCTAAACACTGCTTCGGAGGCCAATCTTACTCCACAAAGGGTATGAGTTGTCCGCGTTTCAGAGCAGAGCAAGTCTGAGCACGAGGGTAAGTGTTTGGTCGATATTCAATGGTGTTTACATAGACATATGCACGTCCACGACAAGTATCCGTCGCAAAGACAGACACTGACGTACCATATCTTCTTGATGTACCAGAATGGTTGGGCTATCGCCCCGCGTGGTCGTAGTTCAACCACATGCCCTGAGCGACGACTCCGACGAACTTGAGATCAACCGAGAGCGTACACTGTGTCCAAGAACCCACGTGATTCTTTTGGAGGGTCGTTTGCCATGAGTGAGAGGGCCGTGAAAGCGTCGACGTCCCATTCGGATTCGTCCTCAATACTCCTACGCGAGGATATCCCAGAATGATCATGAGAGTGTAAAGAGACCAGCAGAAAGGGTAAGGAAGAGGGTAAGGTCAAGCCGGTAAAGTACTCACGAACTTGGTGCTGTGGTGACTGGCGCTAATCCAATGTCCGGGCCGGCGAGTCTCTCGATCGCTTCCACCACTGCAACCTTTCGCTTTTATACCTCTCTCATCTGCCTTCGGTCTAAAGTCTCATGAAACAGCCCCAATCGGCCACAATGCATACGCCTTGCTTCGCGCATTATGGCATGACCTGGTCGCCCTTTCACAATGGGCGGATTGCCATCGCCTCCGCCGCAAACTATTATGGCCTCGTAGGAACTTACGGAAGACTACCCTTGGCATATCTTGGATCAAGTCCTCCGGAAACAAACTCAGTAAATCTGGACCAGTTGTGAGTACTTTGCGTGCTGTGGGTCTGCCGTACCTGAGCGCTTCAAGGATGGCCTGCCATACGATGCTGCGCGGTCGGAGATTCACGAAAACCAGCCGGGTGGGTCAGGAGATCGGTCAACAAAGCTATGGGATGTCATGATCAAGGTATGTCGCCATCGTAACTCCCCCAGTGCGGCCTCCAGATCCCAAGTTCCGCAAGAATTCCTAAGACTTTCCAATACGTGCCTGGCAAGAGCACTCGCACGAAGTATTTTTCAATCGACTGATTAAACATCAACAAAGACCAGTTCGTTTTATCGCTGTGGGACGGGACAGTGAAGCTCGTACGTCCTGCACGGTTTCTCGCCGCACTAGTGCCCCTACCCACCTTCGCATAGTGGACACCAGAACGCCCTCGCTCTCTCACCGCGCTCCAAGCCCACACCTCCTGCGTCTATCAAGCCATCTTCTCCCCGCACCAGCCCGACGTGACTGCCACGTTCTCGACCGACGGCACCTTCGACCTCCGCGCGCCGGCGTATATGCCCGCGACCCCGGGCGCGAACGTGTTCGCTGCGCCCCTGACTGCGCCCGCGCTCACTGTGCCCACATCAGGAGGGGAGGTGCTTTCGCTCGACTGGAACAAGTACCGCCCGTTTGTCAAGATTTGGGACTGTCGCATGGTCAAGCATGGTCCGGGTGAGGCCGCGGGGAAACCTGCAGTGGGAGGGGTATGTATGCGAGATGCACCTCGCGGGTCACGAGTACGCGATAAGGAAGGTGCAGTGGAGCCCGTACCGGGTGAACGTGCTCGCGAGCGCGGGCTACGCCAAGACCTGCCGAATGTGAGTGTTTCAACTCCGCTCGACTGTATGCTCTTGTATACTGCGGTGATTGTAGCGGGCTTACGACAAGGGATGCAGATGGATGACGGCACCGCAGCCGGGAGGTTCACACCTGCTTGCCATAAGTTCATGATCTGCACACCGAGTTTGTGGTCGGGTGTGCGTGGTCATTGTATGAAGAAGGGTTGCTCGCCAGCTGCAGCTGGGACTGTAGGTTGACGTGTTTCGTGTATATATAAGTATTCTTAATCTATCGCACACAGCATTCGTGTCCGATCTCGCCCAGCTGACATTAACGTTCAAACGTTCACCTGATTCTTCAGTCGAGCACGTCATTCACTTGGCTTCTACCCCCTCAAGGTCTCAACTGTATGGAACGGCAGGGTTCTCGGGCCGGGCGAGGTACAATCTGATTTTGGGTTTCGGGTCTTGGTTCTCGGAGAGCCTCGATCGGCACAGGAACACATAAGATAACACCCAGCTAAACACCGACCGGCTCGCCTTTACTCCTACCGTCGTGCACCCCGACCGTCCACGCCACGTTGTGGCCCTACCCGGCGAGGACCGCCGCCTCTTAATGAACAGGTAGCAAGTGATGTGGCCCACTCCGACGAGTCCTTCGGGCTATGCTCCGGCCGTCGCTCTCAGTACGTCGATCTGATACCGCTGAAAGCCGTGATTTTGACGAAAGGCATCTCCTTCAGCCCTCTTCTTTTACGATTACTTGCTCACGATACGCCAAGAGATTGACTACTTCTGGCGAGGTTCTGGTCTCTCGGGGGCAACATTCTTGTTCTTCGCGAACAGATATCTTCACGTCCTGCACTACATATTAGTGTATGTTGACGTTCACGGGCAGTTTGTGAGTGCGAGTTCAGCTGGTTTACGAAGTTTTACGACCGTTTTGAATGCCGACATGACGATGTGCAGAAGTACGAATATTAAGCTCACCGATCCAAGAACGCGGGACTAATGTGTGACTTCATTTCATTCTAGCTGTGATGTGTACGTACGCACGCTTTGGGGTTTCACTTCGCTGGTGTACTTTCCCTGGGCTGGTGCGTTGCTCTTAAGACGAAGTCATGGATCTAGTCGTCACTGACAATTTCCGAATTTTTAGCGTTCAACTGTATGCGCACGTATGCGCTGTGTCAGAAATTGGCCCTTTCAACGGTCGTTTTTGTGTTGTCTATGATGCCGATCTTCTGTAATATGGTCAGTTCGAGCACGATCCCGCGTTCGTGGATCTGATCCGTATTTCCACCTTAGGCGCAAGGTGTCATGGGCGTCAGTGGGATGGTAGACGACGACGGCTCTTGCTCCACTTGGCTCACGTACCCGACCGACGAGGTCCCAGTACAGTACGTCCCACGCATACATGAGCTGAGAGTCGTACTTACCGCCTAATATGCAGGTGTATGCGGTCTTCTGCTTTCGCTCCCCGTCCTGTGTCTCATCTCATGCGCTTGTTCTAGTGACCATCCTTTCCCGCTCGTGTGTCGTCGGCGCAGAAGCAATCCTGCTTCTGGTAACGTGGCGTAGGCTATATGACCAAGAGTTCGTCACTTGGCACAGCCTACTTGAACCTCATCGGTCGTTGGCACAGATACTCTTGCGAGATGGTGAGACTGTTCATATGTCCCTATGGAGCAATTGGCTGACATTTTTATTATAAAGGCACATTATACTTCTTGTCAGTTATCAACAATGTGTCAGTGACGTATCGGGGCTGATATTGAGCCTAGCATATTGCTCGTCTTGAACCTGCTGCATGTCACGTTCACAGTTGCCAATGTGAGGTGATATTCGCGATCACTATAGCCTGTTGACTGAATGATGAAACAGGTCGGAAAGTCTGCCACGGATGCTTTCAGCATCATTCTCACATTCACCGACCCGTAAAGCTCTCGTCCTCATGTTGCTGCCTCTCACTCACACTGTTCTTACAGCTTAAACACGATATTCGTCTCACACCTGCTCATAGACTTGCAAGCGTCGAATGCACGCTCGATCAAGCTCATCTCCAGCGGAACAGACCTAACGGATACATGGGGCGGGCAAGGCAACGTCATTTCCATAGTCTTCGCAAGGGCGATGAACACGTTCGACGGGTCGTTCACCATCGGGGCCGGGGACACCTCCACGCTAGACAGCACCCTGCACGATGCAGTGTCGGCTCGCGACACCTACCCGATGGGCGATATGGGCAAGGGGGCTGTGGGCGCGCAGAATTCAGTGGACGCTTGAAGGAGCCGAGCCGAGGCAGGCTAGCGCGATCTTTTCCTGTGTCTTCTGGGCGTACCTACCACCCGCGATGGTGTGAGCGACGAGAATGAGCGATTCCTTTTGCCACAGGGGCATGACGTCGCCGTGGCGCGAGGTTGACAGGAGAAAGACGCCGGGACCTCCCTTGGACTCGAACCACGATGAGCAACAACGCCCTCACTCCAAAACACACCCCTTGACCACCCCGCAGCTACTTCCGATGTTCTCCGCTTGGTGAGTGGTAGGCAGCGTCTGTGCTCTTCCCTACTCACCGTTCTCGCTCGGACCGATGGGTTGGATAGGGCGTCCGAGTCCGAATCCGTTTTGCCAAACAATTCGGTCAGGTGGGCCCGCCTGGGCTTTTGCAGACATTTTGATTGCAAGTTTCGGAACAAGGACGGTCCGTGCCAACGACGATTGTACTCGTCTGTGCCCAAGTGTATCCCAGACTCGTTCGACGCGAAGGGCTGCCCCGACTTCCCCACCCCCTTCGACAGGCCCTTGATCGACCCCATAACACTCGTCGAGCTCCGCATGCGCCAATACTCGGGCGCCATCCGCGCCAAGCCTCGCTGGTGGGAGAAGATCAACGATCCAGCTATCGCCGCCAAGTACCGCGAGGAGATCGTCGCGGACGACCTCGCAAAGGTCGAGCACTTCTGGGGCGGGGAGCGTCGCAGACAGCAGTACGTCAAACTCGAAGACAAAGAGTACGACGTTCGGGATGAATGGCATATTTCGGTACTCTCTGATCGGATCAAGCTTTGGCCATGCGACTCGCTGTCCGAAGAACAGCTCGCCTACATCTTCGACGAGCTGAAGTATGAGGCTGCAGTGCGCGATCCGAACACGGGAATGTTTGCAAGTGGCGTTTGCTCCTTTGAATTGCTTCTCGCTTACACTGTCGGATTTAGGCTTCTTGCGTGCCGAAGGTGTACGAGTCCCAGTCCCACATCGACCCAATCCTCAAGGAGCAGCTCGTGCATGCCGTCTCTGTACTGGAAGACGTCCCTGACGACGAGAAAGACTGGCACCCGAACACCGATCGGCAGGTTCTCGACCTTGTCCATCCCTCCCTCTACTGTCTCTGCATCGGCCGCTCGTTGTTCCGCCCACCCTCCCAGGACGGCAAGGACGATTCTCTTGGGATCCTTTCTCAACAGGACTACGTCACCAAACGGTGGGACATAGGGAGCTTCGAGAGCGAAGCGTCGCCCGCCTACCAGTGGCTCCCCACCGACTTCAAGGTCACCGAGACCGGGGCCGTCTCCGCACTCGGCTACATCAACAACTTGCACCCTATCCGGCACCGGCCCCTCTATAATGCACTCGAGCGCATCCTGGCGCGCTTTGTACCCCTCTTCGACCGCGTGCTCGAGGACACGGTATCGTCTGACCGGCCACTGCCATTCTCTGCATTGAATCTCGAAAACTTCGTACATCTCTGGTACCGTGACGTCCCGGAACCGCCGCAACCAGATCCTTCCGAGATCAAGGACGTGGACGCGTTGTACGAAGCCGAGAGCGAATGGGAGAGGCTGCACATGTGGCCGACTGTGCCCGAGCCGCCGCCATTCGCCCCGCCCCCGCACGACGACCGCGTCTCCTTCACCCTCCGGGGCCGCACGGTGCAAGTCATCGTCAAGCTCGCGAACATCCATCTCACCCCCGAGCGACCGACGTACCCGGGCGGCTCGTGGCACGTCGAGGGGATGCTCAACGAGCGGATCGTCGCCACCGGGCTCTACTACCACTCCGTCGAGAACATCACCGAGAGCCGGCTCGCGTTCCGGCAGCACATCGGCGGGGACGGCGACCGCGGCATGATCCCGCACCAGCAGTGGGACAACAGGGGGTTCCTCGCCGTGTTCGGGTTCGGGCGCGACTCGGCGCTGAACCAGCGGATCGGCAGCGTCGTCGCGGCGGAGGACAAGTGCGTCGTGTTCCCCAACGTCTACCAGCACCGGGTCGAGGCCTTCGAGCTCGCGGACAGGACGCGGCCCGGGCACCGGAAGATCGTCGCGCTGTTCCTCGTGGACCCCATCGACGCGATCCACTCGACGAGCGACGTGCCGCCGCAGCAGGCGGAGTGGGCGCTGGATGCGCTGGAGGATGCGTCGCTGACGCAGAGGCTGCCTCGAGAGCTGATAGACACGCTTGGAGAGCACGTGAAGGGCTCCAGCGGACTGATGTCGAGGGAGGAGGCGGAGGAGCATCGGTTGAAGCTCATGCACGAGAGGTCGGTCTTAGCTGAGGGACACAACCAGGAGACTTTCGAGGCGCTTTTCAATATGTGCGAGCACTAGAGTGTAGTTTGCGTCTATATAGTTGCACAGCTGTCCTTGTTGCGCATGCACCCTCCGAGCGCGAATGTAAGCGCGCGTCTGAGTTTTTGGGCACGAAGGGTCGGCGCTTGTTCCATCGCACTGCTTGCTCCCGACGACGTCCATGTTGACGTTGCTTATTCCTCCTTTGCATGCTGGGGTGCAAGTGGTAGTTTATCACCAACAGGATAAGTATGACGGGGTGGAAATCAGTAACAATCCATCTCTAACTGCCGCTCATCTATTCGATGCCCTTGTCACTCAGAGCAAGCTCACGAACGCGACCGTGGAGCCACTATCATTGCAAGAAACTGTTGTGAACATCACGAACACATCGATAACTGCTCAAGAGGTAAGACTCTTTCTCCCGCTTTCTGTTCCGCCTCACCAAGCATCTGTGGATCGCAGCAATACCGTGTGGACATTACACCCATCCACATTCTGTGTCAGACGTGAAGCACGCCGCGGTTCATTCATCCATACTTCTACTGGATCTGTCGCTACGATGAGGCATAGAAGCACCCTGTTTCACCGGCCGCAGTGCTCTATTCTAGTGTGTCTTCTATCTGCCGCCTGCGAGAGGTCACCTAGCCGCTCCCGAGGCTCATCATCCGCGCATGGTACTTACATCCCGCCGCGCGCACGGCGCAACGCCATATTCGATGTTTCCGATTCCCGGCGTCGGTGCCTCCTTTCCGCGCCGCGAACGTGCCGCCACCCTTGACGAACGGACGTTCCGTACTTAGCCCCAAGTAGAGCTCACTGCCGGCGCCACTTCGTTTCTCCCATCGGCTTCCCAGAAGCGATACCACCACCTCCATCCTGCCCGACGACAGATGCGAACCGGTTCCAAGAAGCACAGCAGACCGCGCATGGACGTCTGGCTCGGCGGGCCTGAGTCGCGCAGCGCCGGCGCAGTCGTCTCGGGAACGGCGCTTCCTCCCGGTCTCGCGCCGCCGCCTCGCTCAGCGGTCCCGGTCAAGCATGCGACGGCACAGCCCAAGGTTCCAACTTCAGTCCGCCTCTCAGATCTCACTCGCAACTCGCAAAGCACTCGGCACCGCCCTCCGTTCGGCGGCCTGGCAACGTCCTCACATCGCACGGGGAGCGTGGCATGATGCATGACGGACGGAACGCTTCGGTGGGCCCGTTCCACTCCTCCTCCGGCACTCGTCTGTATGGCTGAGCGCTGATTACTGACAGTGATGCCCGTAACTCGCGAGGTTCACGCTCCGAACGCCCAATCGCGCAACGACTGATGCTCGAACGCGCGATCGCAATGTACATTGCTTCCAACAGTCCCCCCTCCCCCCCCCCCCCGCCGACGCAAGTGACGGCAACAGCGCAGCCCGCGCGGTGCCCGGGCAGGCGCGGCAAGATCACGCCCGACGCCCGTCGATCTCCCAGCCAGTCAGTAAGCACCAGCCTAGCCAGTACGGGCCGTGCCATACGACTGCGGCGGGCGGCGAGCATGGGAAGCATCACCGAGGGCCCACGCGCAGAGGCAGAACGTGCCGAGGTTAGGAATCCAGGATCTCTCGCGGTGCCGCGATGCTGTGTACGCACGCAGCATGTAGGTATTTCCGTCCGCGGTCGAGCGCTGGGAGGGGGATATAAGGACCTGGGGTGGCGGGATGGCGAGAACTAGTCTTGGGAGACCAGTCCCTCGTCCGTCGTTCGTGCGCGGTGGGGCCGCCTGTGTGCTCGAGGCGAAGGAAGCGGGCACACGCGCACGGAGGGTGGTACTCGGTCCAAAGGGGCGATGTATTCTGTACAGAGCAACCGCGCGGCGCATTGAGAAGTAAATGGCTACAGTGGTAAGGTGTGTGGAGTGTGTAAGGTCGTGACGGTGAGCGTAAAGTAAATCCGGAAGGGAGCAGATAAGCGAGTGGATGATATATACACAGTATAAGCATGTGAAGAGCGGTCTCAACGGCCAAACACGCGGCCGGCCCCAGGGAGGTAACATGCCAGTAAAGAAATAGAACGCAGGAAGCAAAAAAAACCATCGGGCGTGGGACCGGACTCGCCGGCGCGCGCAAGTACAGTACGAGACACGCACTTGCGTTAAAAATGTATGCCGGGTGGCAAGTACGTGCCGCCGCGATGCACACATGTGTGCGGGTGTCGCGACCCGACGGCGCAGAAGGCGCGCTGGCGCGCGTTCTGGGAGCGTGGGTGTACAAAACGCCCGTCCCCGCTCGAGAAGAAAATGCCCTACGCAAAAAGGCGTGGGGTTTGGGGAGAGAGCGGTACAGACCGGCCGGGGGACGGGGTATAGGTAACGGAGAGCAATGGAGGAGACCGAGACGAGACGAGACGAGACAAGAGAAAGGACAGGAAAGCGACGTGCGTGTGTGGTGCGTAGGCGATATTAGGTATGTGGAATGCCGCCGGGTCATCGGAGATATGCAATCGTTCGAGGTCATGCTCGACATCTACTGGTAGATGGAGACAGACGCGATCTTCCACTGCGCAACTGGGGGTGCACAAACAGATGTTAGAGGGAAGATAGTGGAGGGGGGAGAAACAAACGCACCAGCGAAGTTGGCCGGGTCAGCGACAGCGTCCGAGCAGGTGCCGGAGCAGGTCGCCGAGAAGGCAGAGCCGGCCCAATCACCGCAGATGGTGATGTCGAAGATGAGGCTCTGGTTGAGGAAGTGCTTCTCGATGTCGCAGTTAGTGTTCGGGAAGAACGCGGTGGGGGTGCCCCAGCTCGACGGGTCGGGCGAGCCGGACGAGATGTCGGACGGGATCGCGTCACGGTCAAAGTACCAGACGGAGATCGAGTCGCTCTCAAGCGTGTGGGCGAAGACACCGCCAGCCTGCATGTTGAACCCGTGGCCGAAGGTGTTGTTCGTCGTCTGCGAGTACGCGCACCCGGCGTTGTTCCCGTTCGAGGACGCGCACGTGGTCGAGACCAACTTCGCGAGGGCGTTGGTGGCTTTGTCCAGGGTGCAGCCTGCGCCCGAGTGGAGGGTGATCTGGTTGCTCGTCGCTTCGTTCACGTTCTCTGTAGCGTACGGTGAGCAGGATATATGCGCGCGGAGAGGCGGACGCACCGATGATGTCGATCTCACCCGCGTCGGGCCAGGTGGCGCCCTGGCCTAGGGACCAGTACGCGGGCCAGACACTGCAGCCGTGGGGCATAGCGTAGATGTCGGCGATGAAGAGGCCGCGAGCCCACGAGTCCTTGGTGGAGATGCGGATGGAGTTGCGCTTGCCACCGGCGGCGACGTTGTTGGATTGGTCGACGGCGATGACGGCAGTGCCGTCGGACTGGACGTACGCGAGCGACTTGGCCGCGTCGCCGTCGACGTAGTTCACGAGCCCGTGTGTCGGGTCCGAGTCGGTGAAGAAGTCCCAGCCGCTGCGAGCGGAGAGGTGATTAGCGTCATGGCTGGGATTGAACGGGGCAAATGGCATCTGAGACATGGCCTCGGGATCTGCGTCGGACTCGCGGGGGATTTCGCGCCGCGCAGGGGATCGCGCGTTCCAGGCACAGGTGCGGAGGGACCACGATCGCGCGCGAGGCAAGGTTGGCTACTCACTTGAAGAAAGTGTCACCCTTGTACTCCTTAACGAGCTTGTAGGAGGTTGAGCGGGGCGTGTAGGAGTTGCGGGCGAGGCCGCTGTGGCGGCGGAGCTGGGCGCCGTGGTGGGCCGTGAGGGCATCGGAGCCGGCGACGAGAGAGAGAACGAGAGCAGAGAGGAGGCCGAACATGGTGGGCGAGCTCTAGAGGAAGGAGAGTGGGGAACGAGAGAACGACGGCTCGGGCGGCGGGAAGAAATAGCGGGAGGGGAGGCAGGCCACAGACCAAGCAGGCGTTGGGTATAAAACCGGGGCCGGAGCGCGAGCGGGCCCGCTTTGTTCAGCCGGCGCCGCGGCCTTCATTCCGGGGCCCGGCCTCGGATCCCGGCGGCCCACCACGGCGCCACATCGCCGCGCTTTTGTAAGTACAAACGCGCTGTTGTCTCCTTCCCCTGCCTTTGTCGCTCTCACCTTCGCGCAGCGGCCAATGTGCGAGGCTCGTGCACGGTCGACCACCGAGCCCGTCGACACCCTCTGAGCCTGCGCATGCACAGCGCCCGGTACCGGCTCAGACCGCTGGGTAGCTGCGCAGGCCACCGCCTCGACTCTCCACTTTACCCATGCGCTCAGCGTGTACCGTGCCTGCTTGGCGGCCCCCTCTCGTTTACGACCACAGTCGTCGCTTTGACCTTAGTTGACTGCACCAAGCACGCGCGATCAACTGGGCCAGGGCTGTGACTTGGTTGCGGAACTGTGCTCCCAAGCTGGTCAAGCGCGACGGTACGCGCACGGCGCCATGCTGACCCTCTGCGCTACATATGTTCCCAGAGTTTCTTCTTTGCACCCTTGCAAGGTGTATGATGGAGCCGAGTCGTTCTCAGACGGTTCTCACTGCCCGTAATGTCCGCCCTGTTTATGATCGCCGAACCTTCGGACGCCGTAGACCGAGATGCAGGTGACAGACCTTACGATAGATCGTGAATGCATTTCCTTGAGCCTCACGTTGGTTGCTTACGGGAACCGGTGAGCCGCGTTCTACGCACTATGTTTTCGCCGGCATCAGCAGAACAAACCCCTTTCTCATCCAGAATCCGCATTGTTTCCTCCAATCGCCGCAGACGCCTCGCCATTGCTGGGAACAGGGCGGAGACACAACACAATCTGGCTTCCAGTCGCGCACCGCCTCGCGCACTCTTGTTCCGCATCGCGCGAACGCAGCACCATGAGGAATCAGGATCATGTTGCGCCCGTACGTGATGCAACACTGAATGGGGCGTACCCACTTCGGGATAGAGTCGTGCCTGCGCCCGGATGAATGGGTACGAGCCTGGCGCGCACCTGCTGCTGCGCATGGTCGTACTATGCACATCGTGTCCGACCAACGGCGTACCCATGTGCGCTCTGCGACGCAGCCTACGATACTTATTAGTTCATCACTATTTGAGTGCGTTCAGCTATTGTCTTCAACTTGTGTCGCTGATGTTGGCTTCCCCTAGGCGACCTAGGCGACCTCAGGCACGTCTGGACTCTGCCCGACCCAAAGAGATCCTTCACAACCACAGCTCCCGCATCCATTGTATCCCCGGACGAATCTAGTACTCGTGTACTGGACGCCCACCACGTTTCGGGGGATATCAATAGAAAGCCCCTTCTTCGGGCGGTGAGCAACAGGTGTCGTTCATTTCGCAGAATGAAGCGCGCCCCCGTCCAAGCAAGTCGCCCCGCAGCTGGGTGCCATTCGTGCGCATCCACATTCCACCGAATTGGACCCAAGCCCCGACCCTCGCTCTGGGACGACGCACCAGGATCGGTTTCAATCTCCTCGTCGCCGACTCCTCGCGCGTCCGTCTGCGCGCCTCAAATTTCCAGTGACCGAAGGCTCCAAGTCCCTCGCGTCGCGTTGGGCGTCCTCCGTCCCTGGGGCGCCGCCGGCGTTCAAAAGCGACTCCAAGGCCCAGGCCCAGAACCCCCGAAATCCGCCCCTAACCCACGCGGCGATGCCCACTGAGCACTCTCCGCACCCCCGCCCTGGACGGCGCGCTTTGCGCTCGGCCGGTGTCCGAGCTTCTGGCCAATCCCCAGGATAGTCTGCGAGGGCAGAGGGGTCGGCTGCGCTGCATGGACGGAGTACACGAGAGCGCGGAACCCAGCGCGCACGTCCGGAGGCGGCCGGCAACCTCTGAGAGCCAATCCACTGCTGTATGCCGGGAATCGAGATCCTGGACGCGTATAGCTGGAAGCTGCGGACTGCGCTCATGCGGATCGCCGCGGGAGATTGATAGCTGCAGCGCGCCCTTGGGCCAAGGCATTTGTGACTTTCGTCGCAGACAGGCTTGGAAGCTGCAGTTGCTTTCGACTTCAATGCAGGGAGAAGCCGGTGAGCGATCGAAAGAGGCTTTGTGGTCGAACCGGAGAGCCGTGCACGACTCGGACGGGCCGGTGGACAGTGAAAGCATGGGCCGACATGCGGACGTCTTGAGATGGGCGTGGCGCACACGAGCTTTGCGTCCGGAACGAAGGTACGAACACGTGCTTATTGGACTACGGAGCGCAGACTCGGAAGGAGCGTACAGGGGATGCAGACCCAATGCAGAGTTTTTCACCCAGACCACACGGCGGGACCAGGCTGAGTGTAGTTGGTGGGGATGGGGTACTGTAGAAGAATCGTTGAGCATCGAGATCGCCAGAACCGTCACAAAGAAACTCACGTTGATGTTGATGAGGATGCCGGGCTCCTGCAGGATGCAGCGCGATATGAGCCTCCGAACAGGAACATGCAGAAAAAGCACGCACGTAGCCAGTGTAGACACCAGGGATGGCGACGAGGGGTCCGGGCGTGCCGCTGCCGCCGTTGACGACGTTGACCTGGCCACACGAGATCTGTACGAATGTGTTAGCACAAGACCACAGCCAGTAGCACCAACGGCTCACGTAGAACTGCGCGCCGCCGAACGTCTGCGCGACGTGGAGCGCGATCGCCTCCATGCGGACCAGGTACTGGCCGGTCGGGAGCGCCGCAGGGAGCGTGAAGGTCACACCCGGGATACCCTCAGCCGGGAAGGCGATGCTCGAGCCCCCGTCGGTGACGGCGGTGATCTGGTAGACCTTGAACCAGACGGAACCGTCACCCGCGAAGTCGCTGACGTCGCCGTCGGCCTTGGCCATGTAGACGTTCACGACGCCCGGGTGGTAGATCGTGCCGTCGGACATGATTCCCATCTCGGTGCCCGCGGCGACGGTGATCGTCTCCACGGTCGGGTCCGTCTCGGAGTCGTAGCAGCGGAAGTCGGCGGAGGTGACGTCGGTGACGGGCGCTTGGGTGTTGTAGTTGTTCGTCTGGCGAACGTTAATCCAGGCGGGGGTCGTCGTGCCGTTGACGACGAGTGAGGGGAAGGTGTCTTAAGGTGGGTGTCAGTGAGTAGAGAATGGTGGCAAGGTAAAGGAGGGACGCACAGTGGGCAGCCGCTGAAGCGACGAACGCAGCAAGAGCGAGGGCGGACTTGAACATCGTGATGCTGTGAGGCACGGAGTGCTGCAGGTTGACCGTTGCCCGTGGCTTCTTTTATAGCAGACGGAATTCTGCACCCATGCTGTTTGTTGCTGTATGTATGGATCACCGTCTTTACACGTAAGTGGTTCGGAACCGTTTTTGAGGCCTGTTTGAATGTTGCGCCGTCCATGTGAAGACGATATATCCGAGGTATCGAGTAGTCTTCGGCTACCCGTGGACGAGATAGAAGATGATACCGCGTCATAGTCTGTTGTGCACTTATTAGAGGCCAACCCAAGCTCGAGATGCTGATTCCGAGGACGCAGAGAAGCTTCTTCGGGAAAACAAGCTCCAACGGGTCGTCAGGTCGAGAGCTGTATACATGCTCAAAGGAGCCGACATATAGCCCGTTCATCCGAGTGTGCACCGAATCTCTTGACAGACACATGCGAGTTTCGGGGAGTCCGGTCGCTGATGACGTTGAATCATCGGTGGGGGTCAGTGACTAAAGTACGGCACCCGATGCCTGATTGAAGTAGTGTGGGCCCGGAAGCCATGGATCTGTTGGGAGCGGGACAAGGTTGGCTTTACAAACAATGAGGACGAGCAAACATAGCACACACTATTCCAAGAATATGCCCCTCACTGATGCTGGGTCATGCGGGGTAGGCCATTTTCTGTCGTTCCGATACACGACCGGTGAGTTGAAACCACATTGGTGAGTGCTTGAGTAGTGATAAAGGCTTCTCGATAAGAACGAGCGGTGTTGGAGAAGGAGAGCATGGGAGAAGACGAGACGCATGGTAAGGAAGCGGCGGCGGCTTGCACTTTCCTGAGCAGGGGTACGCCATAGTATTCCCTATAATCAGTGCACGTATGGGTCGATGGCGTAGTTGGTTATCGCATCTGTCTAACACACAGAAGGTCCTCAGTTCGAGCCTGGGTCGACTCATTTTTACTTCGGTAACTTTGGTCAAGCGCTCGGGAGGGAACTTATGACGTGCATGCTGTATGCAGACGTGGAAGCGCGTCTTACTCTTGTCATGATTCTCTCCTGCCACCACCAGCCACGGTCATTCCCATCGTGGCTCTACCTGTAACATAACCCTTATGGCCTTCCCTCTGCCCTCGCATCTTCCCCGCAAGAAAGATGCTCGTGATGTTTCAACCCAAATCCTCACCCAAGTCTCTGAGACCTCGGCCAAGGCGCTGAGTGCGGAATTAGCCTCCTCATGGGTGTCTGAGCTCAACGACACCATTAGGCAAACAAAGGTGAGTTTCTCCGTCGCGTCAGAGCGCATATATCCACCCTGACCCAGGCCGAAAGCAACGCATACACGAGCGCATCTCCAGCGACCTCCCCGCCTTTGAGAGGCAGCTCGCTTCCTCCATTGCCGTACAAGAGCGACTCCATTCCCTGTCCCACAATGTAGACAGTCTGGAAGAGAGTATCTCAAACCCTCAGGTGAGCCGCCTATCTACCCTCTCTCCAACTTTCGACCCACGCCGTCTTCAAGTCAGGTCTCGTACCCACCCTCGTCAACACGCTCACTAGCCATGCGGCGGTTGCGCAAAACGCCGCGGACGCGCGCGCACGACATCACGCTCTCGCGCATTTGCTGCAAAGCAGAAACGAGCTGCGACGTCTGACGCGGTTGGTGGAGAAGGCGGAGCTCGCGGACGCGACGGTTGCTTGCGCTTCGCTGGGGAAGATGATCGCGGAGGCTCCGCCACCCCTGCTGAAGAGTGAAGTCATGGGTGACATGAAGGTGCGTGGCCATTCATACGTTTTGGTGCAGTTGTGAACATGGTGTGTGTTACCAGCGAAGATGCGCGGCGCTGCAAAACCGGACGGAGGAGCAGCTCTTGGACGCCTACTCGAGGAGTATATCGGTTACAGCGTCGGAAATAGTGGTCAAGTCTTCTGTGCAAGCCGTGCCACCACGCGCATATCGCCATGGACCCTCGCTTCCTACGGCAGTTAATGGTGAGAACATGGATGCCGTGATTGGTCTCTCCGCCATCCTGCAGTCGATGTCACCCTCCACTCTCTCCATGCACCTATCTACCCTACGGCGCGACATAATTGCACACTGCATCGAATATGTCCTGAAGCAGCCTCTCCAACTACTGCATGAGAAGACGGAAGATATGACGGGCATGGTGGAGTATAAACTGTCCCTTCGGCGAGGTCCTCCAAACACCCATGACCTCACGCTACACCTCGACAACCTGGTAACCACCATGACCTTCCTCAACGACCACCTCTTCCCCCACCTCCCACCTCCAGAGCGCAAGGCATTCCCGCTCTCCCTTTGCACCTCCCTTCGTACCGCAATTCTCAACCATCTACTCCTCCCTAATCTGGCCTCGTCTCTTGCTACTTTACCTGCGTTCCTCGACCTCACAAAGCGAGCGGTCGAAATGGAAGACACGGTGATCATGAGGATGTTCGGGGAGAGCGGCGCCGACCGGGGCATCAAGTCATGGGCCGACGCCGTCGGTCACCACTACGAGCGCAAGCGGCGGGCCGACATCCTGGACAAGGCCCGTGTCGTCGTTGTCGCGCAGTATGATGACAGCAGCGCCTTCCGCGTCGACGCGCCTCTTGTTGCTCAGGAGAAGATCATCCCCATTCAGGTCGTCGACGAGCCGGTCGTCGTGAATGGGAAAGCAGCGGCCGCGAACGGGCATGCTGAGGAGGTGGGGGCTGTGGCGGACGATGCGTGGGGCTTCGAAGAGGAACCGGCGAAGAAGACTGACGAGTCTCCGACGGATGACTGGGGCTTCGATGACGACCTCGACGCGGAGACGGAAGCTCTTAACCCGAATCCCCCGGCAGCACCTGCATCACCGCCTCAGCCTCAGCCTGCGCCCCTACCAGCAGCACCCGCGGAAGAATCAGCGGAGGACCCCGGCGATGCATGGGGCTGGAACGACGACGCTGAAGAGATTCCTGATGAGTCCATTGCGGTCGAGGACGACTCGCCCTGGGACGATACCTGGGACGAGAAGCCCGTCACTCCGGTCAAGGCACCGAAGCAGGCGAAAGGGTTGGAAAAACGGTTTGGGAACAAGAGTCTACCGACCTCCCCAGTCGCCTCGACGCTTCCAACGATGTCCGTTCGCGCGGAGACAGCCCCTGCTCCATCAAGCTCACATCCTCCTCTCCCATCCCAGCCAGTACAACCTCCCCACCACGCCCCACCCCCCATGCTCAAGCCGCTCCAAGTCACGGAGTCGTACGCCGTCTCCGGGCGCACGAAGGCACTGCTCCGCCTCGTCGAAGACGTCCTCCGCGAGGGCGCCGAGCTCGCGGCGTCCGGCACCCTTAGCACGTCCTCCGCCCCGGGCGACATCGTCCTGCAGGCGGCGCCGATGGCGCTCGAGCTCTTCCGCGCGCTCGTCCCGGTCACGAACGCGGTGCAGCTCAAGCAGGCGGCGAAGGAGCCGATGCGGTTCTCGAACGACTGCATGTTCGTGGGCCAGGAGGTCCGGCGGGTGGTCACGACGCTTGCGGGAACGCAGGTCGCGGCGCGGGGGAAACTGGAGGAGGGTGTGGAGCGGCTGAGGGTGCTGTCTGAGAGTTGGTATGAGGATGCTGTAGTGAGTGTTCCTTTCGATCGCTTGTTGCGTTTAAAGTGGAGGGGGCTGAAGTGGGTCTTAGAGCCGCGAGGAGAAGGTGATTGAGGAGACACTGGAAGAGGCGCGAGGGTTCATAGACACGCATCTTCAAGACCGGTACGACGAGTGCGAGAGCGCGGTCAATGAGGTCTTGCAGCGGATACGGAGGATAGCGCCCCAATGGAAGGTATGTGCGCCTTTGTCTACCACCCCCTTCCCCGCTGAGCACGTCTCGGTCTCCAGGCCGTTTTGATGAAGAGCCGATACTACGAGGCGCTTGGCACGCTTGTGGAGTGCGCCCTGTCGCGTATCTTGGGCGATATCCTCTCCCTGGAGGACATCACGGAGACGGAGTCACATAAGCTCTGCGAGTTGTGTCACATCATGAACTCGCTGGAGGGCCTTTTCGTCGAGGATCCCGAGCAGCCCTCCTTCGTTGTGTCCTACGTCCCTTCGTGGCTCAAGTTCTCATACCTCTCTGACCTGCTGGTGCGTCGTCTTTCCACTTCTCAGAAGAATACATGCTCATCATATCGCGGCATATACAGGAAGCTTCCATCGCGGACATCTCGTACCTGTTCGAGGAGGGCGCGCTGGTCGACTTCGAGATTGAGGAGCTTGTTAAGCTCGTCAAGGCGTTGTTCGCGGACACGCCGTTACGGGCGAACACGATACAACGGTTGCAGCAGGGACATCCCGTTCGTGGTACATAGTGCGCGTTTGTCTGTATGCGGGATTTGCTTTATATGTTATTGCTTTGCTGTGTCGCCTTATAGTACTTTGTTCGCCCGGTTTCTCGCACGGCCATTTCTGCCTCACGGTGTCCGCAATCATGAGGCTGAAATGCGGGGTCACCATCGCTGAGCGACGACGGACGGACAGCATTGGACTCTGTCCAAGGAATGACAAGAATGGTTTCATGCGTGCTGGAATGCATTCAACATGTTCGGAGATATACAAAGCAATGTAAGGGAAGACAACGGCACGACCACAACAACAAATTTAAATATAATACATGGGTACAAGGCACTTCGAGTCACAAGATCTTCATCCTCCAGTCGGACGTCTCTTGCCCTTACCTTGGTGTTCTGAAGCGTGGGTAGCCGCGGGCGACGTGGGCACCGCGACGTACAAGGATTTATCAAGAGGAGTCTCGCGCCCTGTCTCGAGCGGGAGAGAACCTAACAAGAGCGAAGACATGGTGAACTAGCTAGGGTCTCCTCGTGCTGATTCGCCGCCGTTTGCTCCGACGAAGACCGCCTTCATCGGCGCAGGACGGGGGAGGGTTTTGCGTCAAGTCGTCCGGGGCCGCGCGCTTCCTGCCGCGCGTTCGCGGCGGCGAGCTTAGTGCCGCTGCTGCAGCGGTGGCGAGGGCGGCCCTCGTGGCGGGCGGCACGTTCTCTCGAGTTTGACGGGTGAAACGGCGCATGGGAGCCGGGTTCGGCGCAGCCGTTGGGGTCACAAGCCGGGTGGGAGTGGGGCTGGAAGGAGTGGCGGCACGAGGAGGGGCAGGTGTCGAGGGTGCTTCAGTCGATCCTGAAGCTGCTTGAGGGCCTGCGGTGTCCGAAGAGACGACGTCGGACGAAGGGTGGCTGGGAGAACGGACGGTGAAGAACTTCGAGGCAAGGACTCGCGCTCCGAATTGCTCCATGGCAAGTAGCTCTAGCGCGCGAAGCTCTTCATCCCGGTGATGGTCTGGCGGCGCCCCAGCTTGTGCGCCTGCGACGACGTCAAGCCCTCTCCTACCCAGAGATAGAGGAGGGGTGGGTGTTCCGAGGGGTGGGTTGACCAGATGGGGACTTGACGGAAGTGGGGACGTTGGAGATAGAGGGCCGGAAGAATGAACGGTCGCAGCAGAGCCTCGAGGAATTCTAGAGGTAGGTGAGAGGGGCGAGCTATGGTTAACCTCGGATGAATGGAGTGCAGTATGCGAGGGTATAGGCGTGTGCTGGCATGGACCTTCCGAGAGCAGGCGAGCAGGCGATTGTGTATCGTCTTGCCAGGGGCAGACGTCAGCAACGGTACAGTTGAGAACTCAAATGGATGGGGCTCACCGGCAAGACAACTCTGGATCCTCAGTCGATGGTCCCGAATTGAGTCCTCCATGCTTTTCAGCTTCTCAGAGGCTTCCCGGAGGTCGTCAAGGTGCCGCCGCCGCGCTTTCTCTCCCTCAGTCTCCTTCGAGACGACTTTCCGAAGGTACCTTAAACGCTCTTTCATATCTTCGGCTTGCTCCCGACGCACTTCCTCCTCTTGCTCCGGAAGCCACAGATCATTCGCAACCTTCACAGACGCCAGTTGTGCGTTGGACTTGCTCGCGCATCTTCTATGGTGAGCGTTCCATTTGTGCTCGTCGAACCAGTCTCTGGTCGTCAAAGTGACCAGGTAGTGGCACCGAGCGCACCTGACCTTGAACGAGTGGTAAATACACTCTACGTCTGGATGGTCGCACAACCGTCGGAGTCTTGCGAAACCGCCGTCGCACATGTCGGGGTCCCATGGCGTGAACGTACTGGTCGAAAAAAGGGAATGATCAGCATGGGCCGGAAGCATGCTCGTTCAAAGGCGACGTACCCCCAGTACTTTCGGTGTGCGCGCAAATCGGGGAGTATGCGCTCAAGACGAGCCAGATATGAGTCGACTGTCGGATTCCTCTTGAACTGACCCTCGCTCTTCTGGGGAGTAGCTTCAGGATTTGTTGTACGTCTAAAGGGACGCGAGAGGATGAGGGTGATGGGGAGCAGCATCAGAGAAACACTCACGTATCGGAAGAGGCTATAAGGTGCGGAGAGCTTTCTTCGGTCCGCAACCTTGTCGTACGCATATCGCTGTGCTTGAGACCAGAACAATGTAGCCCAACGATAACGTGGCGAGGGAAAGTGGCGAGTCGATGGGGTGGGGACGTGGAGTATGCGAATGCCGTGCGGAGGCTAGGACAGCACATTATATCGGTCAAGAAGGCAACGCAAAATCGTTGTTGATGACAATACGAATCGCGATCCCGCTCGCCATTTGTGTCTTCCTTGGCGGCCCCCCGGCAGAACGAGAAGGCAGTGCATTCCATGGATCCACAGGAACCGAGAGAAGGTCGGTGCGGTGTTGTGCATGAGTACCACGAGGAGAGCCAAGGTGAGAAGCGCAAATGGATTGTGGAAGACGAAGGCCAGTGGGACACTGCCGTTTGTGTGGGATGTCGTGGGTTACTTTCGATGTAATTGAACGATATATCTGCAGCGGCAGGGTCAGACCATAGTCAACATGGAGAAAACGCACAACGAACGTCAGCAGAGCCTTCGACCAGAACGACTTCATGGTAAAGCTAGTAGAGCTGGGCTGTCACGAATATGGAACTTACAGCTGGTCGCCGTCTGGAGTCAAGGGAATACCGCCTCGTCAGCACAGCACCACACAATAAACCCATAACGGCATGCGGTGGATAAGGGCTCTAAACGGAAACAACAAAGGTGGGGTCAGATTGGGTAGCTCCTGGTGGCGAGCATCCTGACAACAGAGAGAATAGCTACACAGAAGGAAGGAGGGACTGCCGCACGATTCCAAACGAGTCCCGCATGGCTGACGGGTAAGTAGAAACAAAAACGTCCGGTATGAGGGGAGCGGACAGACGAACAACCAGTCCGCCGCATGAAAGTAGCAAGGGATATGCTGGGAAGGATAGGGCACGGGGGTCCGAATGCGTATGTAGCGAGAACGCACTCACTGCAGAGCCTCACAATCTCCCCCGAGCCTCATACGCATGTCTTCGATACACATATATCAAGACTGCGTCCGTGTCTTGCCCGAATGGTAAACGTCTGGAGGCTGGCGTCTGGCCGTGTGTTCATACATATTCGATGCTTGACAGAGGCCGAGAAGACGATCCGAGTACCTCAGTCGAAGAAAGGAGTCCAGAGCAGCAAAGTACGAGATGAGGTGCTGTAAAGCTACCAGTGTGGCGGCCAAACGAGAGGCGAAGCATGCCGGTGAATTGGGGAGGAAGTCAAGCGAACACGGCATCTGCCGGCATACGCTCCCGCATGTGGACATGTCGGAGACACAGCGCGCAATCCGCATTACCAGCACCAACTTGTAGACAGCATCTCTTGAGCATCTCAACGTGCTACGTACTTGCATTTCTACTTCTACGCATGCTTTGAGGTACGTCGCGGGGCACATGACAAGAAAAATTGGACACGCTGAACTTGCTGGCCCTGCCACAATAACATGGCACCGTATGTACAATAGTGATCACCTGATCATGAAGTGTTGCTGAGATCCCTGGGAGCAGCAACACGCACCAACCACCAGTTATGCATGTAGCAAACTTCACCGTACAAGGCGTAAGCCGGGCCTTCGATGTACATCCGTGAGGCAAGCTTGATGAGTTTGCGGAACTTGTAACACTTGAACATCAAGCGTTGTCTTGCGCTACTGCGTCAATTACCTGCGCGCGGAGGCCATGATAAACAGCTCTTAGCGCGTTCTTCAAAGTCGACGCCTCTTGGACATTCGAACTTGATCAACGCCCGCAACGCGAGCCTGAGGAGCGCTCTCCTCGTCAACCAAGATAGAGCGCTTCTTCCCGCGATAACGCTGCGTTCTGCCTGCGGACATGGTGAACGGTCTCCCCGGAGCGAAGGTCGGTGGTGCGTTCTCGTCGCCCACGACCGACAGAGCCGCCCCAACACTAGAGGCAGGCAGGGGTCCAGAAACGACGTCGGAAGTGGGGTTAACAGGGGCGCGACCGGAAAGACCTGCGCACGCATCTCTTGAAGTACGGTGGAGGACTGGCGCAGTGACAGGGTTGGACTCCGGGGCAAAAGTGCGCCCCGAAGCACGGCCTAAGTGGACGGACTTGTGTTTCATCTGCAGGAGCGCTACGACCGTCGCTCGCTCTGCAATGAGACGTGCCGTCGTGCGTGCAAGCTCCCCAGCACGAGTGTCCAATTTCACTCTGGCGAGTGGGTCCGCTTCGACGGCAAGAGTGCTGCGATCTCCTAGAGTCGTTACGTCGACCTCGGTCCAGTCGTCAGGAGAGGCGGTGGCAATAGTAGAGTCGTCGATACTAGGAGTGAGTGGTGGAGTGATTACTATGGTGGGGAGCGCGGTTAGGGGAGGTGAAAGTGAGTCCCGCGTCCCCCAAGTCATGACTGGTACAAGCCTAGGAAGAGGTGGTGAGCTCTGAGCGGTGGAACCCGGGGTGGCGGGCCGCGAGAGCGAGGGCGAGGGGGACGGGCATGGTGAACGAAAATCGGAACCAGGTTGACGGTCCGACTCAATATAGACTTCCCGAGAGATCTCCTGAGATAGCTCCGGAGACGAAGTTTGAGCCGGCGATGGGACCAACGATGAAATCTCAAGCGAGTTGGCCGCCTGAGGGCGGAATGAGCCATATTCTAGTACCCGAGACATGTTCCACTCACCCTGTCGTGCAACCGCATCCACTCCGCGTAAAGCTGCTGCAGCTGCCGGATATTCTTCTGAAAGCTCTCGCCTAGCTCCTCGATGACTTCCTGACGTCTCGTCCTCTGTTCGAGCTCGACTCGCATGTTTTCAATATCCTTTTGTGCCTGCACATCCTGTGCCCTCTTGTGTTCGATCTCCAGCTCGATCTCCAGCTCTTGGGTCTTCGCTTCGTTGATAGGAACCAGGGTCTCGATCGTCTTCTCAGACCACGTCCTGCACGCTTCCCAGTGTGCCAGGAACTTGTTCGACTCATAGTCTACGCCGTTCGGCCCACGCGCGTAGACGTCACGGCAGCGGGCACACTTGACCTTCTCGTCGTCATACACGATCGCGACTCCTTCATGGTCCAAGAGGGTCTGGAGATGGAGTCGGCTGACCCGTGTGACGAGCGGTTTCGGAGTGTGGTGCAGCCTGTGGCCATGGGAATGTGTCGGTCCATTGCAGAGGAGCCGTGCAACTGAGGACTACGTACTTTGACAACTTCGGGTGCGAAGCGAGCTCGTAGGGCATCGGCTGGTAGTCTCGGGTTCCTCCTAGCTTTGGGACCGGGGTCTTCTTCGGTTTAGCGCCAGCTTTCGGCGGTCGAGGAGTAGTACTGCGCAATCGCGACTGATCGGGACTGCGAATAGACGGCGCGGATGGGGTAGAAGAACTCACAATGAGGCCCGGCGAGTAGCGCGACGAGTGGTGCGTCTAGCCATTTTCTTGGAAGAGGGTAAGGGCGGATCGGACGATTATGGGGCTTGAAGGGGAAGGAGGTCGAGAATTCGTTGCGTTGGGAGTGCGGGGCGAGGGACAGGCCTTGAAGAATGCGCACTTTATATCCACCCCGCCGAACCACGAACAAGAGCGGAGACGCTTGTCACGAAAGCAGACTGGCCCTCCGCAAATCCTCTGCGTCCCGGATACCGGCGCGCTGCAAACTTCTGGCGCGATGAACGGGCTGTGCCTTCAGAACCGCGTGGCGTTGGTGAGGAGGGTGGCAGCATTGGGAGAAGCGGGCGGGTCGGGATCGCGGCGCTTGGATTGCGTGAAACGCAAGGGACAAGGCTGGTGAACGGTGGCGGGCTCGAAAGTGCTCGAGGCGGGAGGTGGGATGTGTGTGCGTCCCCATCACTCTACCACGGAGACCTTCCCAGAGTGCTTCTCTCGGTGGCGAGATCGTCGGAGAAACCATGTGCGTGCTTTTGGGTACAATTGTGCACTCAATTGTGGGCACGCTAGAAGCACAAGGAAGCGAGATGTCTGCAGTGGGGGAATTCAATCAACAGATCGTTGGGATAACTGGCGAGATACAAACACAACAAGGCACCCAGGGACGATCTTGTTCCGAATCCTCCGCCAATGAATAGACTTGTTAAACCATGAACACAAGTCTTGAATCGTCGCCCGTTGTCTGGATGGCGATGTCTTGCCGGCTCTGGTCCATGAATCCGTCGCCCTACACCTCACTGCTACACACCACAAAATCGCGAACTTATTCCGGAAATAAGGACCAGTCAAGGGCGACGGGCAAGTCTTGCGGGGGAATAGCATAAACGATCGCCTTGAGCTTCGGCGCATCATACGCCGCTGGTCGCACTGACGGATCTGGTGCACGCATCCGCTCCATGACTGCGTCTGAAGCGGGGAACGTTGACTGGGGATGTCACGGTGAGCGAAGAAAAACATGGCAATGGCGATAGACCTTCCCTAAAGCTCATCCAAACGTCCGGCTCGTACGGATTATATGACTTTCCAGTGACTCACGAATGGGTCTCTCCGATGACGGGGAAGAGATAGAGACATACCATTGCATCGGGAGCTATGCTGTCTCCAGCTGCTGTGCTCTTGCCTCGGTCATGTTTTGTTCGGGGAACACGTGGAATGAGGGGATGGAGAGAAAAAAAGCACAGTGCAAGCAGCAAGACAGATTTGACCGTTCCAAGAGCTAGCGGGGTGTTTTCGTTGCAGATGGCAGAAAGGCACTCATGGAGCCGGGAAAGTGTGGTGTGTGGGAGAGACAGACAGACGCGCCTCCTTCCTTGCACTGGGTTTCCTCTGGCCACCTGATGAATCACCCCACTTCGGCCGACGAGCGTAATCCATCCAACAGCGACGCCGAGTCTGATGGCGATGACTGGGTTCTTGTATCAAGCTCCGACCATGCCTCCCCTCCCCCCTCCACCGACGACGAAGAAGCAGATACTCCGGACGTGCGCGTTGACAAGTCCAGCTCATTGTTTGAGGCTTTCAATGCCGTGCGTATCGTTCTCCCGTCTCCCCGTCTCTGTTTTCTGAGGTCCGGTGCGTGTGTAGCGCGTCGCTCGTGCTCTGATCAAGTTCGCGCCGCAACCCACTCTCCCCCGGTCGCAGGTATATAATGGCAAGAATCGCCCCCCTCTCTGGCGGTTCGGCTACGCCTTCGAGTTGGACGTTGCCTTCGAGTATGCCGTTCGACACAAACTCAAGATGCTACCCGACGATGACGAGGAGGCCGAGGTTCCCACCTTTGAAACAGTCCTTGCTCGACAGGGCAGATCGGCGCGTGGGATGACGCTGATGGCACTCAGACTCATGACAAACGACCTTTCCGATAAGTGCGGTTTCATCTTGAACATTGCGCGTACGCTCTCGGTCGGCCGCGGGCTCAAGTTCGTGGTCTACCTGTGGTCGAACTACGACTACGACGAGCAGGTAAAGCTCTGTCATGATTACGATCTTGTCCTGCACATCCTCGACGAGGCGTTCAAGCCGTTTCCTGGGGCGATAGCTGAACCATTCTGGTACATCGACGTGGACAATGATTGTCTGGTACGTCGCAGCATCTGCCTTTGCGATGAATGCTTCTCACGTTGAGAACAGGGAATATAGCTCACTTGAGTGGCATCACTGATCTTACGAGTTATATATCACCAGTCTCTCCACGATAAATACGGCAGGTTCATGGCCAGATAATCGACTGTAGAGTGCGGCGCGGGACGTCGTATATGGGCACTTTCTCTCCGACTACGAGTCCGGTCGGGTCTTCCAGAGACTCTCCACAGGCCAAGGCACTTCCCAATACGCCGTTGCTTGCTCCAAGTCCTCCAAGACCCACGACTCGTCCGGTGTCTTCCGCTGGGACGTGGCGGCGACCAGCGGATCGTCCACAGCGTCCATCCACTCCAGACACGACCTCGGCGTCGACGTGTTCAGAGCTCCAAGCTCAGCGTACCGCCAACGCGCCACCGTCTCCCTCCCCTCCACCCTGATCTCAGCCAACACCTCAATCGGCGTCTCGCGGTCCCCGCGCGCGTCGACGCGCTCGGCGAGCAGCTCGGTCCACCGCGCTTTGATGCTGTCGACCACGTCCACGGGGACCCGTTCGAGGTACACCTCGAGCGTCCGCAGGCAGGGGCACGACGCGGGCCCATCGCCCCACGGAAGCGCATCCAGGACCGTGCCCAGCGCACCGACGACGCGTGCGAGGTCGTCCGGCGTTTTGTCGTACAGCCGGTACTTGACGCTGTCGAAGCGCACGACGAACGTCTCCAGCCGCGGCAGGCGCTCGAACAACGCGGGCAGGTACTCGTCGTCCCGGGCCGTCAGCGCAAACGAGACGTCGAGCGCGCGGACGTTCGCGAGTGGCATGTCGCGCATGCGGAGGCCGTCCGGCTTGTGCATGTGGAGGTAGATGTCGTTGAAGTTCGTGGTCTGAAAGCGCCCGTTCGGGCGCACCGAGCGCGCTTGGTTCGGGTCTGGGTCGGGTGGGCCGCTGAAGACGAGCGAGAAGCCGAAGGGGAAGTTGAGCAGGATGCTCATGCGGAGTGGGCCATTGAAGAAGGGGAGGTGGGGAGTCGCGAGATCATCGTAAGACGCACTCCCTTTGTCGGGGCAGTAAATGTGGACGTGGGCGTCGTTCGGGAGCGCGAGGTTGTTGACGACGTGGTAGCTGAACATCCACTCGCATCCGATGAAGGTGAGAGTTCGGAGCGACGGGATGGAGATCGGGCGCCGGGTGGCTTGGCCGAATTCGTTCCCGTCGATGATTTCATCAAACAAAGCATTCTCGACGAAGGTATATTCGATGTTGGGGCAGGAGGCGAGGAAGCGGAGGAGTATCGCCGTGATGCTGACGTCCTCGTAGCAGCGGTAAAAGCTCAAGTAGAGATGAGTGATCCGTGGAAACGGTCCGTAGGAGGATGCCATGAGGACTCCAGGCCAGAGGGCGAGCGCGCGGAGTTGAGAACCAGTGTCTGCGCCAAAGAGAGGGTCAGACTTAGCGGAGACGATGAGTTCATCAAATATGCCGGCACTGTCGAAACATTTCGGTGCGAAGAGAACTAGAGTCTCTAGACGAGGTGCGCTGAGCGGGAAGACTAAGAGAAGCCGTCCCCACTGACGTTCAGGGAGTATGGCCTCTCTGCCTGTCTCTGACATTGAGAATCGGAAGTTGACGAGGCGGGATTGAAGATCGGGGTCTTGCATTGTCTCAAAACACGGGCTTTCTATGTCTTCAATGGATATGGTAAGAGACGCAGTGCCAGATCGTTGGAGCATGCAGCGGAACAAATGATCCGATTCGTGTTGCAGAGCCCCTTGAAGGCGAGACCACAAGGAAGGCATCATCAGTGTAGTTTCGCGCCACGACTGACAGACTTGGGATAGCGTGAATAGGGTTGAAATGTACTCCTTCTGTGCGGTCTCCACGGCCGAATCAGAGTCGCCGTATGCCGTGTGCAATTGAGTGTTTCCGAAGAGTTGACGCAGGGTAGCGACACTTTCGAAGGAGTGACCGCTGGGTGCCGATGAAGTGGGTAGAGCGACGGCATGCTTGCATATCTCTAAGATGATATCTTGAGGCAGCTGGTTTATCGTCGAGTCCATGGAGAGATTCCGAGATCGTAATGCGCCACCGCTACTAGTAGCCTGGGAAAAGGTAGTATTCGAATGATTCACCACTTAGGTGGGATTCGGACGTCGAGAGAACGTACCTTGAAAAATGGCAAATCAGATGGGTAACGCCACTGTGAAGCAAACACAGTCGATGAAGAGGCGAGTCTGCAGAGGACGACTCGGAAGGTAGACGTCGTGCACGGGGGGCACGGAGGCACAATCGGCGGGCCTCTTTCGCCTTGTGCAGGCTTTGTGCAGGCTTTGTGCGGGCTCTCTCGCCGCGGGCGGGCCTGCGAAGTTGGGCGGGGCCGCGCGGCATCATGTGCTAGGCACGTTGCACACACGCCAGACAGACAGCCCGCACAAAGCCCGCACAAAGCCTCGAATTTGAAGAGGCCCGCGGGCCGCCGATTGTGCCTCGGACCGTGCTCCCCGTACTGTTGGACAGTGGCAGCCAGCAGCCAGCCAGGTACGGCTTGCAGGTGGTGAATCTGATATCCAGTCACACGGATCCGAGATTCTGATGAACGACACATTGCAAACAAAGAATACGAAAGTACAGCGCATAACCACGTACGAGACTGCGCAGACAGAGACATGTAAGGAGGCAACGGGACGGGTACGTATGATACAGAACGCGGGTACGTGCGATTAGGGAGATCATGGATTGTGCTTCTCACGCACCGGAGCCCATGGGTAGCAGCAGAAGTAGCAGAGGTATTTAGGTACATCGCCACATCGTTCAGCGGGGGCGTTCAGAGGAAGTGCGAGACCGCGCGCGAGATCAGCTCCGTTGCGTTCTCCGCGACGACCTCTGTGCCCCCTGCGACAGCCCCCTCCGCAGCCCCCTCGCCCCCGCCCGCGATCGCCTCCGCGACGGTCTCGAAGCACACAAGCATAAGCTCGACCTCGGGTTGCCCAGGATAGAACCACGTGGTGAGCGCCTAGCGTGCGCTCAGGTCAGCACCAGAACCGGAAGAAGCGAGCGGGTGGGACGCACGATCATCAAGTAGAACGAGACGAGGATGAGGCCCTCCACCCAGTTCGTCTTTGCGTCCGCGGTGACATAGTTGACGAGGAAACACGCGCCCAACAGGAGCGCGACCTCAAAGTAGTCTGCGCGCAGGCCCTTTAGCCGTCTTGTCTTTCAGTGCTTCCGACACACGGGGCGACTCACCGAAGAGGAGGTGCATCGGCTTCCCGATCCACCAGCCGAGGAGGACGAGGAACGGCATCCACCAGAGCGTGAACTGGATGCTGAGGTCGATCGCGCGCCCGCGCGCGAGCATCGACGGCACGAGGCGCTCGCGGCCCGTGAAGTGGTCGTAGAGCGACTCGAGGAAGAAGACAATCGCGACCGCGCCGTCGGCGGAGAAGGAGACGATCGGGAGGAGGATGAGTCCGAACCACTCTTCCTGGATGTCCGAGGTTTCGCGAACGCCCTCGATCGACTCCACGAGCTGCAGGGTGGGCGTGTGAGCGCACGCGAGGAGGGGACGCACACGAAGGGATACGCACGAACTCGGCGGTGGCGGCCATGATCGCGATGGTGAATGCGAGCAGGATCAAGCACGCCCACGGATTTGTAAGCGCCTCCTCTTCCTTGAGATGGGCCTCCTCGTGTTTCAGCGCCTGGGGAGCATCGTGCAGTACAGTGAGCGCATTGCCTTCACCAGGGGGGTTGTGCAAGTAAAATCGGGATGCGATGTAACTGAGGGGGGCATTCGGTTAATCCAGGAACAAATAAGGAGGCCGCACACGGAGGACGTACATGACGAGCAACATGATGGCGATACCGCGGCTCATCCGCAAAATCTGGTCGCGCGTCGCGTCCGTGACAATTGCGGAGACAGCCTCGGCGCCAGATGACGTTGTTTGAGTTGCACCGCGGTCAAGCGCAGCAAAGAACGCAGTCGGGAGGAGGGTGGCGAGCACGCTGGCAATGAGGTCAGCGCGCGAAGAGGCAAACGTGGAGAGGACGAACCCGATCATAAGGAGAGAATGGTTAAGGTCCGTATGGTGTGGGTGCAGGGCCTGATGTTGAATTTGACTGCCGCCGACGAGGAAAGATACACCGGGGATGAGTAGCAAATGCAGAATGACGACACCTAGACATGCGTAAGAACAGAGTTCACGAGGAGCTGCCTATTGGTAAATACTCACCGACAATCGTGGCCTGAAGTAAACGAAGACTGAATATAGTGAATAACACGACGAACATCATACCGGTATTCACTTACTCGCATTTGGTCAACAGGACGATGGCCAGGACGGCTTCCACAGCACTGCGGAGTCGGTCAGTACAATCCACATTGTAACCGACAAGAGAAACCCACTTGTTCAACGTAACGACGAGAAGGTCTCCGAGATCCTTGCCGAGGTAAAGGGCCATCTGCTCGCCGCCCCAGTCGAATATTCCTTCGAGGGGAATGATGGCAAGGAAGTTCACTGTGCAGTGCTCGGTACGAGGGAGTGCTTGAGGGAAGACAAAGACTTACGGACGAAGGTGGGCTCTGGACCCCATTTGTGGCTGAGGAACATCCAGTGGGACACCCAGGCAATGGGGATGACGATGAGCAAGACGTTGAGCCCTGGAGGACGGGTTTAGATGGACGCATTCTGCAGGGAGACATGGACTCACATGAAGACAAGAGTATGTTCTTCAGACTCTCGGCCCATCCGACCTTCCGCCGCCCTTTGCCACGAAAACGGTCCCAGAACTCCTGCGCCGCGTCCGTCGCCTGCTGGTATGCGCCAACTGTGTGGGCACTATTCGGTACTGGAGCATGTTGAGGACTGGGGTCCGTCTGAGAGCGTAGCCGGTCGGTGCTGCTACCATGAGGAGGTGAGCGGCAAGCCCAGGGCAAACATCAGTGGAGACCATACCTTCCGCGCTCTTCGTCGCCGAGCTTGCTCGAGGCGGGCGTGTGAGTGACCGGTTTCTCCGAAAGGATTGGGGAGGACGAGGAGGCAGGGGTGGCCATGAGGGAGGAAGGCAAAGAGCCTGCCGGCCTTGCGGGTGTTCAGATGTCCAGATCATCACGCTCAGGCGCGAGGCGACGGGGAGGCTGCGTGCTTGGCGGCAGATTGAGCGGGGAGACTCAGTAATAGTAAAAGGTTGAGCGCAGTGGCGTGCCAAGCCTGACCGGGACGCTGTCAAGGCGATTTCCGCGCAGGTCGGCACAGCGTGCACGGTGTCGACTTCATCGTGGGGCGTTCTGGAGAGAGAGCAATCGAGAACAAGGGGTATATGTGGGTATGCGAAGAGCAGACGGAGGTCAACGGAGGTCTCCAAGTTGAACGTCGAAGAGAGAGCCGCCGATAAAGCGGTGCGCGCCTCTCATCTCCGCTCTGACTGGATTCCCTCTATGCAGGTGCCGGCCGAGCCTGCGAGGCCGGTCCCCAGCGTCCGGCCGAGCTCTGGGCGCCTAGGCCTCAAGCAAATTTCCCGTGCCGTCTGCCCGTCTGTCCGCGCGCCTTCTCTCTCTCCCCCTACATCCGGTTCCCCGCCGTACCATCCATCGTCTTCTCGCATTAGATCAGCTTGGTTTCTGTTCTCACAGCCGTCATGACCAACAACGTCCCCGACCCGAGCCAACTCCAGTTCCTTCCGGGCGAAATCCAGCCCGACACGCCCTCGCAGCTGCCCGCTGGCCGCAGGGTGTCACCCAGAACTGTCGAAAAGGAAGGAAACCCCGAGCCAACTCGAGCAAGTGGCCGACGCACCACTGAGAAGGCAGACGGTAAAAAGAAGGCGACGTCATCGCCGGACAGCACCTCGGGACCGAGCGGTGCCGCCCCCTCGAGCGTGGGTGTCACGGCCATGCCCGCCGGCAACGCCCAGACGCCTGGCCAAGCGGCGGCTGCGCCCTCGGCTGCCCCAGGAGCGGCGTCTCTCGCAGCGCAAGTCTCTCAGGCCGCCGCCGCCACGAAGACCGCCGCCACGCCCTCCAGCACCCAAATCACCCCCGCACAGCTCAGCGTCCTCATCCTTCAAGAGGTACGCACCTTGGGAGGCAACATCGCGGCCTTCGACAAACGGATCTCGGCTATCGAACTAGTAACGATCCATGGTGGCACGAACCAGCCGCCCGCACCAGCAGGGGCGACACCGGCGACAACCCAAGCACCCATCCAGGCCGGGGGGACAACGGCGGCGACCGCAGGCCTCACTGCCGCGGTCGTGCCGGAAGCCCAGAGCCAGGTGATCACTGCCCCTGCCCCCATGTTCGACCAGCTGGTTGCGGACGAAACCACGATCAACCTCGCTCAGCTCGCAGCGAACGCCAATGCGCAGCCCGGGGTTGCGGCGCTGCCAGCCATCGTACCAGGCTTGCAAGCTGATGAGAACACAGTCGGTGAGTACTGCTCCCCAGCATCATCGCGTCACGCTCGTCTCGCACGTCTCCAATGCCCGCGCCATCTGGCTATTCACGCTCGTCATCCCTATCGGGGGCACATGACACTCATCTCACACGCCCGCACGCTCGCACTCGCATCTCGCTCGCTCGACACGCACGATCACACCGCTAACCCCTCACTTGTAGTCCTCCCACCCCGTGTTGAGCGCGCCATACGCTTCGGACAGTACGTCCCATACACCCACGTCCTAAGCGCATTCCGGAACGCCGCGATCTACCACGGCGAGCCCACTACCCTCGCCTCCGCGCTGAACGCGTCGACCGCCCTGGACCGCTCTGGGGAGCGCGACATCGAATGCACCGAGTGGACGGCCGCGGCACGAGTAATGGTCATCGCGACCAGAGAACGCTGCAAGGACGGAGAAGCCCGGGCGGATGCGTTGCAGCGCCACCACAACAACGTCACACACCAGGGTGCGAAGCACGGGTGGCCCGTCGCCGTCCTGTACGACATCCAAATGCGCCTCATCGCTGCGTCAAACCCACGCATCGACTTCGGCATATTGGACCGCGAGCAGCTCACCATCGCGTTGCACACGACCTCGATGGAGCAGTCCGCGTTGACCAGCGCGCGCGCTGAACGCGCCCTCCAGCAGGCCTCGCGTGGCCGAGGAGAGAACAGTGGTTCTGGCTCCGGAAGCAAGAACCTGTACTCGGCCCCCACCAACACGCGCCGCTCTTCGTTCGTCGAGGATGCCTCCCGGAAGCGCGCGCGCACGGACGCTCCCGCGAATCGGTGTTTTCGTTGCGGCAACATCGGACACATGCCTAACGCCTGCACCGCTGCCAACACAGTCACTGGCCGTCGCGTCGCTGCACTCTCAACCCGCTCTAGCAGTGCCAACGCCCTCCAGGCCCCCGACGGCTCACCGTACTGCTTCGCCTTCGCCCGCGAGTCCTCATGCGCCCGTGGGACAGACTGTGCCAACTTCCACGGCTGTAGCATCTGCGGAGCCACCGCGCACGGTGCTGCCACCTGCGGCACACGCGGGCCCGGCGGGGCCTGATCCACGGGTGGTCGTCACCCCAATCGACCCAGACCGAGTGGAGCACGAACTGGAGCTCCTCGGCCTGGGCGCAAAATGGGCGCACGTCGTAGAAGGCCTGCGGGCAGGCTTCGACGTCGGGATCAAAACCCAATCCGTTACGCACACCACCATCCCTCCCAATCATAAATCTTCCTCCCTCAATCCCGCTTTCATCGACCGTTACATCGCAGAGGAGCAGGCCGCTGGCCGGTATTCACGAGCATTCGACCCCGACGAGCTTGAGGCCATCATTGGCCCCTTCCGCACGGCACCGCTCGGCCTAGTGCCCAAACCAAACTCGGACAAATTTCGTTTAATTCAAGATCTATCTTTCCCTCGCGATAACGTACGATGCTCACGCTTGTCCGTATGATACTCGCGCGTTAATCATACGCATTTTTCGTACTCAGGAGGCTGCCCCATCCGTCAATGCCGGCGTTGATGCAGATGACTTCCCGACAGAGTGGGGAACATTCGACAAGGTCGCGGCGCTCGTCCTCAGCCTCCCACCCGGGTGTCGCGCAGCAACCTTCGACATCTCTGCCGCATACCGCATCACTCCGGTGCGCCCTGACCAGCAACGCGCCTTGTGCGTGTTCTGGAGAGGCAAGGTGTACGTGGATAGAGCCTTGTGCTTCGGGCTCCGCTCGAGCGCGGGGGTCTTTGGGTCAATCGCGGACATGCTCGTCGACATCTACCATGCCCGCGGCTTCGGGCACGTCACGAAGTGGGTGGACGATTTCTTCGCCATCTGCTTCCCAGGACATGAGTTCACCGAGGACGCTTTCATAGCCACGACAGCCAACTTGGGCGTGCCATGGAGCCTTCTGAAGCTGCGCCGCTTTGCAGTGCAGCAACGCTTCACAGGGTACGACTGGCACCTGGAGCGCCGTACGGTGTCTCTCCCCGAGGAGAAGCGGGCCGCGGTTCTGGCACTGGTACTCGACTGGTCTCAGCCCAGCGCTTGCAAGAGCGTGCACGAGGCCCAGTCGTTCCAGGGCAAGCTCATACACGCGGCGTCCATCTTCCGCCTCCTGCGCCCGTTCACTCGCTCCGTGGGAGAATTCATCAAGGAGTTCGACTCACCGCGCGCTCGCCTTCACCCTCGGCGCCACTTCCGTGCGGACCTGCGCCACATTGCGGAGCTCTTGGGGCGCCTTCCCAACGAGCTTCCCTTGGAGAACCCCGAGGCCGTGGATATCGGCTGGTGGGGCGACGCAAGCTCGTCCTTCGGAATCGGGGTGGTCGTCGGATCACACTGGGCCATCTGGACCTACGCACCCGGCGTCACAGTTGGTCCAGGTCAGCGCTTCGACATCGGCTGGGCCGAGGCACTCGCGGTGGAGCTTGGCCTCATGATGGCCATCCACCATCAGATTCCAGCAGGCCTCCCTCCCAGTTGGCGCAGGTACCTCGCGCGCTCGGACAACACGGGAGTAGTGGCGGTAGTGAACTCCGGGCGAGCAAGATCCCCCAACACGAACACCATCCTGCGCCGCCTTTATTCACTCTTGGCAGAACACGGTCTGTCGGTCGAAGCGCGCTACGTGGCCACGGAGATCAACGTTGCCGACCCGCTCTCACGCGGCGACATCGCAGGCTTCCTGGAGAGGTGTCCCGGCGCCGCACCTACCAGCAGCGACTTCTCAACGCCACCGCACCTGCGCGACCTGATTGCCAGGTGGTGTTAGCCCTCTTCCACATTGAAGATCCCAAGGTCGACCAGTCGGACTCGCTCCCACCCACGGCACCGACCGAGGTCACGCTGGCGCCTGTGCCAAGCTCGTCCCAGCTCCGGCCTGCAGTTCCCGCCGCGCAGAGGATGCTGCAGTGGCATGGCACTCACGCGGCCCCTCTCAACACCCTGTCCCACATCTCCTTTCAGCACCTCGCACGGACAGCGTCCCGAACGACTTTGCGGGGTGCGACGGCTCCGGGTTACGGCTCTGGTATTAGCAAGTTCCACAAGTTCTGCGACCTGTGGGAGATCCCAGAACAGGAGCGACTCCCGGCTTCATTCATCCTCCTTCACTCCTTCTGTCTATGGGCAACGGCCGACCCAGACATAATCGCCGAGCTGGGAGAGCGCGCAGAGGCCCACCGGTACCCCCTGGAGCCCATCTCAGTGAGCACAACCCGCAAGTACCTCTCCGCCGTGCGCGCGTGGCACATCGCGCAGGGGTGGGAGGAGCCGCTCTCGCCTCGCGACCAGGCGCGGATAGAGTGGTCGCTGCGCGGCATTGAGAACCTTCAGGCAGACCGGCGCTCAAAACCCCCACGCCCACCGTTCACCCTCGCGATGCTCGAAACCCTGCACACATCGCTCCGGCTGGACAACCCATTCGAAGCTTGCGTGTGGGCGGCCTCAGCATGCGCCTTCTGGGGCCTCATGCGCTTCGGCGAGGCTACGGTGCGGTCCCGCACGGCGTATAACCCAGGCAGCAACCTCGCACGCAAGCACGCGTTCTTCGGCAAGGACCAACGGGGTGTTGAGTACGCGCGCCTGGACCTACCTCGCGCGAAAACGGCCAAAGCGGGTGAAGTGCAGCGCGTGTTCCTGGTGCGGCAACCGAGCGCGGTCTGCCCTCTGCTGGCGCTTCGAAACCTTGCCACCGTGGTGCCTGCAGCAGCCGACGATCCCCTCTTCAGCTGGCGAGACAAGTCTGGCATCCGCCCGCTGACGCGCCAAGCGGCCCTCGACTGCGTCAACAACAAGCTCCGGGAGCGAGGTTTTGAAGCGACCTTCGGCCACTCATTCCGGATCGGGGGCGCATCCCACTACCTTGCAGCAGGCACTCCCCCGGACGTCGTGCAGATGATGGGGCGATGGCGCTCACTGGCCTACCAGGTGTACGTGCGCTCCTTCGAGCTCGTCGTGTCAAAGCACCTGGGCGCAGTTGTCGAGGACCAACAGGACTCATAGGGGCAGCGCGCGAGCCCGCCGCAGGTGGTTGGGTCGGCGGCGCCGAGCGGCCGCAGTCAGAACCTGGGCGGTCTGGTCGGGGTGGCGGCTCGCTCCGCTCCGCGTCCGCGCCCGGCTCTGCCGGGCCCAGGCCCAACCCCCGCTGTCCGGCGTACGCCCACCGATCTCGTAGAGCCGTCACGCCCAGCGACGAGGCTGGATCACGATGGATACTTCGGCCGACGAGCGTCATCCGTCCGACAGCGACGCTGACTGCAGTGACTGGGTTCTTGTAACGCTTCCACCAAACTCGAGCCCCGACCATGCTCCCCCTCCCCCTTCCACCGACGGTGAATCCACCGACAGCGAAGCAGACGTGAGCATCGATGAGAACGACCCGTGGATAGTGGCTTTCAATGCAGTGCGTACCATTCTCACGTGCCCCGTCTCTGTCTTCTGAAGTTTGGTGCGTGTGTAGCGTGTCGCTCGCGCTCTCATCGAGTTCGCGCCACAACCCACTCTCCCCCAGTCACAGCTATATAATGGCAAGAATCGCCCCCCTCTCTGGCGATTCGGCTACGCCTTCGAGTTGGACGTCGCCTTCGAGTATGCCGTCCGACACAAACTCCGGATGCTACCCGGCATTGACAAGGCGGCCGAGGTTCCCACCTTTGAAGAAGTCCTTGCTCAAGAGGGCAGATCGGCGGGTGGTATGACGGCGACCGCCCTCGTAATCATGGCAAAGCACCTTAGCAAGAAGTGCGGCTTCTTCTTGGAAACTACGCGTACGCTCTCGGTTGGCCGGGAGCTCAAGTTCGTCGCCTACCTGTGGTCGAACTACGACTACAACGAGCGGATACGTTTGTGCCGTAATTACGATCTTGTCCTCCACATCCTCGACAAGGCGTTCAAGCCGTTTCCTGGAGCGGTAGCTGAGCCATTCTGGTACATCGATGTGGATAATGATTGTCTGGTACGTCGCAGCATCTGTCTGTGCAATGAAGCTTTCTCACATCGAGAACAGGGAATATAGCTCACTCGACCACTAGAAACAGTGCAGCGGGAGCACTTCGCCAGCGTTCTTTGTCCTCTTCTTCGCTCGAGTTACCACAAATTCGTCACAATGCAAATCAACTTTTCTTCTCCGCACCGCTTGCGGTACTCCACCCAACGCTTCATAGCGCACCTCAGTTTGGGGTCAAGGTCGACCCATTTGCTATAAGGTTTGCAGTACTTATTACACGCGATGTGGCTCGACATCGCCGGGGTTCGGGTCTTCTTCCAATAATTGACGACGGTCAACTTCCGTCTTCCGCTGGCGCCTCGTGTTGCCTGAGACGGATATCCTGTCTATGAGATCCTCTGGGGTGGCGAGGCGTCTCGAAGGTGTGGATGAGCAAATGGGGGGCCAGTACCCGTCCAGGATGTCGACGAGTTGGTCGTCGCAAATGCCAGGAACGCAGCGGCGGCTGTGAACGGGCCTGCCGTGGCGGATGTTGGGTGGGCTTCGAGGGGGAACCGGCGAAACAGACTGACGAGTCTCCGACAGATGACTGGGGCTTTGATGACGACCTCGATGCGGAGACGGAAGATGATCCCCTATCAGCACCTGCACTACCCCAGCCCGAGCCTGTGTCCCCACTCAAGGAAGAACCAGCCAAGGACCCGAGGCTGGAACGACGACACCGAAGAGATCCCCAACGAGTCGACCTGGGACGATACCTAGGACGAGAAGTACGTCACGCCGGCCAAGGCACCGAAGAAAGCGAAGGGGCTTACATAGAACATGTCGAAGGTGGGCATCCCATATTACACAGCCGTATTGACGACACCGGGCGAAACTTACCAATGCAAGTTGCTTGTTGAAGAGCGAGGTCATAAAATGCAGTCACGAGACCTTAGGATGTAGCTAGGCTCGTAAGTTGCTCGATCGTGAGTCATGGTGACTGTACGCAGTTGTACGCCCGCCTTTACCGCCGTGCGCCAATCAGAGCTGAGATCTGAGACATTGTCGAATGTAAAGGAGTTTCCCCCAGTGACAGAGAATCGGAATCAGTACTTACCTTTGTATGCATCGGTGCGGTATCCAGCTGCTGTGCCACCTGGCAGCGTGTTCACTTCCTTCCTCCCGATGAATCGGTCCACTTCGGTCGACGGCGTGCGTCATCCACCCAGCAGCGACACCGAGTCTGATGGCAGTGACTGGGTTCTTGTGACGCTTCCATCATTGAACTCAAGCTCCGACCAGCTGGCCTCCTCTCTCCCCTCCACCGACAGCGGATCCACCGACAGCGAATCCACCGACAGCGAAACGGATACTCCAAAGGAGCCTGACCCGTGGCTTGAGGCTTTTAATGCAGTGCGTACATATCATTCTCCCGCGCCCCCGTCTCTGTCTTCTGAGGCCAGGTGCGTGTATAGCGTGTCGCTCGTGCTCTGATCAAGTTCGCGCCGCAACCCACACTCCCCCAGTCACAGCTATATAATGGCAAGAATCGCCCCCCTCTCTGGCGGTTCGGCTACGCGTTCGATTTGGACGTCGCCTTCGAGTACGCCGTCCGACACAAACTCCGGATGCTACCCGGCATTGACAAGGCGGCCGAGGTTCCCACATTTGAAGAAGTCCTTGCTCAAGAGGGCAAAATGGCGAGTGGTATGACGATGACCGCCCTCGAAATCATGGCAGAAGACCTTTCCGATAAGTGCGACTTCCTCTTGGACACTTCGCGTACGCTCTCGATGGGCCCGGAGCTCAAGTTCGTCGCCTACCTGTGGTCGAACTACGACTACAACGTGCGGATAAAGCTCTGCCGTAATTACGATCTTGTCCTCCACATCCTCGACAAGGCGTTCAAGCCGTTTCCTGGAGCGGTAGCTGAGCCATTCTGGTACATCGACGTGGACAATGATTGTCTGGTACGTCGCAGCATCTGTCTGTGCGATGAATTTTTCTCACGTCGAGAACAGGAAATATAACTCACTTAGTAATCACTGGAGACAGTGCCGCATGAAGCATGAAGGTCATGGCGGTGGGGTTGGCGTTTGCCAAAGAATACAGCGTAAGCCCGTCTTCGAGGTGCTCTTCCACATGTACGAAAACTATAGACCCCGTGTCTACATCCGTAGACGCTTCATCACGCCGACTCCTGAATTGATAGGACAGTTACGCACGTCACACCGGCACACTGGGAAGAACGGCTGCGCCATGGTGAGTGTGACTGTCGTAAGCTTGGTCGAAGTCGAGCAACCCTTGCAGAAGACCTTGTGCGGGAGGACTTCGCTGGCGTCACGGTTCTGGTCACTATGCAAATTTTCGACTTGTCCTTTCCGCACCGCTTGCGGTACTTCACCCAATGCTTCATGATGTTTGGGATCAAGGTCGACCCATTTGCTACAAGCTTTGCAGTACACGCGATGTGGCTCGACGTCACCGAAGTTGAGGTGTTTTGAAAGTGTGGGTGAGTAAAGGGGAGGCCAGTACCCATTCATGACGCCGACGAGCCGCTCGTCACGAATGGGAACGCAACAGCTGCGAACGGCCATGCCGAGGTGGGGCTGCGGCGGATAATGCGTGGGGCTTCGAGAGAAACAAGCGAAGAAGACTACATAACGAGTCTCAGATGGATTACTAGGGCTTCGATGACGACCTCGACGCGGAGACGGAAGATCCTGCCCTCCCCCAGCAGCATCGTCACTGCCGTCTCAGCCCGACCCTGTGTCCTCACCAGCAGCACCCGCGGAAGAACCAGCAGACCCGGGCGATGCGTGGGGCTGGAATGGCGTCACTGAAGAAATTCCCGATGAGTCGACTGCGGTCGAGGACGACTGAGCGCATGTTTTTGGGTGGATACGGCCTAGAGACCGAGACGCGCTCAGCGGGGAAGGGGTGGAAAGACAAATACAGGCATACCTTCCATTGGGGCGCGATCCTCCGTATCCGCCGCAAGACCTCGTTGACTGCGCTCTCGCACTCGTCGTACCGGTCTTGAAGATGCGTGTCGATAAAACCCCGCGCCTCCTCCAACGTCTCCTCAATCACCTTCTCCTCGCGGCTCTGAGACGCACTTCAGCCCCCTCCACTTCAAACGCAACAAGCGATGGAAAATAACACTCACCACCGCATCCTCATATCAACTCTCCGACAACACCCTCAGCCGCTCCACACCGTCCTCGAGCTTCCCTCGCGCCGCGACCCGCGTTCCCGCAAGCGTATTGACCACCCGCCGGACCTCCTGGCCCACGAACATGCAGTCGTTCGAGAACCGCATCGGCTCCTTCGCGGCCTGCTTGAGCTGCACCGCGTTCGTAACCGGGACGAGCGCACGGAAGAGCTCGAGCGCCATTGGCGTCGCCTGCAGGACGATGTCGCCCGGGGGGCGGAGGACGTGCTAAGGGTGCCGGACGTGGCGAGCCCGGCGCCCTCGTCATCGGCGAGGCGGAGTAGTGCCTTGGGGCGTGGTGCGGGTGTGCTGGCTGGGATGGGGGAGGAAAATATGAGCTTGATGGAGCAGAGGCTGTCTCTGCGCGAACGGACATCGTTGGAAGCGTCGAGGCGACTGGTAATGTTGGTAGACTCTTGTTCCTGAACCGCTTCTCCAGCCCTTTCGCCTGCTTCGGTACCTTGGCCGGCGTGACGGGCTTCTTGCCCCACGTATCGTCCCAAGATCAGAGCTCGGAGTCATGCAGGGGGACACAGGGATGGCCCACCCAGACTGGAGGTAGGACTGGATGAGATCATTTTGAACGCCGTACTGATGAGCAATGCGAAAAGTGTGCTCTCGGGCCAGAACTTCAAGGCGGCCAGATTCATAGCGCCGTCGTTATTTACTTGAGCGATGACTTCACGGCCGTCGTTAGTACGAGCTGCATGGAACGCATAAGTCGGCCGCTCCTGTTCATGGTGGAGAGGCTCACCTTGATCATGTTATGTTGAATATATAGAATGAGACGATAGAGAAGAGAGCAGAGTGCCGGTACTAGCAAGACAAATTTGAGCGTTCCAAGAGCCAGCGGAGTGTGGTGGATGAGAGAGACAGGAGGGATATCTGTGGCACTCCCAGCCCCGGCCCCTTCCGATCACATCATCTCTCTGTCGACGCAAGGGTCCACGTGACCGAGAAGACGGGTCCTCCAAGTCCTCAGCCTACCTGCGCACCCATCGGACATCTCTAGTCCTTGCATCTCCAGAGGCAGTCAATCATTCTCTATGCCTTACTTCTGCCTATCAGCCTCACTCTAGAAGCGCTAATCGTCCTTACCGACTTCACCTGCGTTCTCGCGCTCGATCGCGAAGTCTTTTAATCTCCACGCCACCCACAATGTGCTCATGTATGGCGTGAGGCCTGCAAACCTCCCCTAGGTGCGCCCCGCAACCCCCTCTTCCGGACCACGGCGCTGACCCCGAGTCGTTGCTGTAGGTACGACCACTTCACTTCCGCGGACATTGGTAGGACCAGTTCTGCTTGGATGAGCGGCGCAGCCTTGGGCGCGTCTGCGAACAAGTCTGACGCACAAGTTATTGGTGCCGGTGAGTACTTGTCGGTCAAGCCTTGCTGCTTTTCCCGCTCCAAGAGCCCGTTCTCATGAGCATACTCATTATTTAGCAGTGCGCCTGGTCCTTGCGTCTACGAACGCGTTCCTCTGTCAAGTTCTGCGTCGTGCTCTTCGTTGACGATTCGCACGGCCAAAAATTAGTCATGTTTGCGCTGCTGTCATGCACATAGTTCTGGCACCTGCCGTTCTGGATGGGACGCACTCTGCCGAGCATGTTCCTGCTCCTTCCAGGTGAGTTCTCGAAGTTTTCTTGCGTCTGTCTTCTCGTATCAACGCGCACACCACCAACGTCGCACTGCACCTCATGCTGGAAAGAGTCCCAAATGCTGTGCGACCGTCTTTAGGAGGCGTGCTCCGCGCAATCACACTCTTTACTTTCGCTACTGCTGTCGTGTTCCGTTCGGAATTGCTCTATTGTTCGCTCATGGTAACCTGTAGAGTCGGCCGACGACAAGGCACCCCCTTTGGCGGCCTCTGTTTCCTAGCCGTCATGGGCATGTTCCCCGTGGATTGCGTTGCGACTTCTTTCCTGGTGCGCTCGTCGTTCGTGAACTATCGGGAAGCCGCGCTGTTTGCATTCAGCACATTCTCCGGATACAAGGACTACCGTGCGTTTTTTCCCGTTCCCGTTCCCCGACCCAGCTCACTTGCGAGGCGCAGGGCATGTACACATCTCGTATATCGCTGTGCAGACCGGTGCATCCCTCTTTCTTCAGAGTCGCGCCCTGCCCCAGCTGCCCCTCCCGTTGGTGCACAATTCCGTCTATGCGCACAAGCACTGGACATACGGCAAGACCATCACAAGTTCACATTGGGCATAATACATAAATATTCGATTCATACGAGCTTTCGTGTCACCCAACACCGATTGGTCCCCGCTGTCGGTACCTGACCGCCAATTTCTCCTCCGATCCGAACCCTTGGTGTGGTCGCAGCACAAGGCATCACATTGGCACATGGCGACGCGTTCCAGCCCCACGCTGCTGCCCCCTTCCTCACCTCCACGTAGTGGCGGTGTCCGTCTCCGTCATCCGTACCCTCGTCCTCGCTGTCCCAACTCCGCATCCCGGTTGTCGTCCTTTCACCCTTCTAATTTAATCGGTGGGTCGCGGCCCCGAACAAAACCACTGCGATGTGCTTCATGCTTCAGCGTACTTCCCGCTGGTGCAGTCTCCGCAGTCTCCGAATCCGATGGGATGTAGTCGTTGGTCGCTCCTGTATCGGTGGAAGAGTTGCTCGCTTGGGAAAGCGAGGCTGTCTCCCACGTGCTACTTGCCTCGTCCTCCGTGTCAGCCCCTCCGGTCTCTCGTACTCGTTCTACGAATCCTGCGGCTAACAATCTCTCCCTCAGCCTCTCGGCAGGTTCTTCTTGGATATAGTCCTGGATCAGGCTGCGAAAGTTTAGTAGCTGGTATGGGCAAACATATGTCAGCGCTGGATAATCGTCAAGAGGCGTCTGTAGAGAGGCACGTACGTCGTCCGGGTTGCCGGAGGGAGGGTTAGCTGTGACAAACCCACCCGGTGGAGCGAAGAGGGTGCAAGTACGTCCAAGTGATTTGAAGTGCACAACGAGTGGGCGCTCCAAGGCTTGAAGGAATGCGGGTGAGAGGCCAACCGCCTGGTAGCGAGCTGACAACATCTTCTTCTTCGTACTGTGCCATCGGGATTCTTTAGGGTCCAAAGCGACAAACACGGGCTCGTTGGCGTATAGCACTTCAGGCAGCGCTCGGTTACGGAAAATCGAAATTTGCTCTGCGAACTGGGCCAGCACTCCCTCTGCCAGGGTCGGGACGTTGGGAGGAATTGGGATGTCCTTCAAACCCTTCGTGAACGTGTCCTCGTTCAGATCTTTGGGGCGCTTCCAGAGGAGTTGCGCGAACCGACTGCCGACGATCAAGAAGGAATAGAGTTGATTGAGTCCAGGGTTGTGGAGGAATTCGATCATGGCTTGATTGTAGACCTGCTCGAAGGAAGATTTCATCACCCCCTCCGCGATGTCGTACACCTCCTCCTCGGAAAGCCAATCGGAGACTTGGTAGAGGCCTTTCAGTTCCCAGATGTCGATGATCTGACGCGAGAGGGGGAAATGGCGTTTGTGCTTTGAGGGAAGTCCATCGGTATTCACAGCCAGACCGAGGACGCGAGCGAAATCCCCAATGAGCTTGCCGGATCGTCTGGCTTGTTCGGCAGCCTCAGCAGTAACTGCGCCGGCCTCCAACAAGTCGGGGTCGGGATCCTCAGTCTCGGCAAGGTTGAAACCCAATAAGGGCTGAGGGGCCAAGAAAGCACCGACATATGGTCCGGTCTTATCTTTCGGTAGAAGTTCGACGGTCATCGACTGGATCGTGGCGATGTGGTTGTAGAGCGCGTATAGGTAGGCCTCAAAACGCTGGTGTCTTACAGCGTCTTGGAGAAGAAGGGAAGTCATCTGATTGAATCTGGCCAGGGTGTAGGTTAGAGTTGTTGGCTCTGCTGGAGTCTCTGAAGCTTGAGCCTGCTTCGCAACAGAGATTTAGCGAACAACTCCTACGATTTGAACGGAAGCAGACTAAAGATGATGGACTTACAGACCCAGTCTCTTGCTGCTGTCGTGAACGCAAAGACCGCGATTCCATATTGTCGGTGGGAGCAAGTATTTGTGGGCGACAAGTTTCAGAGCGGGATCTGCACGTACGTATATATACCCATTGTGGCGGCGGCTGGCCATGTCGAACGTTTACTCATTTGAGCACAACACGGTCCACTTGGCGGAGAGGAATCGGATATATGTCGGAGTTCGGACGAGTCTCACATGAAAATTTCCCCGTTAGAGAACAATGACATAACAATAGGCGGGGAAATTCTGGCGGAGAAATTTCAAGATCCCGAGTACAAGCCTTCCCAGTACATGAACATTTCATTTGAGAATAAAGACAGAACAATCGGCGGTGAGAGAACAAATGACCTTCGGGGTTCGCGTAGGATTCGTATTACCAATACCTTGTCCAAGCCCAAAACCGACACAATTGGCTGTGAGGGAAAGGTCATAGTCCAGGCCCTAGCACGGATCGACGAGCGAAGATGGAGGTCCATGGGCGCATTGGGTCAAGATTCCCACGCCACATCGAGCCCGTGGTTTGATTATATACATGTCGTCCCGACCGTCCTATTCTCCACATCTTCCTTGAGCTTCGCTACCCCTCCCGATGAATCACCCCACTTCGCTCGACAAGCGTCGTTCACCCAACAGCGACACCGAGTCTGATGACCGTGACTTCACTGCTAGGCTTCCATCAAACTCAAGCTCCAACCATGCTCCCCCTCCCCTTCCACCGACGGCGAATCCACCGACAGCGAATCCACCGACAGCGAATCCACCGACAACGAAGGAGACGTGAGCGTCGAGGAGCCCGACCCATGGCTTGAGGCTTTCAATGCTGTGCGTATCATTCTCCCTGCCCCCGTCTCTGTCTTCTGAAGTCTGGTGCGTGTGTAGCGTGTCGCTCGTGCTATCAAGAAGTACGCGCCGCAACCCGCTCTCCCCCAGTCACAGCTGTATAATGGCAGCAATCGCCCTCCTCTCTGGCGGTTCGGCTACGCCTTTGAGTTGGACGTTGCCTTCGAGTACGCTGTCCGACACAAACTCAAGATGCTACCCGGCGATAAGAAGGCGGCCGAGGTTCCCACCTTTGAGGAAGTCCTTGCTAAAAGGGGTAAATTGGCGAGGGGTATCACGATGATGGCCTTCACACTCATGGCAAAGGACCTTAGCAAGAAGTGCGGCTTCTTGTTGGACACTACGCGTACGCTCTCGATTGGCCCGGGGCACAAGTTCGTCCTTTACTTGTGGTCGAACTACGACTACGACGTGCGGATAAAGCTCTGCCGTAACTACGATCTCGTCCTCCACATCCTCGACGAGGCGTTCAAGCCGTTTCCTGGAGCGATAGCTGAGCCATTCTGGTACATCGACGTGGACAATGATTGTCTGGTACGTCCCAGCATCTTCCTTTGCGACGAATGTTCCTGACGTTGAAAACAGGGAATATAGCTCCCGTAAGCACTGGAGACCGTGCCGCTGGCCATCGGAAGAGCGTCGAATCAATCTCATGGAGGAAGGTTCGGCGTTTGATAAAGAAAACAACACGAGCCCGTCTTCGAGATGCTGTTCCACATGTGCGAAAACTTGAGGCTTCGTGGCCAGATACGTAGACGCATTTGTAGCACACTGTTCCTTCACAGGCTAAGTCGCAATGTATATTCATGGTGAATACCAGCAGGGATAACTCTTAGCCATTCGCGCACGTCGCATTCGTACCGCCCGCAGACGCTTTGTGACCTGTTTCATCGCCCCGACTCCTGAATGTGGCCCATACAGGGTATCAACGTATATTGTCAGAAAACAAGGCCGGGAGTACAGGCGGACGATACACAGTCGTTGTACCAAAGACCTAACTGTTTCAGGAGAGAATAGAAGAGGTGTAATTACAATCCAAAGGGTGGTAGATTATCGACAGATATAGCACAAGACATAAGGAGGGTGGGCGAGGGATTACAGGGCTACGGGCAGAGAGCGTGTTGGGATTATGATATAAGAGAACGGTGTGCGAAGTACGATCGTGTACGCAGCGAGGGGCTGCAGTTGTTGTGTCTAACCAGACAACTCTCGGCGGAAATCACGGATAAAGTTCTTGAACGGCTGGGTGATCCAGCTCAAGAATCCGGGGTTTTCGCTCGTAGTGGGCTCGTAGGACTCCCCGCGCTGGCGGACGGTGCGGTCGGGGGTCTCTTCCGTGTCTTCCTCTCGTGACCGCTTCTTGCTCTTCTGCGGGGTCGACTGGTGCTCCGTCCCCACCACAGTCTCCTCCGTGGAGGCGACGGAAGGGGGCGATCGCAAAGGAAGTTTGCGACTGCGAACCATCAGTACTGAAACAACGAGCAGAGTAGACTGGGTCAACGTACTCGCACGTGGTCTTGTGCTGTTCCCAATTCGTCAAATCGTATTCACGGTCACTCTCGGATTTGACGACGACGCTGCAGTGACCGCAAGTGATGGAATATTCGGCGAACTCCTTGACTTGCGAGTCGTTGACCAAACGGAGCTTGCGTTGGGCAGTGGCAACCCGAGTGCTTGGGCTACTCATATGCTGTCAGAAGATCTCCCCAGGTAGGATAGTACAATTACGCACGTCACGCCGTTACATTTTGACGAATGGCTGCGCCATGGTGAGAGGGAGTAGCGTGTGTTTGTCGCAAGTTTGATCCAAGTCGAGCAACCCTTGCAGAAGACCTTGTTTGGGAGCACTTCGCCGGCGTTGGGACTGGCCTCGATGATCGCCTTACGATCTTCCTCCTTCATGACGCGCTTGTTCAGCCCAGGCGTGCCCGTGATCGAAGGGGCCACCGAAGCGTTCTCGTCTTTGTCGTCTTCTTCGCTCGAGCTACCCCGAATTGGTCGCAACGCAGAAGACGCAGCACAAAGACGCACCTTTCCGACTCCTCCTTTCCGCATCGCTTGCGATGCGCCACCCAACGCTTCATTATGTACCTCAGTTTGGGGTTGAGGTCGACCCATTTGCTACAAGCTTTGCAGTACATGCGATGTGGCTCGACTTCGCCGGAGTTCGGGTCTTCCTCCAGGAATTGACGACGGTCTGCCTCCGTCTTCCGCTGGCGCCTCGTATCGCCTGAGACAGATACCTCGTCTACAAGATCCTCTGAGGTGTCGAGGCGTCTTGCGGGTGTGGATGAGTCGATGGTATACTGACAGATCAAAAAGAACTCACTGGATGGAAGAGCGAGGCTTGACCACGGAACCAGCTTTTGACACCGGCTTCGACACTTGCTCTTCACCGACTAGGGTGTCTTCGCGAGCAAGCGACGCGACGGATCCGGTGCGGGAATGCGGGGCTCGCTTCTTCGTGCTTGCCGGCTTCTTTGCAGATCCTATCTGACTCGCAGGGGTGGCTTTGGGCGACGGTCCGGGGAGGCTATGATACAGGTTCGTCGACGCAAGGTAGGCAGGCAGAGCAAGTGACTCACTAGACATCGACTTTCTTCGGCGTTCTGGACGACATCTGACGGCTTTGGTGAGATTGCGTAGGGACGGGACAGTGGGTGGGGGGCGGGGGAGATGGAGGAAATATGAGCGTGGGACAGATCTTAAACATGCCTCGTCTTAACTGCGACCGCAAGCTGCCCCGGCGTACATCGGCGACACCTCCTTCGCTCCCGCCTCCAACCACAGTCCGACACGGGGGAAACTCACCTTCTCTGCGCGAGAGGATTTGGTCGGCGAAGGCTCGGATTCGGATTCGCTCTCGGAGGGCCTGAGACGGGACAAGTCAGGGGTTGACAACGGGGGGTCGTCGCGTGGGCAGACGCACCCGGTGTCCTTGTAAGTGGCGTCGCGCACTGTCCGCTTCTTCTGCGCGCGTTCGACGCGGTCAGTGGTCACCAGACAAGACGCGGGGACGCGCTGGTGAATTGGCTACACACCTTGGCCCGGCCGCTGTAGGTAACTTTACTAGGGGCCCTGAGCGCGCAAAGTAAGTACCACACCACCCGACGGGATACAGCAGGCGCATTCTGACCTAGTGGGGGACGAAGATAACGCGTCTGCCATGAGAAGAGATGGGAGTGGCCGAGCAAGAGGCTCGTTGCGGTGATCCTTGGTTGATCTCGCGGCAAATCTTTATTAAAGGCCCGGTAAATTATATACCTATATTTACCCGCCCAATCATTCCAGAAATTCGTGGGGTCAGAGGGCGCGCCTTGATCCCGCCAACTCTCATCTGTTCTGCTCTTCGTTGCACCCTTTGGGCAATTGCCTGGTATTGACTGCTGTGAACATGGGAACGACGGAGGTGGCAGCACCGGAAGACTTTCTCTCTGACTCCCTCGAATCCCTCTACGACCATGTCCCCGTTGCCCATTCCACCGCAGGGAGCCTGTTCACGTACCAGCCATTCACCGGAGGGCCGGTCATATCCCTCATGACCCCCGATACACAAGCAGCGAACTGGGCTCTTCACGCCTCCTCGATATGGTCTTCTTCCCTCTATGTGGCTGAGCACCTCGACGACCTCCACCTACACAAGTTCGCATCGATAACTCAGCAGGAAAGTCGGCCTTTACGAGTCCTCGAGCTCGGCGCGGGCGCAGGTCTACCGAGCATCCTTCTTGCCAAAACCTTCCACAACGTCTTCGTGACCTGTAGCGACTACCCGGACCCGGACCTCATCGGGACACTGGCGGAGAACGCCAAACGGAACGAAGCCGTCGACCGCTGTCGCGTCGTCCCGTTCGCCTGGGGATCCGATCCTTCTCCTCTTCTCCGCTCCCAGGCTGCACACACCGATCCCGTCCCTGGGTTTGACGTCGTTCTCGCCGCAGACACGCTGTGGAACTCGGACACGCACCGTCTCTTTGTAAAGTCGCTGCAAATCACGCTGAAGCGGGCACCTCATGCACGCATACACTTGGTCGCAGGCTTGCATACGGGGCGGTATGTGCTCGAGTCGTTCCTGAAGCTCATGCCCGAGGCCGGGTTCGTTGCAGAGCAGCTGGAAGAGAGGCGAGTGGGCGGGACGGAGGAGCGAGCGTGGAGCGTGGAAAGGGCGGATGGCGAGGATGAGCAAGAGAGGCGAAGATGGGTTATTTGGATGGTGTTCAAGTGGGCAGACTGTTAGTGGCTCTCGGTATGTGCGGTCAGTATGCTTTCATATCAATCTCAACCTGCTTGCCCAGCTTCCCTCTGCCATCCGCGCATTTTTACTCCGAACAAGGCACAATTGAATGCTACTCCATGGACTCGTCTACACACACCAACGGACGCCATTTTAACCAACTTCTCACACGTCTTTTCTCCACCGTTTCCGCGAAATCCTCCACCTCCACCCACTGCAATCCACGCTGCAAGTACTCGGCCGACCCAGGAGAACACGTGAAGTACGTAGATGAAGTCACCGACGTTTCGGTCGACGACCGCAGCGACCCGTCATGCACGCGAAGGCTCGGCGAGGTCCACTCAAACCATGGGTGTGGTGCATCTCCATCGGCGCTGTATGGTCTACCGTACGAGATCTCGACGTCCTATACGGCCGGCTTCAGCAAACTAGCATTAGGTCGACGCGAAGCAAGAGTCACCTCGTCAGTGACAAGCACTTCCAGCCCATGGGTGGGTCTTTCTGGCGACGTCGGTATCCCCGCTTCCAGGGCTTTCCAATCCCTGTGGACTATGGTCAGTTTCCGGCTGTACGGGCGACGCGATATCACTTCGACTCACACTCCACGAAACCACGGATGCTTCTTCAACTTGCGAATGCTCGGCCGCTTCGTCGGGTTTTTCTCCAGCATCTTCGTCAGTAGATCTCGAGCCTTCGGGTCAACATCGTCGAGGCCAAATGTCGCAGGCCAACAATCCGTCCTATCGATTATCTCTGCCAACCCCTGGGTCTTCGGGAGCAATCCGAAAGGCAGCTGTCCAAGTCCACGAGTCAGCGACCAACTCTCCGGATTCACGAGGACACCCACCTTCCCCGTCAGCATGCAATACAAGACCACCCCCGCCCCCCACACGTCCACCGCATACGAGTAGCACCCCGAGTAGACCTCCGGCGCGATGTACCCCGGGGTCCCGACCAACGCGTGCGAAACCTCCCTCCCGCCTCCCTCCTCTGCCTCCCCGCCCATCCGCCGCCCGTCCCACGCAGCGACGCCGCTCCACGCCGCGCCCGTTTCTTGCGCCGCGAAGTCCCGCGCGATCCCAAAGTCCGCGAGCACGAGCCGGCCGTCGTCCGCGAGCATGACGTTGTCCGGCTTCACGTCCCGGTGGACGACGCGCCGCGCGTGCAGCCGCTCGAGCGCGACGAGCAGCTCCGCGCACCACGCCCGCGCCCGCGCCGCGGGTGCGGTCCCGTGCCGCTTGAGCCACTGCATCAGGTCCCCGCGCGGGTAGTAGTCCTGCTCGGCCCAACCACCGGACGGTCAGCGGCGCCCCTAGGACGGAAAGACGGCAAAATGGCGCGCACCGTGAGCAGGTAGAAGTTGTCCGTGTCCTCGAAGCTGCCCCGCAGCGGCGCGAAGGTGTGGTCCCCACCGCGGGCCCCGGGAGCCCCCGAGCCTTGCGTGGCGAACGCGCGCCCGAGGGCTTGCTCGCAGAAGATCGCGGGGTAGTCGCGCAGCGGGAGCCCATTCTTCGCGATGACCTTCATCGCGAGGCGCTTTTCGGAGACGGTGTCCTGGACAAGGTACACGGTTCCGTGCCCCCCGCGGCCGAGCATGCGCAGGGGGAGGAAGTCGGCGGTGGTCAAGGACCGGGGAGGCTTCGGGGTGCGAGCGGGGGTGCTGGTAGGCGGCGAGGCGAAGGGCGGGGGCGAGAAGGGCGGCGACGAGGGCGAGAGCGAGAAGTTGGTGATGGACCGCGGTAGGTGGTGGAGGGTGTGGGTGAGGGGGGCAGACAGGGCGGAGAACGACGAGAGGCATCGGCGGAGGGGAGACTTGAGTGGGCTTGGCTTATAAGACAACTCGTCTTCGGGAATGCTGATGAAATCGTGGTCGAAAAGCGTCTGTAGGCATGTCAAGGTGGTGTGGAGGACGACTATAGCAGACGTACGTCTTCGGTGCCGTCAAAACCCATGGTGCTCGCTTAGTGTGTCCGATGGGCTAAGAGCGAGAGCACGGCGAGGAGACGAGGCTCTGGTACGAACCATGCCTGCTGAAGGTCACCGACACTGCGGGGTGATATGGCATACCAGGGCTGACGGGCTGACTCCAGCGAGGAACAGGTCAGCCTCGTTCCAGAACGTGTTGGGCCCAGACCGACAGATGCGAGGAGAGACAGATATCGGTCCCGATTCGAATTCGTGCACTCTCGTCTTTGGATAAGTTTTTGTGAACCACGGCGTTGCGAAAGCGACGCTCAAACTTGAACGAAGTGAACGCAGAGACTTGGAAATAAGGATACATGTATTAGATTACATCCGACGTGCAGTTGCGTGGAGGTACAGATCTAGCAGTCCGAGGAACCATACCGATCGGCATAAAGCAAGTGAGGACAAGTGGTGTCGCTTGACGACTACTTGGACGACATGACGTAGCCCGACGTATCCAGGACTTGCTTGCCGCATATTGCACACACACCTCTCTTATACGCGCAGCCTAGAGACCGTTGTTGATCGCAGAAGGATTATGTAGGGCCACAACGAGACTCACCATGACAGTATTTCGCCTTGTTCTGCGTCACCGTCGACTTGCAGTCCTTGCATTTACCTTGGTAAGGCTGACAAGGGAGTTGCAGTCAGCCGCACCTTTCCTCCCGCAATGCATGGCGAACGCACCTGGAACCTGTTCCTAGAGCTCCCTGGCCTACTCAACAACTTGTTCTCCCCAACTTTCCGCGAGCCTTCCTTGATCGACTGTGAGGTCGACTGGAACGGGTCAGGTGCAGCAAGTTTGGATGTTTTCTGAAGTTGGGGAGGCCGTAAGCACGAAGCGACAAGCTAGTCAGGGCTCAATACGCACAGTCTCGCATTTCTTGCAGACCATTATGTGTCGTGGGTCAGAACTGGGGCGAGGAAAGGAGAGAGGAGATGAGGGTACCTGCTGGAGCGGTCTGCGCCAGGCCACAGCTGTATTGCCGCACAGTTACGTAACACTATTCCAAAACGACTTGATAACCGGCGCCTAGAACTTGACTTCAAACCACTGTCTCCACGTACGAGACCAAACCCGCGAATAGCACTTTCGAGCTTTAGCAGCTCAGAATGTTCCGAGGAGGCCGGCTTGGGGCTGAGAATCCGGTTCGAAACCCAACCACCTGCCGTCTGGGCTCTAGAGGCTGACCGTGTTGAGTTCTTCTGTAAGCTCCTCCTCTCATGGCGCATCTGGCTTACCTGTTCGCCTTCATTCCCTACGTGCCTGCAGGACACGCTACTACAGTTGCACTCGGAAGTTATTGCTCCACGACGAACAACCGCATAGACCCTAGCAGCGGCCACTTCTCTGGGGAGTGCGGCGACACCCGTTTCTGTTCTGGCCCAACCAACGGAACGTGTCAGCCACGACTTTGCCGACGCGACGAGTTTCCCTTCGGCTTCGATCGTGGGACGGTTCTCCCTCCTCTCTGCAAGAACGGGACGTTCTGCCCAGACGAAGGAAGCGGCTGCAAGCCACTCCTCTCGGTTGGCGAGACGTGCCAGTACGACCGCGACGACCAGTGTGCACCGCCGACCCCGGCGAAGTCCCACGTCCTCGCAGGCTTGCGAAATGCCGAGGAGGCCGTTTGTCTCAAGGCTAAGTGCATGTACGCGAGTCGTATGTTGGGTCTTGTGGGATATCGAACTGACACGGTGACCTTCACAGGCACGCAAACGGGACGCTCGGGCACCCTTGCGTCCTCGATACCGCGATGTACTCGGACGGCGAGTTCACGAACACGATCTTGCGCCACAACTGCCAGGCGCCGATGTTCTACTGCCACTCGACCGAAGGCGTATGCGTCCCTACGCAGAAGCTGGGATTATCATGCACTTCCGACCAGGAATGCCGTTCTGTATGAATTATATTGCTGCCCGCAGTCGGATCATCCTGACTTCCGCCTGTAGTTTCATTGCGGCGCAGCTGGTGCATGCTTGGACCCTGCCGGTACACCCGTTAACGTGGAGGTTTGGCAGCTAGTCATCACTGGACTGGCCATTCTCGCAGGCAAGAGTCTTCCGTTGCTGCTTGAGCCCTTTATGCTCACCATCATCACGGCACAGTGATGGTCTTCGTCATCGTATCGCTGGTGATAGTCCATAGGCGTCTTCGTAAGAAGAGATACGACGAAATTCGGGAATACTACGAGGAGCAAACCAGGTGAGTGATATTGAATTGCGTAGCTATTTTGTCTCATGCTTGCATACCAGTCTCAGACAATGCCTCACGAAGCTGCATGCTGCGGCGTTGGACAACTACGAGAAGCAACGGAGTCGGTATGACTGAAGGAGTTCAATATCTACTTCGTCCCCTTCGACCCTTTGTTGCACTTTTGTGCTGCTTTAAGACCGTTCATTTGACGTCTGCCAACAAACATGATATATCATCGATGCTTTGACAATGTTTCCGCCCACCAGTGACTGTCACACGTGTAACAGACGGACGATAGGATAACTGCATATTCCACTTGTACAGTACATAAGAGCCCGCGGTTCGCCGTCGGAATCATAGAAGTCGCCAGATGCCGGCACGCAACGCAAACCGGCTTCTCAGCACTTCAGCGTTGGGTGGTAAGTACTGTACACCGGTCGCCGGGTCGGAGTGTCGTTGGTTTATTATCAAGTCCAGCCTTTCTATTGTGCAGCGGTTCCTGATGCATTGATGGCAGTGGCAACGCGGTCCTGCAGAACGACGCTCCTCGCGCTGAGTGCTAGCGTGCGGCTTCCGGCGCGTTGGTCGATTCTGTGACCCGTCATGACCCTCTTCGCGGTGGCCGTCTTCCGGTTCGACAGCACGCCAGACGGAAGCAGGGTGGTATTATACACATGCAATATACTCATACACTCAGTGCCGTCGTCAAGACACCAAGAGAGAGAGAGAGAGAGAGAGAGAGAGAGAGCGTTAGAGTCTCCCGGTTCGTAGCAGCCGTCGTGCCCTCTGTTCACGAAGCCGCACCCCCCGGCCGCTCGCCGCCCGCCTAGAGCGTGTAGCGGTACCCGCTCCACTCGTCGCCCTTGTCGCGTTTCGCGTCCGCGACGGACGCGTACGACCCGTTGCGCGCCGCGAGCTCCACCTCGCGGTCGTCGTTGAGGCCGCGCACGTGCTCGTCGCGCTCGCCGCGGTCGCGCCGCGGGTTCTCCCGCGCGAGCGCGATACGGTAGACGAGCGCCATGAGGAGGCCGATCGCGATGTACATGAGCACGATGCCGTGCCCGAGCGTGTACCAGGGCGCGTCGCGTGCGCGGTACTGCCGGGCGTTAGCTGGGGTCCGCGTGCAGAGGGGAGGGGAGGAGAGAGAAAGACGCACGACGTTGGACGAGACAGCGCCGTTGATGTTGCCCCAGGAAATGACCATGGCGAGCGAGACCGAGCGCTTGTACGAGCCCTCGACGTTGTTCGACACCCAGGCGATGATGTTCGGGATGTTCGGGTAGATGCCGATCGCGGCGAGGTAGACGGCGACGTACGAGAGCGCCGCGTTCCGCGACGCGATCAGGATGATGTACCCCGCGAGCCCGACGCACATCGAGCCCCTATGCGCGCGCGAGAGAGAGCATATAAGCGGCGGGTGACATATAGTGAGGGAGCACGCACATGGTCCAGTACCCGCGGTTCCCGTACCGGTCGGTGATGTACCCGACCGCGCAGGTCGCGATGCACGCGACGGCGTACACCGGCACGGAGAGCAGGTTCGCGGGGGTGGCGGTATAGCCTGCCCCGACACACACCGAGTCAGCGTTCGCTCGCTCGCACACACGAACACAGACGACGACGCACCGAGTTCCTTGATGATGCTGGGCAGGAAGAGCGAGAACGCGTAGAGCGGGCCGTCCGCGCCCATGTACAGGAACATCCCGACCCACGTCTTCCAGTCGACCAGGCTCTTCCAGATGTAGCGCCAGCGGAGCTCCTCGCCCGCGGCGCTGTGCTGGCTGTCCGCCTGGAGGCGGCGGATGACGAAGGTGCGCTCCTGCTCGGTGAGGAACTTGGCGGTGTCGGGGAAGTCCTGGATGATCCAGAAGGAGGCGGCGCCGGCGACGACGGTGATGAGGCCCTCGAGGATGAAGATCCACGCCCAGGCGGGCTTGCCGCCGACGCCGTCCATGTTCGAGATCGCGGCCTGGCGGGCGGGTGAGCGGCGCGGTCTCGGGAGAGGGAGACGGAGGGACGGACCGCGAGAAGGCCACCGAACGCGCCGGAGACGGTGGCGGCAGAGAAGAAGACGGCAGCGCGGATGCCGAACTCGGAGCGCTTGTACCAGCTGCGGTGTGGGAGTGCGAGCTGAGCGGCGGACGGAAGACGGGAGCGGAAAACCGACCAGGAGAGGTAGTAGTTGACGCCCGGGAAGAGGCCGGCTTCGAACATGCCGAGCAGCCATCGCATGCCTGCATTTTTGGGGAAGACGGTCGGTGCTAATCTAAGCCGCGGGTCGCGCGCAGGAGGGAGTGGGAGGATGCGCACCCAGGAGACCACCGTAGTTGTGTACCAAGCCCTGGACGGTCTGGAGAGTGCGGAGGTGGAGTGGGCACGACGCGACACAAACGCGAACCAGGCTGACGCACCATCATGATGCCCCAGCAGAACATGAGCAGCGAGAGCCAGATGGAGGGACGGAGGCGTTTGAGGAACACATTGGACGGCACCTGCGACACCGCTCTCAGCGACCACCCGCGCGCGACGCGTGCCAGACTCGAGCACCGACCTCGAAGATCGCGTACGAGAAGAAGAAAATGGTGAGCGAGATGAGGTACTGGGGGTCACTGATGCCCAAGTCCTTCTCCAAGTGGTACAGCTGCGAGCGTCGTCAGCCGGCCTCCGCGCGGGCGCGTAGTCCGCTCACCTTTGCATTTCCGATGCTCGTGCGGTCGAGGAAGGAGAGGAGTAGAGGAAGGAGAGCCAGGGATCAGGTAGAGGTCGAGCTTGCGCAGGAGCTTCTTCTCGTCCACGCCGCTGGTGTCGACGTGCGCGTTGTACGGCGCGTGCTCGGTCTCGTTCACCTCCGCGGCCTGAGCCTTCTCGTCCGAGACCGACGCAGTGGACGGCGGGCGGGCGGCCTTCTCCTCGTCGTGCATCGTCGACATCTTCTCCGGATGTTGGGTGCGGGCGGGGTGCGGCGACGCGTTGAATGGACGACGTCCGGGAGAAGGAGGAGACCGAGGGGGGCTGGGAACGCGGTGGGGGAGCGCGCCCTCGGGGCGGATTACGGCTGCTTATGTCTCGTTTGGCAGGGACGAGACGCGCGCCGTGCGCCGGTTGCGCATCGCGAGAGCTTGTGCGACTGGTGGGGGATGCTCATCCAGTCGCTTGTCGTGGTCATGGGTTCGCCGGGAGCGAGCGGGCAGATCGTGAGAGACGTGCGCGGCTGCCCCTTGGGGCAAGGCGGGGCCCACGCACCCCCGCGCTTCTGTTGAGACTTGGAGCCGTGCCTGAGCGTCGCGCGGTAAACGGCTGAGCTCCGCCTGCGAGTAGTCTCTGTCAACCAATGACGACCTTGGCACAGCGAACGAAGAGGTGCGGAACAGCATTCCCGGCTGGTTCGACTCAAGTGATTGTACTCGGGGGCCCGCCAAATCTGTTTGTCTTTGCTTGAGGTCGTAGGACATCGGAGCAGCAGCGGACGGCCATGACATTTCGTATTCCAGAATATTCACCAAATCTTCACTAGTTCACTCGTGACCCACCCATCTTCCAAAATTTCCAACGCTTCAGGCGCAGCGACTGACAAGACTGTCCGCGGCCACAACGCGGCCCGTCCGACGCAAACTACGCAGAGATTCGTTTCCAATTCCACCGATACAGGCTCGGTTCGTACTATACAGTATTCCGGTCCCAGCACCAACGAATGCATATATTCCCGACCAGCCTCACGTTCCGCCCGGTTTCACCGACACGACACGACGCCACTGAAGCGTCGCGCAATCCCGTGGCCAACTGCGGCCTGGACTAGTAGCGGCACGCAAACCGCCAATGACGACCTCGACCTCGACCCGGGCCAGCCACGCACGACAGAGAGATACGATCCACCACTCAAGTACTCACTCCGCCTTCCGCCCCGCGCCGGCCCTCCTCCGGTCCCACTCCGCCCGCCAGAGCGCGTACTGCGCCTCCGTCCCCGCGTCCCCCACACCGCCCACCCGTCCCGGAGCCGGAGCCACGCGCCGGGCGCGCTCGCGAGCAGCGCGGCGCGGAGCCGGCCGGGCGCGGAGCGCGGCCGCCGCGCGGGGAGGAGCTCGACGAGGGCGTAGTACGCCGTGCCGAACGCGGCGCCAATCGCGAAGCCCCAGAGGACCTGCGGGGCGGTGTGGTACGAGAGGTGGTACCTGCGGCCGCCGGTGGGGTGGGAGTCAGATGTGCGGGGATGCGGGCGGGAGGCGGGAAGCAGGAGACGCACCTGGAGTATGCGACCGCGCAGGACAACGCGAGGATGGCGGTGAAGAGGAGGACGTCGCGCGCGGCGTCCACGAGCGCGGACCCGGTCGTCGGGAAGCGGTGGCGGAGGGAGAAGTGGAGGACGAGGAAGCTGGCGAAGTAGCCCATCCACTGGCTGTGCGACGACGGGAAGCCGTACCCGTCTCCGAGGTCCGCTGCGCGCGGCCGGCCGCGATTCGATCAAGACGTGGCGCGAGGGACGTGTGTTGGGAGGGTGCTCACCGTTCGGCCGTTCCTCCTGGATGGCGTGCTTCAGCGCGTAGTTGAAGCACTCGCAGAGCATCTGCCCCGCCCACATCTCCAGGAAGAGCAGCTCGCGCGTCCACACCGTCAGCGCCGCATATGCAGGCTGCCGCCACCGTCAGTCGACGTGTCCTCGCGCCACGTTGTGTTCGACAACGTACGTTGAGCAGGATCGGAGTCAACGTCAGGAGCGCGAGAACTTGAGACGTCGAGGAATCGGCATCGTCTGTCGTTCATGGAAGCACGCTGTTACGGTTTGCGACTGTTCGCATTGAGAGAACGGAACAGACTTACAAAGAACGTAAGTGACGTCTAGTGCGGCACGAGGAACAGCGGGGGGTTCCATCTTGCAGTGTTGGGAGTGAAAGCAGTGGGATAGTGTTCAAAGGATAATGATGATGGGTAGAGAGGCCAGTAGATAGTGTTTGTGCAAGAGACGATACCAAAATGTGGGAGGAAGAGGGACAAGACGCATATAGGCGCCCATAAGCGTTGACGTCAGAGCCCTATTGGCCACGGCAGGGCGGGTAACCTCGGTGGTCACCTAGAGCTCGCAAGACTACGAGGCGGTCCATCGGCTGCAAATATGATGGGCTTTGGCAGGTGCAACTTTGAAGGTAGCGCGCAACAGGTGATCACTGCTAGTCCACAATCCCCAGTCTACTCTTGTCTCCAAGCACGATGTTGTCAATCAGCCTCGTCTTCCCCACCCACATCGCCCCGCTCAAAATCACCGGCCGCTCCGCGTCCTCCTGCTCCCATTCGCGCCGAGTTACACGGTCCGGGACCACGTCGAACGTCTCCGGGTCGTTCATCTCGATGTAGTCGAAGCGGATCTCGACGGCCCCACCGACCTCTTCCTCCTTCGCGGCGACGACCGCGCGCGCACACCCCACGCAGTCCGCTTTCGGTTTGCCCGCACCCCACGCGGCTTCGGCCGCGCACAGCGCGGCGTACAGCGCGGGCGCGACGTTCTCTCGCTCGTACGGGGCGAGGTACGCGTTGCGCGAGGAGAGCGCCAGCGACGTGTGTGGGTCCCTGGGATCGCGGCGGCTGAGATCTGAGAAGCGCAGGGGGAGGGGACGGCGGTGCAGATCAGAGACTTACCGCGCGGTCGGGACGATGACCACGTTCCGCGGCTCCGGGTGGGACAGGAGCAGGTCCTGCGCGAGCCGGCGGAGCAGGACGGCCTGCTGGATGTCCTTCTGGCCAAAGTACGCGCGCGTCGGCTGCGCGAGGCGCGGTCAGCCCTTTCCCGGCGGGAGGGCGGGCAGGCTGGGGGACGGACCTGGACGGCGTTGAAGAGCTTCGTGACCACGGTCGCGACGCCGCGGAAGAACGTGGGCCGCGACGCGCCCTCCATCTGGTGCCCGAACCCCTTGACCTCGACGAAGGTGCCCGTCTGCGCGCGCACGTCCTGCGTGATCCCGCCCGGGTACATCTCCGCCACGCTCGGGACGAAGACGGCGCTGGGCGCGCGGGGCCGGAGGGGGTGGGGACGGCGAGGGCCTCGAGGAGCGCGAGGTCGCCGGGGAGAGTGCGCGGGTACGTCGCGAGGTCTTCGTGGGGCGCGAACTGGGCCGGGTTGACGAAGATGGAGAGCACGGTGAGGTCGTTCTGCGCGAGCGAGCGCCGGACTGTGCGGCGCGCGGGTCTGAGGGGCGAGGGGGATGGGTCATGGCTGGCGTGACGGACCTAGGGAGAGGTGGCCCTCGTGCAGAGCCCCCATGGTGGCGACGAAGCCGACCGACTTGTTCTCTTCAAAGGCCTTTTGTCTCCATTCGCGATACTTGGCTACTGTGGGGAAGAGAGGGATGGAGGAGGGGGGCAGCTCTGTGGACATAGTGCGTGTCCAGCACGGCCGGGGTGATGGGCGAAGTGCAGAGGAGAAGGTGAAGACCTGTTTACGAGAGATTGTGTAGATCGTGGGCGGCATAAAGCACGGAGAGACGGCGCAAGAGGAGCGAAAACGAGGATGAGCCCATGGTCGGACGATGCGCAAAGCAGGGAGATCCGAGTCTGCTCCGGGATCGGCACCGAGTCACGACCACGCACATCACGCGCTCGCGCTCGCCACGACGCTCACGATGCCCACGGCGCTCGCGATGCACTCGTTGCTGGCAACCGCGGTGACCTTGAAAGCCACTCCGGAAGATGGCGACACCCGTCTTTCCCGGGCTCAACGCGCTACACAGTGCCGCTCTCCTGACTGATCTCCTGCGCCAAGTCCACAATCCATGTCCCCCGCGTCCCACCAGGTTCTGCTGGTCGACGAGATCCTGCGGATCATCATCGACGCGCTTGTAACCTACGACTGGGCACGACCGACACGGGATGGTTATGACCACGCGAGCCGCCAGCGCGCGCTCTTCAACCTCGCGCTCACATGTCGCGCACTCGCAGAGCCAGCAAGTGATGCGCTTTGGGAAACGTTCTTCGACGGCAACGTCTGGACGCTCGTCCGCATAGGGGGCTTCCGTCGTCTTCCCCCAGGACCCAACTGGCCCGTCACCTTACCTGTATGTGCGTCCGTCGTATCTCGTCCATCGTCTCATTTATCGCTCGCTGTCATCCAGAATAGTGGTCCAGTAATCGCTGACGACTGGGCAGCGTTCCGCCGCTGTGCCGCGCGCGTACATCAAATCGAGTACTGGTCGGGCAGAGGGGCCAACAAGGACCTGGAAATCCGTCCTTCCGTATGGGAGATGCTCGCCGACAAGCTCGGCGGCGAGACTCTCTTTTCCCGCCTCAAGACCCTCTCGTGGCGGGCGACCTATCCAGAGGCCGAAGTCTACCGGAGATCGCGGGCGCTGCATGTTCTCATGTCCCCCTCTGTCACCACCCTTTGCTCAGCGCAGGCCAATTGGTGGCCGAAACTTCGGAAAGACCTGAGCATCATCGCAGAGCGCTGCCCAGTCCTCCAGGCCATCGACGTCCGACACATGAGCTCTCTCGACGCCGTCTCCCTCGCCGCCTGCCGCGCCCTCCGCCGCATCGAAGTCGCCACGCTCACCGACAGCGCCCTCTCGCGCCTCGCCCACCTCGCCCACCTCGACGCCCTCCTCTGCCGCCACCTGAAGCCGTTCGAGCACCCCGAGCCCCCGCCGCTCTGGCCGCCCCGCGCCTTCCCGCGCCTCCGCACCTTCTCGCTGCTCGTCTGCCCGCCCCCCGCGGACCTCGCCCCCCTCTGGGCCGCGCTCGCTGCCGCCCCGTGCACATCCGCCACGTTCCCCACGCCCGCGCCGCTCCCCGCGCTCTGCGCCCCGCACGCCCGCTTCGGCGCGTCTCTCCGCGCGCTCACCCTCGCGCTCACCCTGCCCGCCACGCTCCGCCCCGCGCTCGCGCCGCTGTACGACCTCCGCGCACTCGAGGCGCTCCGCGTGGACGCGCCCGTCACGGACGTCGCGGACACGGACGTCGCGCGCATGGCCCGCGCGTGGCCCGCGCTCGTGCACCTCTGGCTCGGCGAGCAGCTCGCACCCGAGCGCGCGCCGTCGGTGCTCGCGCTCGTCGGCCTCGCGGAGCGCTGCCGCGCGCTCGAGGCCGCGCTGGTCAACGTCGCGGACGTGTCCGAGGCGGAGATTGCGCTACTCGAGGAGCGCGCCGCGGCCGTTGTTACCGGCGGCGGGCAGCAGCGGCTGGTGCAGTGGCGCTTGGCGGGGGCGCGGTGGGCAGAGAGGTTGGAGGTGGCGGACGCGGGGCGGCTGGCGCGCGCGGTGAGCGCGCTGTTTCCGGCGCTGGAGGGCGACGGCGTGTTGTGCGCCTGGGAGCGGAGGGAGACGCGGTACGAGAGCCTGCCGACGTGGCGGGGCGCGACGCGGCACACGGCGGCGTACGCGTTTCTGCTGGAGCTGGACGAGATCCAGGCGGGGAGGAGGAGCAGCCTGCATTGCGCTGTATCCAAGTGACCGCGTGCGACTCTGGCGACACTGCTGCCGCACTTATCCCCATCGTTTGTCCCACCTCCCGACACTTTCAGCCATGGCCCACGAGCCGCTCGCACCAGGCTCCCCAGGTTCGTGTTGGTGGATGATCGTCCATGTGTGCGTTGAATCCGCTCGTGGAAGCCGCGGTGGTGGGCCTTGAGAACCGCGGTCTGGAAGATATGTGACGGGAGAAGTGGGGATGCACGATGCCGTGACGGCCACAAACTTGACGTTCGGGGCATTTGGAGAACTAGAGACGACGCGTGAACAGTCGTCGGCGCACCCAATCGAAAACGCTCACCATACAGTGTCGATGACGGACTTCACAAAACGAGGCGATATCAGGCCTTGCACGCGTATGGTGGTGACGTCTCCGACTTCAGACCGTTCTGGCGGCGTGTACACCGCGATGTAGGAATCGCATCGGTCCACGGAG